ATTGTTTAAGACACCACTCATACAACGTGGACGACTTACTAAGTCCACTTACATCACTTGCAAAGTGGACTTAGCATACATAGCTATTCGGATCAACTGGTCTAATCGTTTACTAACCGCACCGACCCTCCAAGTAGTTGGATGTCGGCCACCGATGGAGCCAGTGTTTGCCACCGCTTGGACCGGCGTGGATTCGGCAGAAGAACACATCCAAGTCAGCACGCCACTCAGTCATTGCTGGCCACACGGGTCGGATCGATGCAAGCAAACGACAACGAGTTTGTCATGAAAGGTGACGACTTTGTCGAGTTCAGCAATGGCCGAGCTTCAGTTGTGATGGGATCTGTTCCTGCTGTTGGTTTGTGATCGCGCTTGCAGGTGTGTATTGTGATTCCTTGGAACTTGCCTCCGGCCCGGACAAAAAAAAGGCATGCGATGCCACACTTTATGTTTTGGTACAATGAGACTACGTGGATGTTACATGATCAGGTGGGTGAAGAGGCCCGCAGCCGAGGCCGACCTCCACCAAAGTAGAGCTGCAGAATCTCATGATGTCCATGCCTAGTCCTGCCAGATGCAATCGCAGTACACAGGATTGGCTGACTAGGCTCTTGTGGTTTCCCGAACAGTACAAACGACGAAGGAATGGCTTGGGCGTGCTGTGGCATGCGCGGCTGGAGACAAAACATGGAGGCGATTCTGTTTGTGACCAGCTGGGAGAATTGAAATTTGGAGAGTTTGGCTGTTCCCTTGCGGGGCGAAACTCTGGTCATCGCCTGGTGAAAGGATGCTTCCTTGATGTTGCCAAAGGGTTACTTGTCCGGCGACTGGCCCGTGGCTTGGAGGGTTCAGACCAGGAGGCAGTGCGTATTTCTAAATCCCTTGCAAAGGCGAGATTCCGCTTTGTTCGGCGTGTTCGATGGCCATGGTGGGGAGCAGGTGCCAGCGGCTCCCGTGATTTGGGGTTTCGTGCTACTGCATGTGCTGATGTGGATGCCAGGTCGCTCGCTTTGTAGTGCGGCAGCCTTACGGCAGCCGTATAACGACTGTTGCCGGTGTGACATGGAATTGGGACGGAAAAGGGCACAGACTGTAAGACGGCAACTGTGCGCTTTCAACTTGCGAGCGCACTTTTGCAGATTTCGCTTGAAGCTGGAACCTAGGCCACGCCTAGATTCCAACAAGGAACAGAATCATTTTGCCCAGGCGCCGGCTGCCACAAGTCCTGGCCGACATACCTGGGCCTGATGCAGAAACGGCCCTGCGAGAGGTATGACAGTTTTTGCTTTGTTGATGTTGGTCATTGGCGTGGAATTGGTGTTCAGGCGTATCTGCGCCTAGATGAAATGCTTCGGCAACCAACTTTCGCGGCAGAACTTCGGGAAATGACTCTTCCAGGCTGAAGCCAGTAGATCATGGCGACCACTGCAGAACCACGAGTGTGTAAGGCAACGAGCCACAAGAGTCAGCCGAGACTTGTGGCACCACAGCACCCTGGCAAAAGAAGCATTGAGAGGGAAGGGTCTGTTTTTTCGACGTGCTTTCTGCCAGGCAGTCTGCTGCTTGATCCAGGCGCCTCGATCACATCTTTCGGGCACCGTCATGTAGCCAGATGTTAGTGATTTCAGAGGATAACGAGATGATCCTCTCCCATGTTGGAGACTCTCGCGCAGTCCTTTGCCGGCAGGGCCAAGCAGTGGGTTGCCAAGCATCGCTGCCAATCCATCTTCATCTAGAGAATATGAATATAGAGTGATTGCAAGGGCTTGCCATCATAACAGGTTGCCTTGACGGTAGACCACAAGTTCGGGCCTTTCTCGTCTCGTCAGCGCTCAGAAAGCTTTCGGAAGGAGAGAACGAAGGTGTTGGTGGCCGCTGAGGCCTGAGCTGCCTGAGGAGACTCACAGGATCGAGGCGGCCGGAGGATTTGTGCAGGACCGAAGGGCTACTTGTACCGCAAGACGTGTCGGCCTCCGCTCTGAGGAGGGTGCCACAGCCATGGGCAGTGGGAAGGAATACCGTGTGAACGGGTCGGAGACTTAGGCAGAAGAGGGGAGCAATGTAACAAACCGTAGCACCGTGGGATGCCAGTGGCTGTGCTAAGGGGCCTCAACCTCTCGCGAGCCCTCGGTGGCTGGTTGTGCAAAGCTCGGCTCCATCGCTGTGCGGCATCGCGTGTCTAAGGAGATCTTCGGTACAAAAGCGATCCGAAGCTGAAGCCATCCGCGCAGTCACTTTGGCTGCCACAATTACCACCAGACTCACCACCAGACTTGCAAAGTCTGCTTAGGCTGGTATCTGCAGTACCGGATACGACGCGTGTTCAGTGGCAGCACGACATGGACGAGTTTGTTCTCCTCGCCAGTGATGGCGCCAGCTGCCGAGTCTTTGGGTCAACCAAGGTAGAACTCAGGGCTGAGGGTGTTTGGGAGGAAAGCCCGACCTCGCTGGAACTTGTACGAAGTATGCTCCAGGGGGGTTGTTCTTACAACCTGCAAAAATAATGTGAGAGAAAAATAGAAGTTGAGCCTCTTCCACGGTCGCAGGTCCGAAGCATGCCAGCTTACCACCAACGAACCAGTCTACCAACCGATGCACAAGACCGTCAACCCTGGAACCGGTCTTTAACCGTCGCCAGCATCGAACTCTTCAGTCCCGTGTGCGCGTAGCGAAGAAGACGAGGCCAGTGCATGTGCTGTCGCAGCGCGACAACTGGAGGTTTGGGAATGCGTGACGAACCAGCAGGCGGTCAACTTCGTCCGCACAAGACTGCCTCCGCCAGGATATGTTAAGATTCAAGATCAGTTCTTCTGGAGACTCGTCCAAACCCTATTGAAGAGGATCCAGGAAAGGCTTGCAACCTGTGTTGGCAGAGCCATTGGCTCAGTCAGGTGGCACGAAGTAATGTGAATGTAGCTTGCAGTTTGCATTGCCAAAGGCTGTTGGACATGTGCTGCGCAAGTACACCTGCACAAAGAGGTGGCAGCAAGACTGCAAAGATCGATAGCGCAGGGACAACTTTCCGAGAGTTGGCTTTGCTTTCCTCTTAGGCCTCGGTTGTGACAACCTCACGGTGGTCTTGATCCGCTTCGAGGTCCGTCTTGGGTCTTTGGGGTTTTGCTCGTAGATGCTGCTGGGCGCTTGTGTTTGTCTTTAGTCATCTTACGGTCTTACAGTCCTTGTTTGGGCTCGGACCAAGCCAAGGTTTAACCTGCGTTGTTAGCACGTGCCCTGCCCTGGCCTTCGCAATAGCCGCCATGTCGCGCATGTCCAAGATGCTGGTTGGCGCAGCTGCGCTGGCACCTGTTGCGTTCATCTCTCCATGTGTGCAGCACACGGCTCCTGAATCCCGTGTGGCTCCCACACGCACTGCGGCCAGCAGCAGCGCGGATCCTGGCGCTTCAGCTTCTGCTGCTCCCGTGGCTGGGGCCATGGCCTTGGGAGCAGGCGTGGCCGCACTAGCTGCTCGACGTGCCTCACGGGCAAAGCAAGGCAAAACGCAGCGCAAGGCAGATGATGCCTACGGCGCATCGCATACATCTTTCTACACAGATGCCGTTGCGAAGGACAAGTATGACACATTGGAGGAGGTGCTGGCAGAGAAACTTAAGGATCAGAAGCTAACTGGCATGGTGAACGAGTTGCTCGATGCGTGCGTGACAATCACCGAAGCCTTGCGAGTGAATCTCGTGACCGTGAACGACGCCTCAAATGCCTTCGGGGATCGACAGCTCACTGTCGATGTCATCGCAGACAACCTCCTGTGGGACCTCGCCAAGTCCTCGAAGTTTGTCTACGAGGCTTCGTCTGAGGAAGAGCCCGAGATTGTGCAGACGAACAAAGATGGCCAGTACGTTCTTTGCTGGGATCCTCTTGACGGCAGCTCGATTGTGGACAACAACTGGGCCGTAGGGACCATTGTGGGCGTGTGGGACAAGTCCACAGGACTGATCGGTGCAACCGGCCGAGACCAAGTGATGAGCCTTGTGGCATTGTATGGCCCCCGCACGACAGTCTTCATGACCTTGGATGACGGTGTCTACGAGTTCACGTTGGGAGATGGCAACAAGTGGATCTGCTCGCGTGACAAGATTCAGATCAAGCCAGACTGCAAGATCTTTGCACCGGCCAATATGCGAGCAGCTCAAGAAGTGGAGGGCTACAACAATCTGATCCAGCATTACATGACCAACAAGTTCACCCTTCGCTACACGGGTGGTTTGGTTCCGGACGTGTGCCAGCAGTTTACCAAGGGACAGGGTGTCTTCACGAATCCGACCTCCAAAGCCTCGCCAGCCAAGCTCCGGCTGGCCTTCGAAGCGGCTCCTTTTGGACGCCTCGTGGAGATGTCCGGGGGCAAGACCTCCGATGGCGTTTCCGGCAACAGCGTGCTGGATATGAAGATCACCGCCGTGGACCAGCGCACAGCCTTGGCGATCGGCTCCGCTGCCGAGGCCTGCGGCACCGTCTCAGCCGTTGCTTTAAACCAGGACCCCTACGTGTCCTGTTTGCAGGTTGACCGCTTCAACAACATGGTGCTGCAGAAGTAAACGGCGCAGGCCAGTGGGTTGGGCAAGATGGGGAAGAGCGGCCGTCGTTGAGCTGATTTTGATATGGCTGACCACCTTCCTTTGCAGGCAGTCCGGACCATCTTCTGAACCGGGTGTGCTGCATCTGATGTCCTGTCGATGCTACCGTACCAGTAGCTCAGCAGCGTGACTTGTCAATTAATCTTTTAACCTCCTGGACTCCAATTCTCCTGCGGCGGCTTCGTTACTTTGCGGCATTACAACTGAGATGTTTATGAACGGCTTGTGGTTGGCATTTACCAGAGCCGCCAAGTGGCGACAGCGTGGGCGCTCGCAACATCTAGTTCCGTGACTTGTTTCCTGCGTGCAAACTTTCTTGCAAGAGGTTTGATGAAGTTTTTTCATTGCTCAGTTCAATCTGCGCAAGGCAGGTTTATATAGACAGACCGAAGCGGCAACTGGTACTGTAAGTGGATTGTAGGTGGAGTGTAAGTGGTAGTGATCATGGCGATGGTTCCTTGATGCTCGTTAGCAGTCTCAGCGGCTGGGCGGCCAGAGTAGCAGCAGCAGCAGCAGCCGCGTCGTCGTCGTTGTCGTCGTTGTCGTCGTCCACATCACCATTCCCACGATCACCATCAGCATCAGATTCAGCATCATCATCATCATCATCATCATCATGATAGTAACATGTTGTGTGGTAGTCGCCGCAGTGGGTGTGTCGAAAGCGGACGAGCAGCAACACAAGCAGCAGTTGCGGTGGCGCAGGGCATAAGAGGATTGCGCAGGAGTCACTGTAACCCCACAGCTCCTCAGGGAAGCGTTTTGTTTCCATCACACATCGGTGCAGGATCCTGCAGCAGAAGCGGCCGCTAGGTTGCATATTCGACTGCTAGCAGATCGGTCGTTCCATGTGTGAACCTTCTGCAACATATGACACATGTCATCAGTACCTTCATGCTCCTGCACAGTTCCATGACTACGTACGGTCCGTTTTGGCTCGAGCCACGTAGACCGCCGCTGAGTGGTCCACTCCAGCAAACCGGTTGCCCGGGCGACGCTTGTATGCATAGGTCGTTGTTTGCCATTCAAATTTATTTCTATCTACTGCTGTGGGTGTCTGTGCTTCCCGAGTGTTGGTTTTTTTTGATACCCTGCGTTTCGGCCGCTTGTGAAAAGCTGGAATACAACGAGCCCAGAAAAGGGTTTTTTCTAAAGCGACAAAGTGAATGAAGTTTTAAGCAAGTCCCCAAGAAAGTCTTTTCAAGGTGTACAACATGTACATACATGTACCGACCCAAATCCGCAGCCCGCGAGATGGTGCCGCGAAAATTAAAAGACGTCGAACAAGACATTGTATCGGAAGAGTGTCAGGCACCTGGAACTGCCTTTCCCTTGTTCCCTTCGCGGCCAAAAGACTGTTATACACTTGTTTTTGTCGTGGGGCTCAGTTCCCGTAACACGTTTCCAGAAGCTTTGCTTCTGAGAGACCGTACACTCTGCACATTTTTTCAGAACAGTCTCAGCTTGATGTCCGCGGAGGGGCTTCACTTAGTCCAAGGCTGGCACACGATGTCCAGCCCAGGGTTTGGCATGCTGGCGACACTGGCACTGGCAGCACCTGGGAACCCAAGAAGCGGCAGCAGGAGCTGAGGACAGGAGTATGCAATCCTGCTACTGAAGCAACTGAGGCCATCTGTCACGCAGACTGCTCGGAGACTGAAGCAGCAGAGGCATGCGCAGGCACGGCTCGCGTATGTTCCAGATCTCATCTCTCACTGCCACCTGTGGTTTCAGTCAAATCGCTCAGCATGCCAGGGCAGCATTCCCATCACTATTGGGCAGATTCAGTTCTGCCACCCGGGTTTTCGGCGTACTCCTCGCACCTCGATTGCATGAGCTATCGTTGTGTTAAGCATATGGGGGTGCCAGTGCTGTTCGATGCCTCAAGGCGTCATCAGTGGGTTTGGTCGTTTACACTTGGAAGTTTGCGTGTAAGCCCCTCCGGCCTCACACCCCGGTCCATTAACATGTTATGTGGTACCTTGAACTTCGTAAAGGCTTGCAAAATGTGCTGCTGCCACGGTGGCAGGCTCCATGCTCCGTGGCTGCAGACTGCGGATGTACTTGAGGAAGAGTGTGGTTCAACACATGATAGTACTGCTCTGAGTGATGGTCACAGACCGCCGACTCAGATTTGCTCTGGTGGGCATGATGATCGAAAGCAAGAAGGACACTTTGTTCAGGGCAACTGCGGCAGTGCACTGTCGTCCTGCTGTGACGCAATCTGGGGTCTCATGTTGCGGCACCTGTATCTTCGAAGATTGCAGCAAGCGAGCACATGTTCGTCTTCTTGGTGAGGTAGGAATGCGCAATGTGGAAGGTAGGATTGGATAAGTGTTTGTGTTTTCGTTGTTGCGAGCGCGCATTCCCGAACGCGAACTGTCAGTAGATCATGCGATTTGTGCCCAGTGATGTGAATATGTGTGAGCTTTGCCTTCGCATCAAAGCTGGCAGGACAAGAAGGACAAGCCAATATCCCGTGAGGACAGGTTGGTTCTCGGCTTCGCTTGTCGACCGGAACATGCGTGCAAGTCTTTGCCTCTTGAGGATTTGGTACTGCCTAGAACCACCAGCACATGCTCGTCGTCTCCAGTGTCCTGCCTGAGAATATGGCCAGGGTCGGCTGTGCAGAAGAGGCCACCACTTGTTTTTGGCAGGTGCAAACTCCAGCTCCAGCTAGGAAGGCGGAGTGTCAGGAAAGCTGCTTGGCTCGGCCAGGAAGCATTCTTTCATGAACTATGTGCTTGCGGCTGTGCTCGCACCCGGGCACTGCCTGGGATTGAGGTCAGCAGCAGGATCCGGATGAGTCGGAGTTGAAGCGATCACAGTCTTTGCCATCATCGCAGTTGAAATGCTCAGACACTTCATCCAGTGCCTGGCCACCATAGGAGCAAGTATTGGTTGTCGAGCAGAGAACCGAGCCGGGACTCAGTGTGAGAAGTGTTGGCTTGAGGTGGACAGCGGAGCTACACCAAAGAGAAGGACAAGGACGTGTAGCCTGTAGAGTCCGTCGGCCACCGGGTGTCCGTGATATGTTTTGCTTCAACCAGGGACGCTCCGACGAGTTGAATTGGCGCAGCATGAGTTCCCGGCCAGTGCGGACGTTTTCTGCGCCTGTGCCCAAACCGAATCTCGGCTTGGATTCTTTTTAGAAGAGTTTGAAGGGATCGGGTTTCTCAGATGCGGGATGCCTCAGCTCTGTATGAGGAAGACGGTTGCAAAGCCGCCTCCGTCACCGTTAAGCATCATCGGCAAAGACTTGACAGAGATGCAGAAGGTGGAGCGGCAGGCAGACGGTTGACACGACACGGTTTGTCGCGTTACATTCGCATGATCCCCATGAGCACTGCATTAGACAGGTAAAGTCCATCCTCAACAAGTTTCCCGGCAAGTGAGATCTCGGGATTCGGCGAGTCCCAGCTCCTGTTTCTGACCAACTTTCGCATGCCTCTGGTCGTTCGGCTACCGTCCTCTCTCACTCTTTTGAGGTTAACTTGGGAGAAGCTTGACAAGCTCTATGACGACTTGGTGTCGTACTGCACGGTGGATGATCAAGACACTCGACGCGAGACGGTCGAGGCAGGCCTGAAGTTGTGGCGAGATTGCCCGCGAGTGTCCATCCATCGCTATCAGGTCATTGCCCGGGACGTCTTCAAGAAGGCTTGGGGGAGCTTGATCTCTGCAGACAAATCAGAGACCTGCATGCGACAGGCTACGCTTCAGCACCACTTTATCGAGCTTTACGCCGGCTTGTGTGCCCGTCTTGATGCAGACACTTTGGCTTTGCATTCTGCGTAATGGCCAACAGTCTTTCCAGCTGAAGAAAGTCCAGCTTGTGGGTGCGTGCCTTCGGTAACTCAGAGCATTGCTGAGGATCTGAAGCAGAGAGGGATCGAGGTGAACTTCAGAAGGGCACTTCTCGAACAGTGTCAGGCCGGTCGTGTGTGAGATCTTCATGGGCTCTAAGCTTGAGCTGCTTTCGACAGAAGCCGATGCTCGCTGGAGCCAGGAATCGTTCACCACGCATCTGGCACCACCGCAGATAGACTCGTGCGGCAAACTGAGGGTTCCCGTTGCATGTTCACATAGCATGGCTGGAAACTTCTTGATCATGCTCTGTTCCAGTTCGTATGGACTATATATCACCTTCAAAAAGCCGCACTTCTGACCTGTGTCTGAGCGACCCAGGTCTTGACTACGAAGACCAATATGAGATGCTCGTGAAGTACAAGACGACGCTTTGCTGCATTGGTCTGGTGTGAGCTTCATGTGTGTAGCATCGTGTTGATTATAATGTGAGGAAGATGCTTGGCAACGTTAAGCTCATCGCCCACCTCTTGCGTTTGAGGTGGCCTTTGCGTCCAATGCTTGCTGCCTGAAGCCAACCAACCCGTGCGTGAGAGGATGCTGGCGGCGAAGATCATCTTTCACTGTATCGACGAGCTCATCTCAATAGGTTCAGCAGAGGCTCCCCTGCAAAGTGCAGAGACGCAAGGGCGCTCGTTTCAGGAATGCGAGGTAGAGGGGCAGGAGAGGACTTGAACAAAGAGGATGTGGCAGTATCGGGGTGAACTCTCAGGTTCAGCCGTGGGGATGCTAAGGCAGTTTGTTAATGTATAGATGCCTCCATGACGCTGCTTTCTCGAGCAATTGCTGTTTTGGCCCGAAGACATCCAGAGTCAGATGCCGTGAGCAGTGGGCCCTTCGTGCACGCGATTGGGCGTCCTGCTCTGAGCGCAGAGAGCAGCAGTCTTGATGCTTGTCTGTGGGCTAGCTTATTTCCAAGGGAGTCTAACCATCGAACCTGCACCATGATTTCGAGTGGGAATTCGACTGCTGTTGAGTGCCTCCCAGGTGTGCGCTGGTAATGGCCCCAGACCCGTACCATGGGCTTGATCACGCCGAGATTTACGGCAAGAAAGCAGCAGACGAAAGCTTAAACCCCAAAGCGAGAGGGGCCTGGAAGGACTTGGCTGACGGCGTGCAGTCTCTTAACGAGGTCGCTTGGATCCTTTATCCTAGGATAGTCTAGGAGAAAGGTACCTTTCAACCACGGATATCCGCATAAAGGGACGCAGCGCAGGAGACATGGCACGAGGGGAGCATCGCATACAACAGCGACTGTTCTACTCAGGATGACCCAGATTCAGCCATTCGGTTGGGAAACCAGGCAGGCGAAGCGTTTCGAGATGCTCAGTGTCCAGAAGGCACGGTGTTTCAAGCAACGGTTCTGAATTTGGGTGGAGGTAGTTTGGTTTCCCCAGATGCAAGTCATCCGTCAGGCGATGCTGACAGCTTGTTGCTGGTGACGAGAGCTCTCACCAGTGTAAACAGGCGGAAGGAAGCTGACAAGCTTGCACGCGACCGGTCGCCAGGTTGCAACATCTCGGCTAGCTTTATCGGCCCTGACGGCTGTATTGCTCTTAGGGTGCCAGCCTTCTGCAGCGCTTGCACTTGTCTTTGGGTCTTTGCTAGATCGTTTTCCGCCTGATCTTCGCAGTCTGCCACCACCCACACCAATACTGCCGCTGCCGCTGCTTCTGCCGCTGCTGCTGCTGACACTTATAGTATTGTTAGTTTAACCGTGTAGCCATCATTGCTGTTTCAAGTGTCGGTGTGCGGCGTTTATACTTGCTGGCTTTCCACAACCGCGACTCCTGACCGGCACCACAAGTAACACAAGTACCAGCATTTGGTGGTGAGAGCCCAGGCTGGCAGAGGTCAGGGCGAAGGCAGACGGGCCCAGCGAGGCCAAGGCCCTGCTCGCACTGGCAGAAGTCAATGCGGACCAACGGGGCAGCAAGAAGCGTGAGGAGGTTGGGCAGGGAATTCCGGGTGTGGGAAAGCGGACCGGGGGACCTCGCGCAACGATTCGAATGCTTGAAGGGAGGTTGAGTTTTCAGTGAGTGTAGTGTCGGGAACAGGGACAGGTTCTCGCAGACCGGGAGCTGCCAGATCAAAGGGAAGCCTCTTTTCGTGAAGCCGCTCTTGTGCAGATCCTGTTCCCTGTGCCGGTTCAGGCACGGACTGCAGCCAAAGAAGCCAGAGAGATGTTTGAAAAACTCGCAGACGAACGTATGCGAGCGGCGGCGCTGCTAGTTCAATCGCATATCTGCATTAAAAGCAAAAACCAGGAAAAGGACAAGCGAGCAGCAGAGGCTTTGAAGTCCTTGGTGTGGCATTCGCAGACTTTTTTGCATTTTGGACGTTTGCATAAGGCTCTTGGTCACAGGAATTTACCGGCAGACTGCAGATTGGTCCAACTGGAAGACACCAACTGCCAACTGTAAGCATAGCCTGTTTGTCAGTATGGTTTTCAGTTGGACTGCGATTCATGAGGCTAGCTGAAGATGCCCGCAAGATTTGCAACGACTTGGGCGACACTCGGACAGAGGCAACATGCCTCCATGCATATGCTTCCGCCCATGACATCATCGAGCAGCCGCCCGGACAGATTTTTTCAGGGTGAGGCAGCTGAAGGGTAGGGCTTTGGGCCGGGTGGGCATCTTGAGTGAAGCAGGCCAGAATCAGGCCATTGAATTTAGGGATGCTTCGCAGTTGCTTCTGTACTTGGAGCTGATGCCCTGCCGTGGTTGTGCAATTTTGCTCCTGCGTAACAACGAAGGCACAACGAGTGCATCCAGGCGGCAGAGGATGCCCTGGACTTGTACTTGGATTTGCAAGATCCATATGCTGAAGCCTTCGAACTCTGCTGCATGGCGCAGTGGTTCATGAACTACTCTCGCTGGCAGCTGGCAATCGATCATGCAGAGGATCCGGGTGCTGGCTAGGGCGGCTTGGGGATGCTTTAGGGCTCAGGGCTTGCGGCAGGCGAGCCATGCGCCCCGCAGGACGCGCTGGAGATTCTGCGGGCTGCTCCCAAGCCGAGTGCATCGCAGGAGCTTCGAGCGCTGCAGATCCTGTCTCAGGCCCACCAGGGAAAAGGTGACAAGACTGGCACGGACGCGGTCCACGAGTCGCTGAAACGTTTCCAGCAGAGCGACAACCGCTCGGCGGAGGTGCGAACATCAGCAAGGCATGCGTCCACGGCTAGCACGAAGAGCGACAGTTTGTGCAGGCTGCGGCCATGGATATGCTTCTCAGAGCACATTGCGAGAAGGGCGAGTTCGAGCGAGCGCTCGAAACTGCTGAGCGAGCGAGATCTGCCTTCAAGGCAGTCGGAGACGAGGCCGCTCTGCCCCGGTGGTCACAATTTTGTAGTCAGTGCAGCCTTGCGAAGCTCTGAGGTCGCAGAGGCCAACATCTCCGCACTGATAGCTGGGCTATATCTCAAGTTGGGAATGGCAGATGAGGCTCTCAAAGAAGGCGCACGCCCACCGTCTGCAGTGGCATGCGAGTAAATGCTTTCCCATTTGGCGTAGGCCATGCGGTTCTGGATTTGGTCCGACGATCCGGCTCAACCAAGCAGAAGTCGGATCTCATGCTCACGTTGTCCCAGGCAGGTCGTCACTTCGTGCGGTCAGGTTATCCCTTGCAGAGCACTCGAGGCTTACCTGGAGAAGCAGGAGCACGAGGAAGCTCTGGCCATATGCCGTGATATGCAAGATCACTTCACCCAAAAAGGCCCAGGGAGGGAGAGGAAGGCCAAGTATACTTCCTGTGACCAGAACTTGCTTCTTGATTAGCAGGAGACGTGGAGGGAGAGGCCGACTGCCTGCTGGCAGCTGGCTCTTTGCTCGTCCTGCAGGGAGACCTGGACGAGGCTCGCTCGCTCGCTGCCAAGGCGCAGCTGATTCTCAGCGAGGAGCCATGCAACACGCAAGACACCACGTGCAGGCCAACAGTGCGCCGAGCATGCGTGGGTTGGCCTCGTGTTTGTCAGGAGGGCAATGCCACTGGCGAAGGCAAGGCACTTCGGCTGCTCGCCGAGATCTATGCAAAGCAGGAGCAGCACAAAGCAGCCATCAGGCACCTGAGAGAAGGAGGGAAATTGACGAAATTGAGTGAGAAAGGCCTTTAAGGCCCTCGCCAACTAGCTGCTTTGTGATTCTGGGTTTGGCAAATGGACGGAGCAAGGGAGAGTATGAGAGAGAGAGAGAGAGAGAGGCATACTCTTGTTTGCCTGTCCATCTGTGGATCGAGGCACGGACACCCTGCGCCCCAAGACCCAAGCACTCCAGAAGAAGAAGAAGATTCTCGGTGAGTTCGCCGAGAGACAGGGAGAGAGATGCAGTCCGTGCTCGCGTGCGGAGGGGTAGAGCTTGCTCTACCGCTCTGGTCTGTGCTGAGGAAAAGAGAGACCTGCCACATGTACTGTATCCAAGCTGTATCCTGTGCAGGGCTGGGGAGCGCTCCAGAGCCCTTCTGCGTGGGGAAGAGGGCGCTGCTGACGAAGCTTCCATGCTCTTCCTCGTAGCGCAGGAGACAATGCGGAAGTTGCAGCACCTGGTGGATTGGTTGCATGTGCCCGTGTTCTTCACATGATCCACGGATGTATGGAGGAAGCAGTGCAGCTTGCAGTCATCGAGGGCGCCAGGGTTGGCTTGGATAAACCTCTGAAGAGGCATGCCAGGCGCCGGGGAGTAACGCACTCATGTCTCGGGCAGGTGTGCTACTTTGCAGCGAGCCTCAAGCTGCTCACAGGTCCTTACACGAGGGCCCAGCATCTCCATTCTGTGAGTGCAAACCCTTCGGCAGAGCATTTGTGTCGGATGAGGTCAAGCCTGGGAAGCTAGAGCCTCGAGCCGGAATCTCATCCACCTGTGGCGCTTGGCAGGGAAGCGCTGGACAAGGCCGAGAAGTGTGCAAAGATGGCCGTGAAGCTTTGTACAGACAATGCCGCTTGCAGAAAAATATGCACACTCGTATCAGAATGGTGTTCTCTCTGTGGTCTAATTCGCCAAACTTGTTCACTGCAACAAAGGCTTCCGAGCAAGGGACATCCGAGATTCTTGGATCATCGTTGTGCTCGCTATCGCAGGCACGCCGACAGTTGTAGAGCAGTGTACCGAGTTGAATGCGACCATTCGAGTCGTTGCAGCACCCTCATTCCGCAGGTGCATATGCTTCGCAGCAAGTACAAGGAGGCTTTGTCCATCGGCCAGGAGGCTGTTCAGGTCTTCGTGAAGACGGGGCACAAGCGGAACCAGGCAACTTGAAGTGTGCGATGGAAAGTATGCCGCCGCGGGTGAAGATGCATCAGCAGCTTGTCGCTACACCGCTGCCTGAGCTTGCAGGCATCTGCAAGCCTTCTTTGTGCAGATGCGGAGCGGGCCCTCGAGCATTACAAGGAAAGCCAAAGATATGCCTTAGAGGCCAATTTTGGATGCAGAGATCGCCGCAGCATTAGGCAGACAAAGGAAGTTGGGATGCTTCAAGACACAACTCCCGTGGCAGGCAGTGGCATGCTTTAACCAAGCGGCACCTTGGCGAATTCGGCCTTTGGAGCTAGTTGCCTATATGCCAGTACCAAGGATGTATTGGACGAGAAAGGCGCGATTTGGGGCTTTGCAGCCAGAAGCCAGGACTTCACACTTTGCCAACTTTGTGCCTGGCAGGCCTGGCTGCTGCGCAAAGCATCATCGAGGCGCTGAAGCAGCACCTGGCACCACCTCGGCCACAGGTGGTCCCCGGAGGTCCACCAGGTGCACTTCCACCGCAGATGATGCAGCAGTATGTGGAAGAGGAGGTTGCTGAAGGAAGGGTAGCCAGGCCGGGCGTGCCGTGCTCTGTAAAGTGCTCCATGCCTCCATGCGGCTTCCTTCATGCGTCTTGACCTCCTCGTACTCTTGACAGAACCACGCAAACCTCGTGCTTCACGGAAAAGCCTTCCGAGGACTCGCGAAAGAGGCCCGGCTATGGATGTAAAAGCCCTCAGCCCGGACGTCATCAAAAAGAAGATCCTGGACGTGGCATTGAGCATGACTGGGGCAGATGATGGTGACATAGAGGCTCATTGTTGCGACGTGCTGTGCTTCACAGACTGGTCCCGCCGTGTTTTTGTAAGGCCGACACGCCGCTGATGGAAGCTGGGCTCACAAGCACATCGGCCGTTGGGCTACCGGCTAAGTTGAAAGCTACAAGTTGTTGTGCGGACGACCCAACTGAGTAGGGCGTGTGTTTGAGGCTTCGGGACGAGCTCATGAAGGATCTGGTTGGCATCAATTTGCCGGTGACCCTGGTCTTTGACTACCCATCGATTTCTGCAATGACTGAGCTAGTAGTTGAAGGCATGTGATCTAGCAGCAAGGAAGACGTGTGCTGCCCGTAGAAGCGCTCTGCTGTTTCCAAAAGAAACAGGCAAAAGTCTGTGTATCTTCCTGTTATGCCAGCTGTGGGCAAACAGCATTTCGGCCTCCCCCCGACCGCAAGCTCGCACATACCTCAGGGTGGTTGGAGTCGCCGGGGGGAACGAAGGTTTGCACAGCTGCTGAGCGAGCGAGCTAGGCACCTAGGAGAAAAAGTGGGCTTGCATTGCTTTCATTAAATGCAATGTTGTTTTGCAGCGGGGCCCATCCGGTCGGAAGCAAGCCAGGGTACACAATGTGAGGCCCTGGAAACGCTTTGTGCGTTTATTGAGACATTGGGTGGCACCTTTGACAAGCCGCAGTGGTCGGGCTACGCACGGCTACAGGAGATCTTCAAGCAGGCCTGCGATGTTTGCAGTGAGAGTGGGGTCGATGTGTTCTGGGGCAGGTGGAAGTCTTGGCTGACGACAAAAAGCAAAGTGCCCGAACGCGATGCCTCCTGAAGGATAGAGCCTGAAACTTGCTTTTGGTCCTAGAGAAGAGGTCCGAATCCCCATGCAAGGACCTCCTCGACAAGCGCCGCAATGCCTGGCAAGAGAAGACGACTGTCATCGCCAGCCCGAGAAGTGACAAGGACGCGGTCAGTCGGCCGCGTCGAAGCGTACTGCTTTTGCTTTGCAGCCACAACCCCAGGACAAGGAGAAGCTTCAGAAGAAGACCATCGGGTGCGAGACTTGCAATTGTTGACCAGCCTTATAGGAAGTCGATCATTCGGTGCCACGCGCGGATGGCACCTCGCTGGAGGTCTGAGAAGCTGGACTGGATGGAGGCACGCATCTCCGTGAAGTCGCCGCTGTCGGGAGTGCCCATCTCAGAGAATCTTCAAGCAGGTCCAGGTTAGTGTTTGAAAGCAGTCACGCGCAGTGAGGTCTCTGGGCGGCGCGCTGCTGCATAGGCAACTCGGCACATGGAGTTGGGGCCGGGGCTGTGTGGTTTGCCGCGCCAAGCGTACGCTGCATGCGTAGACTGGCTTACACTCTTGCACGTCTTGCCATCAGGCGTGGCGAGCCAGTCCTCATCGGTTAAAGATGGCCACGGCCGGCCGAAGTACAAGGGTCTTTGAGCACCTGTGGCCGACATCGAGGAGCGTATTATTCTTTTCACCACTTTCCGCCTGAGAAACCATTTGGAAGGGCAGGCACCGCTTTTTCTGGGGAAGTCTTGGGGTCGATTCGTTCCGCAGTCAATATGCCGAAGCTTCACGGGGCCAAGCTCTGAGATGCGACGGCCTGAGCCCAATACATGCTTGCGATGCCAAACCGGAAACAGCAACGCCAGAATCTGCTAGAACGGGGTGCTTTCTTCAGCCAGGTTCTGACCGGCAGGATGCTGGCATCGCATCCGATCTCCGAAGAAATCAACACTTTTGGGCGATAATGGACCGGTCATTTTCTTAGGGGACCTTCCCCGTTGGCCAAGTGATGTTCAGTGCAAGCACAGAGATTGGAAAAGCGGACGTGCGTGCACGTGCTTCCAATCTCTAGCCGCGCTTGAACACTCCCACTGCAGCAGCTACTTTTGTCGAGCAGTTGAACGGTTTCGCGGTTTCGCTGTTGTGCAGTTTCGTAAGGGATTGAGCAATTACTTCCCTCAGCTTGCCTTGTTTGATGGATCTGCTGATCGATAGAGCTGTGAGTTTCTTAGCTCGTCTTTCCATGCTGTGGTTGCAAGACTTCCTCCACCGAGCCTTCGTGTCAGAGCTACATCACTACAGCATCTTGTTTTCGTGCGGGAGAGGAAATCGATGGAAATTCGAACCTCATAGAGATTTCCTTTGAAGGGGTCGATGGGCATTCTATAAGAGATGGCCTCAAGGGATCAGAAGGATGTGAAATAAGCACAGTCCTTTCTTCCAGTGGCCCACATGGGTCATCTTCTGGTCCTAGAAGCTTCTCCAGTGAAGATGCCTTCGCGAGCGGAGCAAGGCGTGCATCGCCTGGCGACGTGTGTTTGCTGGTGTGAGTGGGCGAAACCCCTTGGTCCGGTGGCATGGACACTTGCTCCCACATACCTTTACGCAGAAGTGTCAAGCATTCATGTGAAGCGCAGGTCGCAACCTGTGCTGCATGTGTGTAGAGAAACAAAATGACGGCGTGCTTTGTATGTTTGGAGGCTTTTTGCCTTCCTGCCCCCTTTCAAAAAGTGTATCCTCTGAGGCAGAGCCCGAGACACCTGCTCAGGGCGAGGTGGAGGCCTCCGGGACTAAGCTTGACAAAAACGCCATGTCCAGAAAGAAGAATCTTCATGACATGCGACCAGTGCCAGGTGTCTGAGATGCAGAGCAAGCAGCTGGAGGCCACAAGAGTCGCAGCGTTCCAAGTCGTGGGCCGCGATGTTTGCGTCTTTTTGTTTCTCCGTCTTCTGCCTTGCACTTCCTTGCTCCATGCTCTGCTCTATGCTTCTACCCTTCTCTTGCGTCATGCGCTCCTGGTACAGCCCCTTTACTGCTGTCTTCAGCACGGCGGCGAAGCCACGAAGTAGCGTTCAGGTCGTTATTTTGTTCCATCTCTCGCTACCGTCGCTGCATGTCGCTGCGAATCGATGGGCTTCCGCTTCGTAGCACCGCGCCAATCGTGTAATATCAGCGTGGGCCTCATCTTCCAAAGCGTCCGTGTCTACCGAGTCACCGTTTTGCAAAACAGCATGTGCTGCACTCTGGACTCCTACCGTATTCACTTCAAATCTTGAGCTTCTTAACCTTTCACGACATGGCACCAGCCATGCGGAAGACAACGCCTGTGCAGGTGGCGCTGAGTCAAACAATCCAGCGCCTTGCGGCCGGGCGGCTGCGGAGGAAAGAGTCGCAGGCGCATCTGTGGCATCCTGTGGCTGGTCGTGCGTCAGGTCTTATGCATCTTATGTGTGATTGTGCGAGCACAGGAAGAAGTTGAGGCCCGACTGGAGCGTGAGAAGCAGGAGCTTGATGCAGACGTTCGCTGATTCTGGCTCTGTTCTCCATGCTTCGAAGGAACGGGAAGAGCGTGAGGCGCAAGAAAAGGAGGAGTTTGGAGGGTTCAATTCTGTGCAATTCTTCGGAGACGGAAGTTCGGAGTCGGAAGCCGGTCAAGGAGCGCCTTCAAGAGGAGCTGCGCCGAAAGCGACGCGCGGAACGCGCCCTGCTAGAGAGTTCCTCGTCTCCTCAGAGCAGCGGAACGGCTCACCGTCATGGCCATCAGTAGTTCGCCGGATAGTTTAAGGCCAAAGCAAAAAGAAGATGCCGCAAGCCAAGCTCCCGCACTGTCTGACGTGGGAAGCAGTTCGATGAAAGGAGCGTGATACAACATGTTCGGAAGGAAGTTCTGTGCAGCCCTGGAGGACGACGACGAGGAGTCTTGTGCTTTAGCTGTCTGCGTGTCAGTGAGGCAACATGACGCGCTTCTGACTTGGTTCCGCCACCTGGCTATTTCGGTGAGTCCAGACCTCTTGACAAGGACAGCGGCTGAGACCCGCACACGGTGGCTTCAACATGCTGCAGAGTGAAAGTGAAAGAGCAGACTGCCCGACGAATCATAACATCACAAGGCAGCACATGTCACACCTGCGTGGCCGATGGCGTACCTGGCTCCGACGCAGTAGCTTGCTTGTGCTTGCATAGCCAATTCCGAGGGCGCAGGTGTACTTGCATTCTTCGTCGCATGTGCAAGCATGGTGAAAGCAGCCGGCGGCAAACGACAGTAAACTCCCGGCCAAAGCCGGCAGACAAGCACAAGTTTCGTCGGCAGTTTGCCCCAGAAATACGGGCAGACCAGTCGCCAAACTCAGACGGCTTGAGGCTTCCTGGGACTCCTGTCGTTCTTCCGTCGTGGCCATACGAAAGAGCTTCGGAGGAGATACGAAGCCCGACGAGCCCGCACGCCTTGGTGCCTCCGCTGGCACGAAAGCGCCTTGCGTGGGCTCGGGCTGCGACTGAAGACGTGATTTGCTGCTCTCCCTGTTCTCCCTGTGCTTTGTCGCCTGCTCCACCATCGCCCTCGCCGCGATCCTCACCTTCGCCCCATTCACGATCTCCTCAGGCAGCCAAGCTCTCGCCACTGAAAACTCGTGCTCTTTCCGTGGACACGTGCTTTGTGTCGAGCTTCGTCCGAGTCCACACCCCAAGTAGCGATGGTGAAAGCAGACATGATCCTCTTACAGCGTCTTGATCGCAATGTACGTCGTGTTTTCTTTGACTGGCGGGGGCAGACTGGAAGCATCTGGGAATGTCGTTTTAAGGTCACGGAAGTATCCTCGCAGGAAAGCCGCGGGCAGGAGTGGGTGGATCAGAACAGCACAGGAATGCGACGCGTAGCCGCGTAGGCAGGTTTTATGAAGGGGGGTTTGCTCGTCACTTGTCGCCTTGGTCGGGTTGCTCGGATGATCTTGCCTGCAGGATTTGCAAGACAGCATTCGACGCCGCAGCCAGCATCTGCGCTCACGGCTGCAAAAGGCGGTGGCATTGCAACGGCTATGCGACGAAGCGCCGGCCTCAACGACCTGAAGCCTTTCGCGTCCTTGCATCTCCTTGCATTTGTTGTCTTCTCCGCGTTCAATTTAGGAGCATCAATCAAGCAGATCTGTGAAACGCAGCCAAGGAAGGAATACCAAACGACTTTGCTGTCAAAGCACCTGCTGCGAGAAGAGCGGCCAGAAAGCATGGTACAGTTTTGCAAAGTTCTTGCCGGGAGACCGGCTTCATTTGGTCATGTTCTTGACGGAGCAGAGGCACGTCGAGCTCGGTCCACCTTCCATTTCACCATTGATGGACGGCCAGTGAGCCAGGGGGAACGAGAACAATGGGATGCAGCTGCACGGCTGCATTTACTGCAGTTGACCATCGGGAATTGTGTGGTTCCTAGGCTTTCGCGAAGTTCGCGAGCGATGGCGAGATCCATGTGGATGACTTGAGAAGGGCCTTGCAGCTGTGTGCCCTGAATCGAAGAAGATCCGAAGCATAGACGAGCATAGACACAACAGACCGCCGGCAATATGTCACGCTATAATGAGGCGGCTTCTGCGACGTGAGGGAAGCGGCTTTGCAGGAGGCGCTTAAGGACTGTACTGCCTACAATACCCTCGACAAAGGGGAGTTCGAGAGCTTTGTGTGTCGCTTCGATTGCGGCCTTCATGGAACATACAAGATGGAATTCGGGCAGCTGGATCCATGCAGTGCCGAAGCTTGGTGACGCCTTTGCATTGTTATTTCATGGTATTTCCGTAAGTCCAGAGTCAGAGAAACGACATGTGGTCAGTTTGTTAGACGGTCTAGCAGCAGATATACGAAGAGACCCCGCCGACCATATGTTACAGCCACCCCTCCCTCATCACCAAATCGCAGATCCTGCTAGCACCAGTCAGGGCACGATCGATGCTGGTCAGTTGGAACATCTGCTGAAGCGAATTGGACAGCCTGTTCGCAGATTTGTGTTAGATGAGCTTGTGAGCGAAGTGAACGGTGACGGGTATGGACACGTCGACTTTGATGGATTTCTCAAGGTCCGCCACTTGATAAAGAAGCGTGAGGGTTTTGCCGCAAGAGAACTGGACCTTTTCTCCCAAGTCTTCGAGCACTTCGACCGTGAGAAGACGGGCTTCATCAGCCAAGAAGAGTTCGCCAATGCACTCGCGTGGCTGGGTTTTCCTGACAGCTTCGCTGAACTCCATGTGGAAAGGAGGGATGGCAGGCTCAGCGAGAACGAATTCCTCCGGTGCCTGTGGAAAGTGCACAGCCATGAGACGGCACTGGTGGAAAGGTTCTTTGAAAGCCGCGATGCCCTTGGTGGAAGGCCTTCTGCAGGGTACGGAATCGGGTCTGAAGCGAAATATATTATGCACTAGTATTCCTGATTCTGAGGTTTTGACATTTTGTGTGTGGGGAGGGGGGACGGAGGGATGGGGAGAAGGGGCGAAAGAAGGAAGGCGGAAGGAAGGAAGGAAGGAAGCAAGCAGCAGGGTAGGAAAGCAAAGAAGGCAGGCAGGAAGGAAGTAAGACAAGGAAGCAATGACAACAGCCAATCGGCACCTAGGAGGAAGGGGGCTGAACAACCCCGGGCCATGTATCATTGCGAATTGGGATGCAAGGATTTCGTGCAGGACTGTTTTGTGGATGGCATGGCCGAATGCTAGGGAATGGGGCTAGCTTGCCGTTCCCAAATTGGCTTGCTATATCGGCTGATCCTGCAAGTTTGAATGCCCTTCTGCTTGCCGTGCTCCCAGACGATGCCGCGCAGCAGGAAAACAACAGCCTTCTGGTAAACCGGACCCTGTGCGTTCGAACCGTTAAATTGCTTGCCACAAGGCAGCATCCGACGAATTTGCAATTCCGCATCAGCTCGTTGCTAAACAACCCCCCCGTCTGTCCATCTGCAGAAGAACCGCTATTGGGGAATGCGGAACGCTTAAATCGAACAAGAAGGCTGAACATTTTCGTTCGTCTGAGCCAGGAGCGCTATCAACAAGCAGCTGCGTTCAGGCTTGGCGGCGCACCTCCCAGCAGTTCATCTTGACCCTGTCCATGCTGGTTTGGCAGGTGAGGAGCTCGTTACCCTGATCCACGGCCTGGGTTATTCCCCTTCGCCCCAGGCAAGGTTTCCGGGGCTTCAGCGGTGTTGCTCCCTGTGCTGGTGTTGACCAGGCGGTCCTTAATGCCATGGCTCAGACTGGCCTGTTGGTGGACTGCAGCCTTGAGGCAGCAACTGCCCAGGCCGGCTTTTTGTGTGTTTTGGAGCGGCAAAGCTGGACGGAAGGTTGTGTGCAGCCAGGCCTTTCTCCGCTCAGTGCCGCTCGACATCGGAGTGGATGAGGTGTGCAGACTTCTAAGCCCTGGGCCGAGCTCCTTTCGAACTCAAAGCCTGTGGCCTAGGATCGCTTTGCACTGAGGCAGCCTGCGATCCTGCGATGGCAGCTCCGATGCAAAGCTGTTCCTCTCGAATTCCAACATGATTAAGCATTCGGCCAGTTCGGCCTGGCTTTGTCAAGGCTTCACCGACTCCGAGATGCGCAATCTGAGGGAGGCCTTCAGCTTCTATGCCAAGAGCAAGAAGGACTTCGAGTAGTAAAGCGCCTTCCCTGCATTCCGGGGCCGGGGCATGGCGCTTTGCTCTTCCTGCTTGCACTTTGCTTGCTTTCTGCGTGCATTCAGCAGGACGCAATTTGGGCCCCAACTGTTTGCAAGGCCTTGCGGTGGCTCGGGCATCCCCTGCCCTTGGACGACGTCCTCCGACTTATCGGCGAGGCCTCCTTTGTCTTATCTTTGTGCCAGCAGTAACAAAGCAAGTTTCATCTTGTCGCCGCGGTGATCTACTCTGGAACTCGTGCAAAGATGCAGCTCTCATGCTAAACCGCTTTCCGACAGGTTGATGTTGATGGGACCGACATGTTGGACTTCAAGATGTTTGTGAAGGTAACTCGTAAATGCAAAGACGCTGGATCGCATCAGTATCTCTCGACTTCACTGCATGTGTGCTCCTAAACCACAACTGAAGATTCATGTCGCTTGGTCAGCTCCTAACAAAGGAGAAGGAGCAAAGAAGGGCAACGGAAATGTTTCGTTGCCTCGACATGGACCATGTGGGCTTCCTTGACGACTCGGAGCAATGCCAAGCTCTGGAGAGCTTGGGTTGTTTGGATGAGAATGGGCAGCCGCCGCCTCGCTCTGCAGGCTGGGTTCTCTCTTTTGTTAGAGGTGTCTTCTTTTTTCGATTTCTTTTTTCGAAGTCCGAGTCCTAGCCGGGCGAGGAGAGCGCAACGGCGCCGACCTTTCCACCTTTCTGAACATCATCGAGAGGTTCAAGATGTCGTCGCGGGCCACCAGCCGCGAACACCAGGCTGGCACCCATGGGGGGCTCTAAGGCTGTCTCGTCTTCCATCTGCTTGGTTGCAATGTTCTCGCAAAGAATGCAACTCTGAATTCTGGGGAGGAAGCTTCGCTCACCCCGCAATCCTCCGCACCCACCCTCCTGTTCTCCTTCCGATCCGATACAGACTTCTCACGTCAGCCCCGAACCTCCAACTTAATTCTGCAGAACCCTTGCCATCTGCTTCAGCTGGGCTCGGGCACTGTGCTCTTGCTATGCAGTGAAAACCTGTATCCGATGCTTCGGAGCTGCTTGAACTGGTGGAGAAGTTGGGCCTGCGACATGTGGAAAGACTTGCAGAAACCGAACGAGTGCATGGGGCCGCTACACAAGACAAAAAAACGCTCGCTTGAGCATCTAGCTGCGACGGATTCCAGAGTAGGCTGTTGCAACTCTTTCGGTACTGGTCCAGAGCAACATGTGGGAATTGCTTGCTGACTGCTGTGGGCCTGAAGGGCTACGGCTTCCAAGAGGTTGCGGAGCTCAGAAAAATCTTCCACAACTCAGACAGGAATGGGAATGGCACGATGTCAAGAAGCCAGCTGGCGCGAGTTGTGGAGCAGCTGTTTCCTCGATTGGCCCACACGATCGAGTTTCGCCCTGTGCTTACCCATCTATTTGAGACCGCCGACCAGGACACTGCGAACTGTTTGGTCTCAACTAGGGTGCTGTCTTATGAGGGTCGCTAGATGCTGGAAACTCATGGAAGTCATGCTGACCACGTTCTCGGTGCATAGTGCCTTTGAATTGAGGCATCCTGTGGGCGTCTGCAGGATCACAACGGGTCGCTCGACTTTCTCGAATTTGTTTCCATGGTTCGCCAGATCTCGGACCACGAGAACGAAGTCCAGCTCCCTGGCCTCATGTAATTGAACGACACCTTGGGTTAGGAGCCCGACCATGGGTATCAAATTCGTGATCGGCTCAAGATGTCAGGTTCGAGCTCCACACCGAATTGGCCCGTTCAGGTAGTTTTGGTACTACAATCGACTGAAAGCAACACGGGGCTCGTCGAAAGATTCCCACAGAGACGCTTTTGCAGCCATGAGGTTTGAACTGCAGAAGGAGGCCATTGAGGACCTCGGCTTCTCCCAGGCGGAAGCGAACCAATTTCGGGAGCTCTTCATGACCACAGATGAGGCCGGAAGGCATCTGAGGGCCTAGGCAATTAACAAAAGCGGGTTCGGCATGTGGAGGCCGGATCACACACTTTGTCTCTGGATCAGATTCGGGAGCTGCTTTCGCACAGCTTTCAGCTGAGTGAAACCTGGCTGTACGGTTGCTTTTGCTTTGCATCTAAGCAGGCACTTCGGAATTCCACTTTGACTGCCAAGGATAGTAGACTGGAGCAGCTGCGTGTGTTCTTCGGTCATGTGGTGCGACCGTATCATCCGGTCGATGGCGGAGCTGGCTTCATCGAGTTTTTGCATATCATGCGCATCCTGACCTGGTATCGGTAGCAGAATAAGAAGTTCGGGCCAAGCATGCGAGTTGATGGACATGCATGTGTCGAGTAAGGAAAAGTTGCCCAAGCAGGGTGGTGTGCTTCAGCTTGACGGATGCCTCGGCCATTGCAGAAGCTCGAGCTGTCTGCAGAGCCAGGCGAACGAGGCAGTCGACATGCAAAGCACAAGTGCACAGGCCATCTACCTGCTCGTGCAAGTGGTTGGCACCAACCGATCAAAGCGAGTACATTCAGCGCTGTGTTTAGGTGTTTACATGCTGAGTGCAGTATTTCCTTCGTCGCGTCGTTCAACGTAGACGATGCAGTCCCTCTTTCTATACTAGCTTCTGCCAACAGCCAGACTTGAACAAGTGTTTTGACCTTTAAATGGGCAGAATTCAAGCTGTCTTGTGCTGAAGCAGCTGGAAGTGAGCGACCGAAACCGTGCTTGCCCGGCTCGAAAACAGGTAAAGATCAGGAGGCTTGCACAAGAGTTCATGTTTTCCGCACTCGTTCGAAGGAAGTGAAGCAGTGCCCACCTCATGTCATATGTGTAGGGCGTTGCATCTGGAACAGTTCCTCAGCAAACCTGGGGTGTTGTTGTCTCTACGACCTTACCGCTCACATCCAGAGCAAAAGACGTTGCGTGAGTTTCAAGGCGCTACGTGCCCAGTTCCCGAGCTCTGCCCCCACATCATGTGGCCGGTGGAGTTCGCATTCGATAATGTGGTTTACATGCCAACAGTTGACGCAAGCTATCGTCACTTTTGTTGCCATTTCCTGCTTGGCCATTTTCCCTGGGGCTGATATGGCAAATGAAACCACAAGTTTCGAGCCTCCTGCAAAACCTGCAGGGATGAATATCATCTCATGATGATTGTTTCGTTTTCGAATGAGAAGTTAAGTTGCTAGAGCGCAACTTCAGAGACTACAACGAGAATCCGCGTGCTGCACTTCCAAAAGGTGTTCGTGCGGTCGGAAGCGCAGTCGTGTGGTGGGCATAGATGCTTGGGGCGTTATGTCTAGCTTTGGCTCGCATGCTGGAAGCAAGGACGGCCCCACAATGCCCTCAGTGAACCAAGTGCTAGTTCATGCACCCTGGCTGCTTTGTGACCCACGCCAAGAATCGCGGGAAGCCTCGGCATTTGATGCGATGCCATCGCCGCCATGGGTCTGGTGGCCTCCGCCGACAGCGTTGTGGTTGCCAGTGGTTGGACTGCACCGACTCCACGGTGCTGGGACCCGAGCCTACCTTCGGGACAGGAGCTGGAGGCGGCCGGGCGCATTAGGATAATGCAACTGCCGGACCGAATATCAGGCCTCCTTGGAACAAGCTCCCCCCCCTCCTGGCCTTACACAATTTCTTTTGGCGATTCAGAGATGCAGGTCTCGTGCTGCCGGCAACAGGCAGACTGTGCCGCTCCCGCATTTGCGCCCTTGCGGGCGGCCTGCTGTGGTGAGCTGCGACAGGGCGTGCAGCGTTTCAGCGCAGAGTGGGAGCGGGCCTCAGGATGGAAGTGAATTCTGTGGAGGCTTCGTGCTTCGTGCTGCCGGCTTTGTTTGTGCAAGGACCAGCTCGAGCTGGGTATCGAACACGCTTCGGAGGAGCTGATTGGAATTGTGGAGGCCACAAGTGCCTCCAGATGCGAGGAGCAGGAGAACTGCCGAGCAGATTTCTTTCTGTATGCCGCGGAGGCAGGAAGCCAGAAACAAAGAAATTTCTGACCCGAAGGATGCCCCCTGAAGGTTGCAACGTCTTCTTCCCTGGCGAGGGTTTTCCAGCTTGGCTGGTCGGACCTCACTGACGAGGGTGAGTTTGCCCTGCAGGTTCGACTTGGGCTCCAAGTAGGTCGCAGTATTTCGGGATATCTCGGGCCATGGATCACCATCAAATTATTGTCATCATCAGGGCTGAGGGCCGTAAGAGATCGGAGGCACTCCGTGTTCAGGAGTTCTGTCCAACCAAGCCGTTTCTTCGCCTCGCTCTGTCTCTATCTCTACTGTCTACTTTGCAGAACCCGAAACTGGAAGTTTAGAATCAGGGAAGTGCAGCGGAGCTGCCTGGCGGTCAGCACTTAGCAAGTACGGTAGCTGTTGATCCTAGCTTTCTTGGACACCAAAGCTTCGCCAAGACCTCTCTTGCTAGTCCATATGCGACCCAGAGGACTGGCGTATCACCTTGCTTCAGACATGCTTGACGCTGCTGTCAGCTTGGCACCCCTTGGCGCAGAAGGCGTGAAGAACAAAGAACGAACAGGGAACAAGGCGAGACTTTGCTTTCTCCACCCCCTTTTGCACTCGGCGATTTTTTTCCTGAGGCGCGAGAGCTCTTCTCCGAGGCTGCGGGGCAGTGGTGGCAGGCGGTGCAGCAACGCTCGGCAGCGCGTTGGACAGCGGCCTCGCTGTCGACGTTGATCCCTTCACGGATCCTGCACATTGCAATGGCCGGGCTGGCGAAAGGGGAGCTCAGGGGATTGAAGGTTCTGTATGAGGTTGCGTCTTTTGAGTCTGAAGAAGGTGGCTTCCGTCGGCGCCCCTCCCTTCGGACGAAAAGCGCTGGCGGGTATTCGTTCGGCGCTCTTCTTCGCCAGTTGCCCGTTGCGCTTCCACCTGATGGTCGACCAAAGCGGTGAGGCCGACGTGCAGACGGCTCTGGCCTCCCTTGAGCCCTGGCTTCTCTCTCGAGGAGGGGTCGTGCCGAGAAGGGCCCACAGTAAGCGTAAGACGGCCCAAGACCAAGACGGAAGACCCGAAAGCTTGCGAAACGGATTTGACAGGCTCCTTTCGCCTCTATCGGGTCGAAGAGCTTCACGCTGCGTGGTCGGAGATCCGCGCCCTCGTCCCCGAGAGCTGCTTGCAGTACAGCAGCCACTACGGGAGCGCAGGCGTGGCGGCACAGGAACATGGCCAATATGAGACGTACAGTACCGGGCAAAGGCAGAGCAGTGTGATGCAATGTGTAGAGAGCGAGCTCCTCCCGAGACAGGGGAGCCGGGGCGATAGGAGTGTGGAATTTTGAGCCGCCCGATCCCGAGAAATTTAATAAATAGTGGCACCGAGCTGGACTCCTCCCGAGACAGGGAGTGCGAGGGCGCTCGAGCCCTGAAGGATGGCTTCGGGTGTTCCCGCATCTGGTGATCCCGGAAGCGGAGGCCGTGGAGGAGCTGGTCTGGGTGGATGCAGGACATCATGACTTCTGGCCACACTCGCTTTCTAAGGCCTGTTCTACTGACCAGGAGATTTCATCTTTCTGGACGACCCGGCAGAGCTCGCGAAGGAATGCGACGCGTTCCATGAGGCATCTGCGCTGATAGTCCGAACTAGTCCCGTGCTTGCGCGGAACCTGCTCGCGGATTTTTGAGGACCACTTGATTGGTGTGGCAGATCCGCAAGTCTTGGGGCTTCCCTTGCAGCTGTTTCTGCTTCCGCGGCTGCGAGAGCGGGCACATCTCTGGGCGGAGCTGGTGACAGGAGCCGTGCTGCGTGGCCGCGAGGCTCAACAAAAATCTTTCAGGTCTTTCGGTGTCTGTGAGGAGGTTCGGTGCACTTGCCAGATCCTGCCAGCCTGTGATCTTAGGATATGCAGAGAAGGGTGATGGCTTTTGCAATCTCGGTGAGGGACTGGCCTTTGTCTACCTCTTGAACAACACCGAGCACAGTCTGGATCTCAGCAGAGGGGAATGCCGGAAAAATCCAGCAGGGGCTACAGTTCTTTTCCTCTGCAGGTTGGATGTACCACCTCCTTCCTCATCGCTGGACATACATGCCTTGGGCTGTCTGGCTGCCGGCCCGTGGCACGGGAAGCATATGGGCTTCGCAAGAGCTTCTTTGGCGGCTGCCTGCGGACTCGGTGTGGCGCGTCGTGGCTGATTGAGATGAGACTCCGAAACACTTCTCTCGCTTCGAGTTGTACATTGTGCCTTGTGAAGGGCATGCTTAAGCCCGTCTTCCTTATTCAGCCTATGCATCCTCAGTCCTCGGAATCATCGTCATTGTGTTGTACAGCTTCTGCTGCTCGACACTCAAGAGACAGCAAACGATGCAGTTCCGTTGCCAAGGCGATTCTGTGTTTCCAGGTCTTCTGGACCGCCGGATTGTTCATGGCTTGGTTGTTGCCTCTGCTGGGGCTGCCTGACCCGAATCGCTGTTCTGCAGGACTTCATGGCAATCCGCGTGAGATGCGCGAGCTTCCTTGAAGATATTGCAAGCTACATCCGAGCAGCCATGGAATGGGACCGCACTTCCTTGTCACTGCGATTAGGACAAAAGTAGGCCATGAATCACGAGTGGCGCGTTTGAAGGACTTGCAATCAATCAGTGCAGATAATGGGCGGTGGCCTGGCACAGCAGCCTCAACAATTCGACCTTCACTAGTGAAATTCCACTGCTTCGCTCCCCAAGGAAGCACTTTCGCTTGACGCAGGATGCGCAGATCGTGGATGAGTTCCAACAGAGAGCCTCAAACAGCATCAAACAGCATGGGGCCTGCTAGAGATCTAGAGCGACGTAGGTGCAGAGCAAGCCGCATGAAGCTGTGATGCGGGCATTCGTTTGTGAAGAAAGGCTTGGCATGCGAAGAACGCGCCTCTGCAGTCCACTTCGCCGTGCTCTTCCACCAGGTGGGCTGCCGAGATCCGAGCGAATCTGCCAACGACAGCCTGGCGGCCTGGCGACTGAGGTGCCCTGGGTCCACCGCCTTCCAGTTGCACTGAGACTGAGACTTTTGGGGCAGCACCAATTTTTCCCCCCTCCCTCTGCTTCCGCCCCTGTCCTTCAGGCTTTCTCAATTTCTGGGCCGGCGCTGAGGTCGGAGTGGGCTCAGCCGTTGTTTCTCAACTCCCGCCTTGTTAATCCGGGGATGCCCCAGTGCAGGTCTGGGTGCCTCGAGCAACCGCTGTGCGCGAGTTGCGGATATCGTTTGACGAGAAAACTGGCTGGCCGATGTGAGCACTTGTTTTGAGAGTTAGAGGCCCATAACTGTCATGCTTTGTGCTCTCAGAAGCATACTCAGAAGCATGCAGTGAACAAAAGAGGGAACCTGCAGAATCATTTCAGCGTAGACCGACCCTGCAGCCGGCGCGACTAGATCAGATGCAACACCACCATCCTAGCCAAAACTGTGAGGAAGCGGTCACACGTCATGAAGCTAAACTAGCCTGATAGTCACAAAGATACAAACCTTCGCGAGCCTCCTTGCCCGTGCATGGCCACCGATGATGCTCAGCGCAGCCCACCCAGACGGGAGATTGCTGTTCCCGATGGCGTTGTCATTCTGTGCCAAGGCAGAAGACAGCTCCTCGTGGCGATCGAGGTGGCCCTACAGAAGACTGCGCTTTGAAGGCAGGGGTGGGTGGAGCAGTGCCCAGGAATGTTCGGCATCACTCGAGCTCAACCTTGGCAATGCACCTCGGCTTGCGTTGTTGGCACAGGGGTGACGAGCACAGTACCCTGGAGCACTTACTGGCTCCTCGAAACTTTGGGATGTTTCGCCGCTGGATCAATCCCGAAGTGGCATCCTACCCGTCACCTCTCTGCTGAACGGGCACGGTTCTTGCAGCACCACAGTGTCGACATTGAGATGCACAGAAGAGACGTCCCGCATGTTATCTGGAGTGTATGGCATGAAGCAGCCAAGAGCAGCCCAATAGCAGTCACAGGGCCTAGAGCCTGGGATTGTTGGTATGCCAGGCCTCCGTCCTTCAGCGCCGGGGTGAGAAGCATCGGAAGCTCGGCGACCTCCAGAAGGCAAGCAAAAAGTGTAGGAGGCCCTGTGGAACTTGAGCCGTGCGAGAGGCACTGGCAGACTTCAATGCCGCCCTTGCAGTTGATGAGCACTTTGCCGGGGCCTTGATTGCAACTGTTGTGATAACAAGGCCAACCAGGAAAGAACAGGTTCATGGCAGAGGAGAGGAAAGCCGATCCGCCGATCTGTGATAAGGTTGCTAGCTTGCAGTCTTCTGGCACGCTTCCGTCTGTTGTGAGGCCCTGGCGCTGGCGGGTCGTGGCTCCGTCTTTCGGTCACAAGGGCACCTGCCACAGGCCCACACTTCTGAATAGTCAGGTTGTTGCAGTATCCTCGCAGGCCATTAGACAGTGCGTGACGTCACAGTGGTGTTTTCAAGGCTCAAACCTAAACACTGCCTAGAGCGAGCATGCGATAGTTGGTGTGTGTGTGTGTGTGTGCATTTCGCTTATGATTCTGCTGTCGCTGATGTCGCCATCTGGGATAACAGCTCCATGCTTCCGCCCTGGCTGCTTGCTGCGTGCGCCGTGCCGATTGTGCTGGTATTGTACAAGTCCATAGACGACGGCATTTTCACTGGATCCACGGCTGCCGAAGATGAGAAGCTGCGAGCTTACTTGGAGAAGCTCGAGGCCTGCAGGGGAAGAGCCGGCGTGAGTCCTTCAACCGATTCGACTAGCTGATAGCTGCAGGCAGCGAATGACATGGCCGAAGTGTTCTTGAATCAGATGTGGGACCGTGCACTCGAAGCACCGGTTGAAGCAACCGCGGGCCTCACGAACTTCACTGTGATCACAGTTCTTTGTCCCAAGTCCAGCTGCTCGGAGCAAGTGAGATATAGCTCATTGGCGGTTTGGTGTGTAAGGTAGACACAGACAAGCCACGTGACTTTGCAATGCTGGGTCCTGGAAATGTCGCTGTTATCAATGCGGGCGCGGGCCAGATGTGGGATTCCTGGTATGACAAGCCCCGCCTCTACCAGAAGTATCTGAAGAAGTTCGCTGTTGACTTTCCCGATCGCATCGTAGCTCGGCAGTCCAAGGCTGCGCTCGTCTCGGGTTAGCCCCTCTACATAGAGCGCAGGTGATTCTCGCTGACGGCTACGATACAATTTTCGGCGGCTGCTCTGATGATCAGAGTCTTGATTTCATAAGAATACCGCCATGACATCAAGCAGTGCAGCCGCATGTGAACAAAGCATGGTGAAAGACGGCTTGTTTGATGCGGAGGCTGCTGGCATCTTTCCGGAAGATTCTCGATGTCAGCCAGGCAAAAGTGGTGTGGGGTGCTGAAAACTGCTGCTTTCCATGGAGCGACGCCTGCAACTGGTCCTTTGCCACTGATGCGGAGCTAGTCCCAAATCTGGCACAGTATGGCAGGTATTGGAGTGGTTCCGAGGTACAGAAACTTCACTCAGCGGCAAGCTTCTTCGCTTCAGGCTTTCGGCATCACAGAATCGTATGTGCCTGGGCTGCTTGGGACTAAAGCCTTCGGCACGCAGGTTAGCGCAAATAGCCGTACTTCAACTCTATCACGTGAGTCTGATCTCAGGGAACCTACGGAGACTGCAGGCGATGCCGGGACCTGGAAATTCCAGGATGACGGAAGTGGCAGTCGGAAGCTGTCGTGCTTTGCAGAGCCAGAGCATGATGGTTATTCAGGATATGACTCCTTCTGCTCATCGCCACCGACATACCAGCACTTGAACAGTGGCTTTCTGATGGGAGAGGCCTCGCATGTGCAACTAGGACGGCGATTGGAATCCCCACGCCACTTGCAGCATTCCAGGCAGCTGCCGCTGTTGGTTGCTAAGGCTTTCCGCTGTGAACCTTTGGGTCAAGCTGTACAGCAACTTCAACGAGACTGACCCAGATCAGCTGGTGGCAAGCCCCGTGGGCTGCGCAAGGAGTTCCACGTTGGAAGTAGCGGCTGCTGCACTTGGTGCTAGTTTCGATGTGCGAGATGAATCTAAGGCGAGGCCTTGTTCAATCAGCCGGACTTGATGACTTTGGACTACTCTGGACGGCTAGTATTGACGATCGGCAACATAGTCGAAACATCAATTCCACAACTGCTGAGCATCAGGAACGGAACGCTCTACAACCATGTAACGGAGGCTCCACAGTGCTTCGTTCATGGAGCTGGGCCAGGAAAACTCTTCCTGGCCCACGTCCTGAAGATGCTGCAGAGCAGGATAGACTAGCGACGTTTGCTTCAGCCGGCTCAAAATCCCTACGTGGAAATCCTTTGCGAGGGCACCTTCCAAAGGAGTCCGATAGAAACTTTGCTAGGCTCATGCGTGGCACGAGGCCTTGGACGACTTCGACAAGGCAGTCAGCTTGGAGCCCAATAGCGCACAGGCTGGGACCTCCCAAGGCGATTCGTTGACGGTTTCTTCGATTGCGGAGAGGTTCGAATCGCTCGCGCTATAGCTCTTCGAGACCAGGGCGAGATGGAGAAGGTCTGGGTTGCGTGGACTGCAGTGGCATGCTCAAGTACAGCAGGGGCACTTCGAAGGCGTGCAGAGGTGGACTCTTCATGTTCGGAGCTGGCTCGAACTTAAGATCACAGGCGTGCACGCCAAAACTTGGTTCCTACCGATGAGTTCGCTTTCGATCACAGTTGCGATAAGGATCTTGTTCAGAACACACATGCCAAACTGTGCGGGTAATAGCGGGTGGACATCTGTGACACCATGCTGTTTGCACTTCCTGGACACATCGGCGGAGAGATGGAGGAGCCTATACTTTTGCGTTTCGTCGCAGCTTGATGCCAGGAAGGTCAGTGAGTGAAATGCAGGAGACAGCAAAGGAAACAGTTGCGCACCGCTTTTGCGCTTTCGTGACGAGCTCGGTGATGCTAACTAGCACATGTCCAATCCAGTTTCTCTTCGAGTCTAGATTCTGGTGCGAAGCACAGGCTCTGAGAACCCTCAACGAGGACATGGATCCACTGTTCGAGAAGTGCCTCGGGCAAGCAACCAGCCAGCTTGCATGTCGGTTTTATGAAGGGTGTTGATGCCTGCTGAGGTTTATGCCCATCTTTGACCAAGATGTGAAGGAGTTCTTGCAGCAAGGCGAAACGCACGAGCAGCGAGAATCCAAGCTTGTCCGCATACGGTCCTGCCGCTTCCGCCTGGCCGACCAGTCCAGGTATGCCGCGTACCGCGAGTACGTTGCGAGTCTCGAGGAGCACGCCTCCGACTTTGCTCTGCAAGAGGGGCCGCGAAGCTGAAGAGGGAAGCTGCGAGAAGCTGCGCGATTGAGCCGAGCTCTGAGGTACAGCCCCGGGGATGCTGGAAGCTTCCTTTCCGAGCTGCAGCGGGCCATCGAAGAAGACAAGGCGGGCCGCGGGCCAGAACCGGTTATACTGATCACAGCTCTTCTTGAAGAGGTCCGGGCGGAGAAGCAAGTCGAGGCCGATTCTGGTGCATTGTTAGCATCCAAGTTGCGATGCAGAAAGGCCAGCCCGAAATGTCATGCAGCGGGCACGCGACCTCTCTGCAGGCGTTCTTGGTGCACATGGAGCAGCAACGGCGCATGAGACTGGGACCCGAAGCACCTCCAATGGAACAAGGCGCAGGGGCTTGCTTCCCTCGTCTCGTATTTGTTCGGTATGCTTACAGCGGAAAATGGTGCAAGGGGAGGTCGATCTGATGAAGGCGCTCTTCCGACCTCAGACCGTGGAGGACATGATGGAGATGCCCGGCTTCTGATTTTGATGGATATCCGCATGGTCGCATGGTTGACCATTTGGCCACGTCAAGACCGCATGCCTGCGCCGAGGATGCTTCTTCACATGACGGAGTACACCTCCTTCAGCAGCCTCATGTGCCTGGCATCATAAGTAGATTCCCTGACGCCTCCGGAGAGCTCTGTCCCTTTCTTTGTGCTCATCCTCTTATGCAGGCGGGCTAAAGTCCAGCAGAAGAAGTTCATCCGCGAGATGGAACGCCGCAAGCAGGATGCGAAAGCGTGGGCCGGGGTTGCAGTAAATCTATGGACATGTCGTGGAACTCGCACAAGTCACATAACCTTCTGCTGGAATGTGCAATGGCGTACATTGCCATTCTTTCGCCCGAGGTATTGATCGTAAAGCGCGGCACGGCAGCGTTCTGAAATCTTTGGCTGCAGCATTCTGGCTCCCATAAACTCCCTGTAGTGCTGTATGTGCGATTGGCCGGAAAGCCCGGAGAAGATGGGTTGGGATGTCGTGGGCTTCGAGTCCGTAGAGCCCATGGATGCGAAGCCGACATCGGGTGAGCCCATGGACTTCCTTCGGTGGCTAAATGCACGGAGGAAGTGCAACCTTGAGCTGGTGGACGGCACGGTGCTCAAGGGCTACTCCTTCGGTGCTCCGGTCTCCGTGTCCGGTGAAGTTGTCTTCAACACCGGGATGGTGGCATACCCGGAGTCCTTGACGGATCCATCCTACGCAGGGCAGATCCTGGTCATCACGTATCCGCTGGTCGGAAACTACGGCGTGCCCTCTGATGAGAAAGATGAGTTTGGACTTCCTAAGTGGTTCGAAAGCCACAAGATTCATTTGAAGGGAGTCGTGATTTCCGACTATTCCTACGAACCTTCGCATTACAGTTGCGTTCGGACGTTGGGACAGTGGCTGGAGTCGCAAGGTGTTCCAGGCATTTATGCCGTGGACACGCGACTCGTTACCAAGCAGATTCGCAAGACGGGTTCCATGTTGGGAAAGCTCATCGTGCAGGGAAGCACGCCGAGTTCACACCTTGTCGTGGATGACCCAAACACACGCAATCTCGTGGCAGAGGTGTCCAGAAAGCAGAAGGAAGTCTTTGCGCCTTCGCAGCCCAACCCTCGCTTGAACCGAGACGTGCATGTCTTGGCCGTAGATTGTGGCATGAAGAACAACATCATCCGCTGCCTCGTGAAGCTCGGGCTCCGAGTCACCGTGGTCCCGTGGGACTACGACTTCACTCAGGATAGTTTCGATGGCCTCTTCTTAAGCAACGGCCCTGGGGATCCAACCCAGTGTGCGAAGACTGTGGAGCACGTGCGCACCATCATGCGGGAGCGGCCCAAGACGCCTATCTTCGGAATTTGCCTTGGGAACCAGATTCTCGCCTTGGCCGCTGGAGCATCTACGTACAAGATGAAGTTTGGGAACCGCGGGATGAACCAGCCAGTTGTGGATCTGCGCACACAGAAGTGCTACATCACTGCGCAGAACCATGGATATGCGGTTGACAACTCCAGCTTGCCGGAAAGCTGGGTGCCACTGATGATGAACGCCAACGATGGCACGAATGAGGGCATCATCCACTCCTCCAAGCCGTGGTTCTCGGTGCAGTTCCACCCGGAGGCCTGGCTGAGCTGCATGTGTGCAGAGCTACGTAGCAGTGATGAAGTGCGGTAGCAGAAGGCGATACCTGCAGCATGTGCTGACTGCTTTCTGTTTGCCCAGGCATGCGGTGGACCTACAGACACTGACTTCCTGTTTGATTACTTCCTGCAGTTCATTGCCGAGCCCACTGCATCCCCTGTCACTACAATGCCTTACTCCATTCCGACAGTCTACAGAAAAGTGCTGGTGCTGGGATCTGGTGGCCTTACCATCGGGCAGGCGGGTGAGTTCGACTACTCTGGCAGTCAGGCCATCAAAGCTTTGAAGGAGGCAGGCATTATGTCCATCCTCATCAACCCGAACATCGCAACAGTTCAAACATCGGCCGGCATGGCTGACAGGGTTTATTTTCTGCCAGTGACACCGGACTTCGTGATTAAAGTGATCGAGCGTGAGAAGCCAGACGGGATTTTTGCAGCCTTTGGCGGTCAAACGGCTCTCAATTGTGCCGTGAAGCTGCATGAACGAGGGGTCTTTGAGAAGTACAACGTCAAGGTCTTGGGCACCCAGATTGAGGCCATCATGAAGACCGAGGACCGTGATCTCTTCAGTAAGGTCGTGGAGGCCTGTGGCGAGAAAATCGCCGAGAGTGATTGCTGCGATTGCGTCGCAGATGCAGTCGTGGCGGCCGCGAAGATTGGGTACCCGGTCTTGGTCCGAGCAGCCTACGCACTGGGTGGTCTTGGCAGCGGCTTTGCAGACAACGAGGAGGAGCTGCGACGCTTGGTAAACGTGGCGTTGGTCAACAGCCCTCAGGTCATCATCGACAAGTCCTTGAAAGGCTGGAAGGAGCTGGAATATGAGGTCGTTCGGGACAAGAACGACAACTGCATCACAGTTTGTAACATGGAGAACTTCGACCCCATGGGTGTTCACACGGGCGAGTCCATTGTCATTGCGCCTTCCCAGACACTGACCAATGCGGAGTACTATCGCCTTCGCCAGTGTGCCTTGAAGGTGATCCGACACCTGGGAATTGTGGGCGAGTGCAACATCCAGTATGCTGTCGACACAAAGACTTCAGAGTTCCGCATCATTGAAGTGAATGCTCGGCTTTCTCGAAGCAGTGCTCTTGCATCCAAGGCCACAGGCTATCCACTGGCTTATGTAGCGGCGAAGCTGGCGCTGGGACACGACCTCGTCCAGCTAAGGAATAGTGTGACCAAGTGCACGACTGCCTGCTTCGAGCCCTCCCTTGACTACTGTGTTGCAAAGGTGCCGCGCTGGGACCTTCAGAAGTTCTCCACAGTCGATGCCCGCATAGGCTCAGCGATGCAGAGCGTTGGCGAGGTCATGGCCATTGGGCGCACATTCGAGGAGACAATCCAGAAAGCGCTGCGCATGGTGGATGAGGCAAGCCTGGGATTTGATCCGATCCGCTACGACTTGGAGCTTGGCCGCCGCGGCTTGGCCACCTCCGGTCCAAACTTCGATGTGGAGCTCAAGAAGGAACTAGCCAACCCCACTCCAGTGCGAATGTGGGCCATCGCCAAAGCCTTCGAGCATGGCATGAACGTGGAAGACATCCATGCTTTGACCAACATTGACCGCTGGTTCCTGTCGAAGCTGCATGGCTTGCACATGTTGAAAGGTACCATGAAGTCTTTGGACTTTTACGAGCTGCGGCAGAATCCAGTGCTTCTGAAAGAGGCGAAGACTCGTGGCTTCTCTGACAGGCAGATCGCTGCGATCATTTCAGCACCAGAGAAGATCATGGACAGTGAGGTCTCCCCGCAGCTGCTGCCCACGGACCATGGCTCCCAGCGCTACTCTGGAGGCCCCGTGTCCGAAGCGCATGTCCGGCACCTTCGCAAGAAGCTTGGCATCGTCCCAACCGTCAAACAAATCGACACGTTAGCAGCAGAGTTCCCGGCCACCACAAACTACCTCTACGTGACCTACAGCGGAGATGAGCACGACCTGGACCTCGCAGGGAGTGAAAAGCAGTGCTCCGATCTACAGATTACCGAGTTGAATCCGGGCTCCACGATTCCGGAACCGCTTGCGCTCAACTTCCACAGCTCCTCGGATGTGATGCAGCAGAGCAACAAGGCAAAGAAGGACGTGGATGCTGATTCCAGAATCGTCGTGCTCGGTTGTGGGCCTTACAGGATCGGAAGCAGTGTTGAGTTCGATTGGTGCAGCGTCTCCTGCATTCGCACCCTTCGATCACTAGGCCATACAGCCATCGTTATCAATTGCAACCCCGAGACTGTCTCGACAGATTTCGATGAGTCAGATCGGCTCTACTTCGAAGAGCTAAGCCACGAGCGGGTTATGGACATCACAGAACTGGAGCACCCACGGGGTGTGGTGATTTCTGTCGGTGGCCAGACCCCAAACAACTTGGCCTTGGGATTGCACAAATGCGGAATCCGAATTCTTGGCACATCTGTAGAGGCCATCGATGCCTGTGAGGATCGCAACAAGTTCAGCCAGCTTTGCGACTCCCTGCGCATCGATCAGCCAGAGTGGTCGCAGTTTGCGACATTGCAGGAAGCCCGGCAGTTCTGCAAGGTCGCAGGCTACCCGGTTCTGGTGCGCCCCTCTTATGTCCTCTCAGGCGCTGCCATGCGCGTGGCCACCAGGCTGAATCTATCTTCCCTAGTCGGGCAACAGAGTCGTACACTTGTGAAGGGTACCTTCAGATCTGCATTGTGGAAAAGTGCTTGTGGGTAGTGCTTTCCCAAGGTCACTAACGATGGCGATTTGGACATGTTCCTGAAGACAGCTGCAGTGGTGAGCCGAGACCACCCAGTCGTAATTTCGAAGTACATAACTGGGGCAAAGGAGGTGGAGATGGATGGCGTGGGCAAGGCAGGAGAGCTTGTGAACTATGCCATTGCAGAGCATGTGGAAAACGCCGGGGTCCACAGTGGAGATGCCACTCTGCTCCTGCCCGCCCAACGCCTCTTCGTAGAGACCCATCGCAAGGTGAAAAGTACTTTGGCTGCTACTAGGAGTTCTGTCCCGTGCTACCATGTCCTTCAACGTCTTGTCTTTCTCCTTGCTCAGGCATCTCGCAGAAACTCTGCCGAGCCCTCAAGATCTCCGGGCCCTTCAACATTCAGTTCATCTGCAAAGAGAATGAAGTGAAGGTTATCGAGTGCAACCTTCGGGCATCCAGATCCATGCCGTTCATTTCCAAGACCTACAATGTCAATTTCATCGAGCTCGCGACTCGCATTATGACCGGGATGCCTGTTCATCCTGCCATCATCCAGCCGATGGACATTGAGTTTGTCGCTTGCAAGGTTCCGATGTTCTCCTTCGGCCGCTTGAAGAACTCTGATCCTCGATTGGGTGTCGAGATGTCTTCCACCGGTGAGGTGGCATGCTTCGGGGTCAATGCATACGAGGCATTCTTGAAGGGCATGCTGGCGGCCAACTTCAAGCTTCCCACGAAGAACATCTTAGTTTCCATAGGTCCTGCCGCCGCGAAGGCCGAGTTCCTCGCAAGCGGCGCTGCGAAGCAGCTCCAGGACATGGGCTTCGCCCTCTTTGCCACGAAGAACACGCACGAGTACCTGACTACAAGCCAACTTGCTTGCAGCCTGGTCTACAAGCCCTTGGTCAAACGAGAGCCGAATGTGCTAACGATGCTGCAGACCGGCAAGATTGATTTGGTCATCGACATTCCGGACTCTATGGACTCTGATGCCCTTACAGATGGTTTCAAGATTAGGCGGGGAGCTATTGAAGCAGCTGTTTCGCTTATCACTGACATTAAGACTGCAATCTTCACGTGCTCCGCCATGCACCGGAAATGGGTCCGAGAAAGCAGTGGGAAGCCCTTCTGGGATGTGTGCTCCTGGCAGGAGTATGTAGAAATTGTGGAGAGGCTCACCTAAGCCGTCTAGCCTCTGTTTCGACTTTTGCACAGATCTTGTACAAAGTACTCAAGCTCGCGAGCTGTGAGCTGCCGCGCTAGCCTCCGCTAGCTGCGGCAAGGGGCTGGGGTATTGGCCTGGCAGTGAATCTTGGAGAGATTCGGACGTTGCCGGACCTAATTAGTCGACATTTGTTCTCTTCTTTATCGCTGTCCTCCAGAGCTTCTACCACTCGCGTCGTTTAGCCTGCTTTTATGGTTCAACAGCACTTCGCAAACACACACGGTGGCAGACGGGGGATGCTTCATGACAGAAGCGCGGCACATTGCCAGACAGATTCACCAAGCTTACCGGCTTGTTTCGTAAATGTGCTTTCTGTGCTTTGCTTGGCGACCGGAGATTCTCCGCCCCACTGTGCTGCCCAAGAATCTGATAAGATATTAGGGACCCAAAAAGCACATAAGCATAAGCTTTTTATAGGGATATACCTACCTTATTGGGCTTCATTATAAGGGGATTTATATGGGATATCCGGGTCCTAATTTTTGCTTATGTGCTTTTTTGGGGGCCCTATGATACCCTGAGAAACGCACCTGAAGTGGAGGAGTTGATGATGGGTGAAACTGGGCTTGCACACCGGTTCATCCACTTCGTTCGATGCCTACTTGAGCATACTGCACCATGGACCATGCAGCAACAAACCGGACGAAATCACAAGGCCATGAAGCTGTTGAACGACGACCTCCACGAGTGACCACTCTGCACCAAGAGGCTTCGTTTGAAATTCCGTTCCTCGATCGATGAAGCTGAGGTTCTACACTCGATGGACGTCGGTCTTCAATCAAGAGGCCGACGGATAGACACATGCCGATGTTGATAGAAAGTCTCGAGTCTAGAGAGTCTAGAGTTAGGATTCGGGATTTCGAGCACAGGCGGAAAATCTCGCGAATCAGGGCCATACCCATGAGCAGTACGCAGCCTTCCAGGAGACGCTGGGACTGCAGTAGGCTTTAGTTGCCTTGCGGTTTCGTTGCGTTGAGGGTGGTCTAATGTCAGTGTGTGAGACTGCCGAGGTATACCTCCATCATAGAGAATCGCCTGCTGGATTTCTGCTCTCAGGAGCTACTCTCATGTCAGAGCAACAGCTCGTGAACGGTATTTCAGGTGATGCCTGAAATCTGCCCGTAAACCTCTAATGCTCCTGACATTACTGCTAGGTTCTTGCCCCGGCAGTATTACGAGTCTTGGCATCAGTAAGTACCATCGTGGCCAATGCTCCGGGCATTACTTTCAGCTTGAATGGTGGTGTGCGTACCAGTAAGTAGTCGTATTAGCACAAATGCTGTTAACCGTGCTGGCCACTGATGCCACCAGTCCCTCGTCTTGAAGTCTTGGCTCGTAGTATCCGGCACAACAGCACGGGAGTCCCGCATTGAGACGTCGCGCACAGGAAGGCTTTCACCAGGATGCCCGGGGCCTCTTCAACGAGCTGCAGCGCCTGGTGCACAAGGATCTCACGGTCTCCTGTCTTGGGATTGCTCGTGCCCCAGTCTGCTGTGTGAGAGGACCAGGAGCAGGTGGATGCGCAGCTGAAGAGGCACCTTTCGGACGCATCGAAAATCTGCTGCACACCTCGCTCTCGCAGGGTGCTAGCAGAAGTGGAGGAGAAGAAGGAAGAGCTCAGAGCGAAAGCAACAGAGCAGGCACGAGTCCGCACAGGCGGCTTTGTTCGAAGGGCGTGAGCTGACAGGGAGACTCAGAGAAGCCTCTCATCCTCATCTGCAAGCCAGTGGCCTGACAGAAGTTCCCGAACAGCTTCGAAGCGTTGGGCTTTGGCTTCGGGTTTCCGTTTTTTTTTTAAGGCTTCTGGGCCTTCCCGAGCTCCATTCCGAGGCAGCTCTCGGGGACTTGATGCACTCTCTGCCACTTGGCCTCGAGATGCCTCGATCGAGGATGTGAGTTGCCTCAATGCGCAAAGCGTTTCCTGCAACTAAGGGTTCAGCAGACCGAGCATCTCGGATGAAAATTTCGGCTTCGTATAGAGCTCTGCGAAGAACGGGGGTGGCGAGCATGAGCAGGTATCAGAACTTCAGCGCATCCATGCGCTTCCGCGTGGAACAGGAGCAATTGCGACTCAGGATCTCGTTTGCTCTGACCAGGACGGCTAGGATGGGGCCTCTGCCAGGACCGCATGATGAAGATGCTCCTTGCAGGGCTCGAGGCCGAAACTCCACAAGGCACGCAGTGGCTTTGCAGCTCGTGGGCTGTGGCTCCGCGGCCTCTTTCGCAGGCGCGCTGCCAGCTCCGGCTGCGGGTGACCTGGAGGCAGAGGGTGGTGCCACCTTTCAGCTCCTGTCGCCTACAGCATTCGCTCCGCCTGAGACACTCTTGGCGCAGGTGGTGGACGTGGAGGCTGAACAAAGAGCTCCCCCACCTCCGGCGATCGGCTTGGCGCCAAGTGCTCTCGAACTTTCAAGCCTGGGCAGAGCTGAGCAGTTCTGCAGTGAGGAACCATGACTGTGACAGTTCCTGAAGGCTGTGAGGCCAGACCGTTTTCAAGCCTAGCCGCTGGAGATATGCATCTACACGTTGTTACGGAGCATGTACAAGGCTTGAATGAGAATGTACACGTCTTATGTAAACACAATGACTTCGCACGAGGCACAAGACATGCACATGTGATTTTTTCCATAGCCAAGTGTAAGTTTGCCACAAAGTCTCTGCATGCATGTCGCTGCCCGGTGGCCTTTTCCTCGGCGCCTTCGGGAACTCATAAAACACAAGTTGCAAAATGTCCATCGAATGGAGAATCCTGATATCAGAACATGACAGACAAGCGCCGTTAAACAACTGCTGTCCTGTCCTGAGCCTCGCCGGAAAGTGCGAGTGTGCAACATCTGCTGTGAAACTACCTCTGTAGCACAACCCGAAGGCATAACACCAGGAAGGTGGCTTTTTTGGGCTGCAGAGCTTGTATGCCTGAAAGGCCGGATCGCAGCTAAGCTTGACGGTCTCTTGCCTTGTTTAATTTGGTGCAGGGTGTCAGGGCGCCATAGGGCGCCTTCGGGTTTCTCTGTGCCTGAGGCCCCTGATGGGCAGCAGCTCTCCGTGACGGTGCCCGGTGGTTTGGCCCCAGGAATGTCCTTCGAGGCCTCGGCCCAGATATCGCTTCCAGGGCTTCGGCGCGAATGGTGCAGGTTCCATGCCGCTCGGGAGGCTACGGAGGCGGTCCGCGACTCAGAGAACCAGCGAGGAGTCTAGCGAAAAAGCCGAAAAAGGCAGAAAGCATCCTGCAGAGGCTATACGGCCCCCGCAGTTCCTGCTCCAGGCTATGCAAAATCACAGTGAGCTTGATGTGGAGAGACAGAGCGACGTGGCCGCAAGAGAAAGCTGGTACAGACTCTCTGGATCCTCTCTCTGCGCTCGTCGATGTTAGTTTGTGTAGCGCGTGTCGCTCGTGACACTTCGCGGAGCAACTGCAGGCTGCGTGTTGCATGTGTCCGAGGCCCTTTCGGCGTCGCGATCGCGAGCATGGTGCTGCTGGCAGTCAGAGACTGCGCTTGCAGCTCCAACGGCCTTGATGAGCAGTGGGTTGTACAGTGCCCCTCGCTGCCTCGATCTGCAGTTTCATGTTTATTTGCTTATTGCTTGACGGCCTTCTTGGGTCGAAGCAATCGTGGAAAGCTTCCGGAGTTTGGGTGCGAAAACCGTGTCCCTGAAGGCACGTGGACTTGACGGCCCTTAGACCGACAGGTTTCTCTTCACGACCCAAGGTATCACAGCACGGATCTCTCGTCCCCCAAGCCTAAAGCTACAAACATGGAAAGACTTGGTGAGCAATCGCTGCAGCACGACGTGCCATGTAGCCGGGCCCGCACAAGCCTAAGTGCTTGAACAGAAACTGTTGTTCGACACGCTCCACCCAGAAAGCTGCAATGAAAAGACTGAATGGCGAAAGTGAGTCCAAAGGAATGTCGGGGCTCAAACACACCGGCCTCATATTGGCTCTCCAGGCTGTTGCCGATCTGGATCGAGTGATCAAACTGGAGCCCAAAAACGTGCCGGCTCCTTAAGCAAGATTTCAGAAGGAAGGAGGTCAGCCTGTCCTGACTGCACACAGGTATGCCATTCACACACGCGGGGAAGTGCAGCGAAAGCGCGGCGAGGTGGAAGACGGGCACTCGGGACAGTTGAGCAGCTCACGCAGTGGACCTGCTTTCGCTTGGTAGACCTGCTACACTCACTGCTACATTCTGTCATCAAGCTAGCGAATGACTCGGAGTGATTCGAACACAACAAGAAGCGACATGTGACTCCTGCACGAGTGCTTTCTCATGCCCTAGGCACCCACAGAAGTGTTTTTCCATGTTCTCCAAGAGCAATGGCCAGAGGTAAGCGCGGCAAGCAAAAAGCAGAACGGGGCGAACCAGAGGATGACATCGAAGAGGAGCCTGAAGAGGAGCTGGAGGAGGAACCGCCAGACCTCGACATCGATGCCATCGCTGAGAAGGCCGTAAGTTTTGCAGTCAAAGCTTCCAGTCGTAGGGATCCTGGACAACTGAAGCTGGATGTGGGGCTCGGTCCAGAAAATTTGTATTTGCATGGTACTGGGGAGAATGTCTTCGACACTTCGGCCGTAGCCGGTCAGTACCAGGCCAGCGCAAGCGACCTTTGTCGATCACAGGTGCAAGAGGCGCCTTCCCGTGCGCACCTGGACGGCCTCCAGCAACGGGAGGTGCGGGGCACCGCTGTGCGCCCTGTCAATGACATCAAGGAGAGACGTGAGGAGGCAAAGAAGAACCGGACGGAGAAGCTGGACAAATGGTTCGGCTTGCCCAAGCATCGCATGACGCCGGAGCTTGAGAAGGAGTTGAAGGCTTTGAAGCTCAGGGCGAACTTTGACCCAAAACGGTTTTACAAGGCCAACGACAGGCAGGAGCTGCCCAAATATTTCACGATCGCCACGGAGGTTGGCGGTGGCATGGCTCCTGTCGGACTCCACACAAAAACGCGAGAGGTCCATGCCCACAGTGGCCGCAGCTTCTTGGATACCATCCTGCAGGATGAGACTGTGCAGTCATGGACGCACAAGAAGAAGAGCGAAGTCAATACGAAGAATGCAGCGGCACTGAGCAGCGGGCATGGCAAGCGGAAGTCCGAGGGGGCGAAGAGCACAAAGCGCGGAGGTGCTTGGAAGCAGCTTGCCTCATTTGGACTTACTGTTCTGACTGGTCCGGTTGATTTAGCCGAATCTAGACGCAACGATCGAAAGAAACGAGTTAGCTTCAGAACACTAGAGTCACCAGACTGGGAAGGGGAGCCTTGCAGGAAAAAGCGAAAAAGCTGAAGCACGCACACCATTCTCTTCATCACGATGCCCCGCGGCTGCTGGGTGGACCCGTACATCCTGTCGACCGGTGGCTGCACGCAAAAAAGTTGGTTTCCGGGACGGAGCAGGAGGAAGGCGAAAAGAAAAACATAAGTAGCATGCGAGGAACATGTATTGACCGCGTGGACGTGCATGAGCGGAGCTGATGTCTTGATCCCCCAAAATCTTAGCCCGGTATTTTTCGCAAACCGAGCCGACTTATCTGCGAAGCTTCGGTGCCGTTTTTTCAGGGAGACTCAGTGCTGAGGAGCACATAAGATCTACGAATTAGATTGACTCCTGTTGAGGGCTGAAGATCTGTGAATCTTGCTGGGCTCTCAGCTGCTGTAAGAGACTGTCCTTCGCCTTCGGTGTGAGAGATGGCGGAAGAGGGTCAAGGTCGGAGGGATCAAATCTGCCACTGCCGTGACGGGTGGTTGGCTGTTGCAGGTGCGTCTGCTTTCCCATCCCAATACGATGAGTCCGGCATGTTGGGTACTTAGCTGCCCCAATCGGAGCAGCCAGCTCAGACCAAATAGTGACCAGCCAGGACATCGTTTGACAGAGTAGAGGCCGAGCTTCGTGGGGAACAGCTCAAGCTGGTCTGCGTGTCCCGGCATTCAGAAAATGCCGACGGGCCGATGTCAAATCTGTGTGCTTCCTCGGACCCAAGGACTTATCCACTGGTTCCAGAGTGGAGGTTGCAGCTCTGTGGCAGTTACTGTCCGGAAGGTTTTTTTTCTGTTGATCCACACTTCTGCAGTTCGCTTCTTTTGCAGACCGCGGAGGTCTGCAATGTGGGGCACGATGTCGCTTATGCCAAGGGTCAGGTGGCAAGACAAACAGAAATTGCAACTTGGACGCACAGACTGGAAGTGAAGGCCGGCTTTGGCCAGTTGATGCTCTCTTCCGGCCCACAGGAATACGGACGTCTGCAGTTCTACCTGGCTCCCTGGCTGCCGTAAGTCAATCTGTCAAGAGAGCCAGAGCCGAACCAGGCTGTTCTCTTGCGGCTTAAATTTGTCAGGAAGACAAGCTGATGTTCGACCCACTGTCCTTCAATGATTTCCCTGCGATCATGGCCAATGCTAGCAAGGAGGTCGTCTGCTCATGCTTCACGGGTGCTGTCGTCATGGCAAGCCGAAACGAGTCAACCGTGCCAGGTGCATGTCAGAGTGGACGTGGCACCTCCAATTCCCGAGTGATCATGCCTGCCACGGTCCAGGCATGGATCGTCACATGCCCGAAGGGAGACGCCCCAAATCAGTGTCGCAGGCGGAGTCAGGGGAGCCACGGCAGCGCGACATGGGATAGCCGAGGTAGCCACGGAGATGGGAGCGTGCAGCTACAAAGAGCTGTGCGTCCGAGCCACCATGGCACCCTGAGACTTCCCAATCAGGGCTTCAAGGAAACGAGTGCGTCGGTGCAAGACGACATGTGTGTTGAAAGTCTCCGCAAAGGCACTTGGTTGCCGTGTGTTTCCGTTGCTGTGTGATGTGGGTGGGACCGGACATGGCTTGCAGGGACAAGTAGTGCAAAGTAATTCAATTAATTAAAGATGTGGCGCTCCAGGAGGTTCCTCTGCATCGCATGCTTGCTTTGCGGTGCCGCCTCACGAGACCGTGTCCTAACGGACCATCCTGCACACGCCCTCGAGGAAGCCATGCTGTCCATGCCTGGGCAGGTGCCGCCTGCCTTGAGCTGGGATGGCCAAAGGAAAAAGCTTCCCACCCGAATGCAGAATGTACAAAGAAAGTCGAAGTCTTGGTTGCTGACTTCAGAGGGCTTGCCCTGCTTGCTTCCCTTTTGGCATCGCGGGCAGAAACATTCAGGATGCCACCCCGAAGGGTGGTGTTGCTTGGATGAGCTGTGCGCGAGGACGGGGACTTGCCGGGGTCTTGAGCAGGCACATCTACCGTTGCAGCTGCCACACGATGTGCCAGACACGGGCTGTCACTTGAAAAGCTTGGGCGGACATTTCGAGTGGCTGCCAGAAGCAGCGGAAGCATCCCACAAGAAAAACGCGATCCTGGTGTTCCTTCTGTTGCAGAAAGGCGAGAGCTTGTCCACTGAGGACATGCGTTCGCTGCTGGATGTATCAGGAGAGCTAGATGTGGAAATCGTGTTCATGAGCTATGCAGCTCAGGTTGAGGTCAAGGAAGCCATGGGCACACTGCAGAGTGGCTTTAGGCAGCTGGCAAACTCATCGGACTCATCGCTCAAGACACCACGGATGATGAACCTGCACTTCGTGATTGAGCCTGCCGACGCCGTGCCGTACCACGATTGCTGGCTGTCCTCGGTGATCCAGGCCTGGTCCAGGGAGATGGAGGTTTTGGCTTTCGCTGCCGATCACAGAGAGCTGGTGTCCACGTCGGCCCAGGGGACTCGAGGCGGCTGGGCCGCCACCGTCGACAAGCACATGGATCGCGAGCTTCCCTTGCAATGGGCTGGCCTTCTGTGTGAGGGCCCAAGGGATTCCGAAGGCGATTCGCCTTGGCCACCAGCTTCGAGCAACCTTCAAGGCTTCGTGGCTTTGGCAGCTCGTGGCGAGTGTTCCTTTTACCAGAAGGTGCAGAAAGCACAGGCCCTTGGCGCAACGTCCGTCGTCATTTTCAGTCAGGATGACTCTCCCATTTTCATGGGCTGTGCGGCACCGGATCCTTGCGACGAAAGTCTGAAGATCTCTGCCGTGATGGTCGGGAAGTCCGTGGGAGAGCAGCTACTTGAGGCCATGTTCCCAAGCAACTCCTCCGCTGTGGCAGTGTCCCTACGATTCGCGTTGAAACGCCAGGGTCCAAGCATGGTCGCTCTCCTGGGCCAGGGAGGCGGGCTATGGTACAACTCCTTCCCTGGATTTGGAAAGTTGAGTGACGAGATCCGAGGAATGGGCTTCCGTGGGCATTTGCTCCACCGCACAAGAAAGCTCGGCGAGCTTGGAAACGACGTACTGAGGATCCCAGTGTTGGACAAGAAGAGGATGCCAGGCTCAATCACTAGACCGTGGACCCAAGAACAAGCCAAGTTGGTCAGGGATGGCTCCTTCTCTGAGCTCGACATAGAGCTTCGACTAGAATGCGAAGACCACTTGGATGAAAATTGCCCACCATGGGACCATGAGTTGAACCTTTTTGTCTGTGCGTCAGGGCGTTCGCAAGATCCAACTGATTGTGGTGATAGTGACGACACCATCGCGAGATGGATCACTGCCTACGGCCGCGAAGGCCATTGGCTGACAAGAGCTCCAGCAGCAATCCCGTTGCTGACTTCAGAGTCACAGTCCACGCTGCGCCTGGCCACTTGGCAGGAGTACATCGTGACGCTTGTCTTCTGGTTCCGGCGCAAGGGCAAGGCGGAGCTCACTCCTCTCACTCCTCAGGCACGGATACCTCTTTGGTCGGGGGGCGTCTTCGACCTTGGCTACAACGCTGCCCGAGAGCCGCTGTCTTTCAAAGCCCCTCATGCTAGCAAGATAGTTCTTACGACCTTGATCACCGGCCACGGCTGGGGGTACGATGAGGCCAATTGTGCGGAGTTCTGCAATCATGTTCACCACTTTGAGGTGAACGGCATCAGCAGTGACCGGCTGGTTAAGGACAACATAGTGGTGAACAAAGCCGATGGCTGCCAAGCGCAGGTTTCCCACGGTGTTGTCCCCAATCAGTTTGGAACTTGGCCGTTCGGACGGGCAGGATGGTGCCCCGGCAAAGACGTCGAGTGGTGGGAGGTGGACATAACGGAATGGATTCGGGCCGGAGAGGAGAACACGATTTCTTATCAAGCATTTTTCAATGACACAGAGTACGATCCGGTGCCTTCCAACAACAGCCACGACCTCGGCTTTCCGGCAGAGATTCACCTAGTCTCTGCTTTGATGTTCCTCGCGGAGCCTGGAACCGCCGCGACGCAGCCCGGTTCCATGTCTGCGAGCATTATTCTCCCATGAAGCCATTGGTAGCCAGACACAGTGTAGGCCCGCTTTCGGTGCCAAACTGGCATCGGAAGGGAGGTCTCCACTACTCACTACTCCCGGAGGCCAGATGTGTCTCTGAAGGCTCTCGGAATTCACTCAGCAATGCCGTTGCCCCTATAGACCGGCAGCTCGCTCCTCGCCAAACCCCTGCTGCACGTTGCTGTTGCTTTTGTTCTGGCTATCGCAGCAGCATGTGTGCTGCAAGCATTGAGCCTGGGTTCTGAGGCAGCCCTCGCAGATTTCAATGCGGCGCTCCGTATCGAGCCAGCTTCTGAGGGAAGGTTGCAGCCGTGAGAGCTTCCCAGCCGCGACTTGTCAGTCCCACATTCGCAGCAGCCTACGCGAGTCGAGGGGCCGTGAGGCTCCGTAGGAGCCCACACAGCCCACCGTCATCATCTCCCCGTGCACAGGCGAGTGCTGAAGCTGCATGCCGAGGCCGACGTGGTGTGTTTTCTTTCGGTCCCACATTCCCTCATGACCCTCGTCTCGAGGCCATAACCGACTACAACCGCGCGTTGGTACTGGCCTTGGAGATGACCGCTTGGCTGATGTTCAGCCTCTGCTGGGAGCCGTGCAAGTGTCCAAAAAATGTTACTTTCCCAGGCTCCAGAACCGCAAGCAGTAGTTTTGTAGACTGCCAGCACTGCCAAAATGGCCTTGGCCTTCGTCAAGCGCAGCTTTCAAGCAGGCAGGCAGGCGCAATGGCGGCACTTCAGTGCCCAAACAGCAGTCGCCGGAGTCCGACATGATTGGACTCGGGAAGAGATCCGTGAGATTTACCACGAGCCTTTGTTGGAATTGATTTTTCGCGCAGCCAGTGTTCACAGAAGCCACTTCAACCCCCGCGAGGTGCAGCAGTCAACCTTGCTTTCAATTAAGACCGGGGGCTGTGGTGAAAACTGTGGATATTGCTCGCAGAGCCAGAGCTTCAAGACTGCGGTGAAGCCTACTCCCATGATGCAAGTCGATGAGGTCCTCGAAGCTGCCCGCAGAGCAAAAGAGGCAGGCTCCACGCGATTTTGCATGGGCACGGCCTGGCGTGGAGTGGGCCAGAAGAATGCTTTCAAGCACATCCTAACAATGGTCAAGGAGGTTTCCGGCATGGGCATGGAAACTTGCTGCACTTTGGGTTTGTTGAATGCTGAGCAGGCCAAGCAATTGAAAGAGGCTGGACTAACGGCATACAACCACAACCTGGACACCAGTCCCGAGCATTATCCCAATATCGTCTCCACCAGGACGTATGCAGACCGCCTAGAGACGCTGGCCAATGTTCGCGAGGCCGGGATCAGCGTTTGCTGCGGTGGCATTCTTGGGATTGCCGAGACCGAGGAGGACCGTGTTGGGCTGCTTCACACCCTGGCAACCTTGCCCGAGCACCCGGAATCGGTTCCCATCAATGCGCTGGTCCCTGTGGAGGGGACGCCCCTTGGCGACCGTCAAATTCGCATGGGGACAGGGGTGACGTGGCGTGACATGATGCGGTCCATTGCCACGGCGAGGATCGTGATGCCACGGTCCATGGTCCGTTTGTCGGCTGGACGGATGGAGTTCTCCCAGGAGGCCCAAGCGATGATGTTCATGGCAGGTGCCAACTCCATCTTCACCGGGGACAAGTTGCTGACAACGCCGAATCCCAAGTTCTCGGAGGACTCCAAGATGTTCGAGCTACTGGGTTTGACGGGCAAGAAGCCCTTCACCGGCCCGACGGCGTCGCTGCGACCTTCTTGGGCCGAAGCGGAGGCGGCTGCTCCTGGCCATGAGCTACCCCAGGTCTCGGAGCCGATGTGGCAGAGCGCCAAACCCCGTGAGGTCACCTTCTGAGATTCCGAGTTGTGAGCACTGAGCACCTGAGACGGCGGAGTCCTGCCCTTTCTGTAGTTAGGCTGCCACTGCTGTCCCAGTCTTGCTTTCTCGTAGCAGTCGTAGCAGTACAGCTGTCCCAGCAAAAGGGCTTGCCCAACAAGCTAGAGTACAGAGCCGCCCAGCCGCGGTGGAGAAGCAAGAACTACGAGTGAAGATACTGCATTGTGACGTATTCTTTGGGATGCTGTGATGTTGTTGAATGGATCATTACTTGCTGAGAGTCCGCACAAGGCGAGACACTTCTATGTCACTCCATCTTAACATCTTCGATGCCCTCACGAAAACGGCCGCAGCAGCGCTTGCCCTCATGACTGTTCAAAGTCTTTGGGTGGGGTCAGCTCGGCCACCAGCAATTCGGCTCAAGCTTTCGTAGATAACATAAGACGCTGACGGAACGAACTCCTCTTGCGTATAGTTTGCAGGCACCGCTCGTGGCCCTCCCCCACTTCCGCGTTTCCCTTGCGCGGGTGCTTCTTGTCGCATAAGCGTCGGTATATCCTGGTTGAGGTTCAAGGCTAAGGTACAAAACTTTGTGCTGTGAGGCTCTGAGGGATCAATGATGCGCCCTCGCCTTGTGACTGCTTCTGCCTTGCTTGGCCAACTGAAACCTGTCGCAAGCAGGCGCAGCAGAGAGGCCTACAGATGCTTCGCTTCTGCCAATCAAGACATTTTGGTGTATGGTGCCAACACAGATGTAGGAAAGACGGTGGCGTGTGCTGCTATCTGCCATCAGGCATTGGTCAGGGGGCAGCGAGTTGCATACATAAAACCTGTGCAAACAGGAGACGAGACTGATGCAGCAGCGATTCGCGAGCATTGTTCTCGGGGTGGTGGCATGACTGATGCACTTCGCCTGGAGACTCTGTTCCACTATCCATCACCCGAGTCTCCTGCGAGTGCCGCCGAGAAGGCTGGAGCTCGGCCTCCACAAGATGCAGAATTCCGTGACGCGGTGCTTGCTTGTTTGCGGAAGGAGAGAGAGGAGCACTCGGGAGTCTTAGCGATCTTGGAGACTGCCGGCGGGCCTTTGAGCCCGGGCCCGAACCACACCTTTCAAGCCGACATCTATGCCCCCTTAAGCCTGCCCTGCGTGTTGGTGGGTGACTCGAAGCTGGGCGGGATATCCGCCACTGTCTGCGCCTACGAGGCTTTGGTCGCTCGCAAGCAGCGGCCAAAGGCAATCTTGTTCATCGGCAGTGAGGGAAGGCACAGCAATGCCAGTGCAGTGCAGAAGGCACTACCAGAGGTGCCAGTGATTTCGGTGCCTTCCACACCACCACAGCAGGAGCCCTTGACGGCGTGGTTGTCACAGGATCAAGTGGCGAAAGGCATGTCTGCACTCTTAGACGCCGAGGCAGAGTCCGAGGCATCCAGTCTTGAGGAGCACTTGAGGCTGGATCGTGAGCATTTGTGGCATCCCTACACCAGCATGGTCAAGCCGGGTCTTGTTTGGCCTGTCCGAAGTGCAAGTGGTTGCCATGTCCAGCTGGAGGATGGTCGGAGACTTGTCGATGGCATGGCCTCTTGGTGGTGTGCGATTCATGGTTACAATGTGCCAGAGTTGAACGCGGCGGCCGCTCACCAGCTAAGCCAGACCAGCCATGTGATGTTCGGTGGCTTGACGCACCGCCCAGCCACAGACCTCGCCAGAGTCCTCCTGAGCTGCATGCCTCAGGGCCTTAGCCGGATATTTCTCTGCGACAGTGGCAGTGTGAGTGTGGAAGTGGCACTGAAGATGGCCTTGCAGTACTGGGCGACCCAAGGGCTCCCACGAAAGTGTCGCATTGCGACCGTGCAGCGTGGATACCACGGTGACACCTTCGGGGCCATGGCTGTGTGCGACCCCGTGCGTGGGATGCATAGCCTCTTCAAGAATTCCTTGCCTCAGCATCTTTTTGCTGAAGCGCCGGCCCTCGCGCAACCCAAAGATGTGAATGAGGGTGCCGCCTCGGACAGTGATGGCTTTGCCAGCATGGAGGAAATTCTTCGACAGAATGCAGAAGATGTTGCTGCTGTCATCATCGAGCCAGTTGTTCAAGGTGCTGGCGGCATGCGAATATACAGCCCGTCTTATTTGGTGAAGCTGCGGAAACTCTGTAGCGATCTGCAGATCCTGTTGATTTTTGACGAGATTGCAACGGGCTTCGGCCGAACTGGCAAGCTTTTTGCTGCAGAGCACGCTCAGGTGACCCCAGACATCATGTGTGTAGGCAAGGCTTTGACGGGTGGTTACTGCACGCTTGGTGCCACCATTGCCACAGACGATGTGGCTCGCCGAGTAAGTGGCAAAGATGGGACGCAGCCCCTGATGCATGGCCCAACTTTTATGGCAAACCCTTTGGCTTGCTCTGTTGCTGCTGCCAGCGTCCGGCTCCTGTTGCAAGGGCCCTGGCAAGACAGGGTGGCCGCTATCGAGAAGCAGCTGGAGAAGGAGCTTTTTCCTTTAAAGGAGCATCGGGCAGTGTCAGATGTGCGAGTGCTAGGTGCCATCGGAGTGGTGGAGCTGCGTAGCCCACCCAAGGAACCCGCCAAGCTGCAGCAAGCACTGGTTCGGCACGGAGTGTGGCTCCGACCTTTCGGCCAAACCATCTACACAATGCCACCCTACATCATTTCAGAGCAGGAGCTCGGGTGCATTACCAAGGCCATTGCCGAAGTGCTTGAAGAAGGAATCGAGCTGACAGATTAGGACTAGGACTCAGGACTAGGTGACTATGGGACGCCACCGGCCAACAGCGTCGGGGTCAGCCAGTCGAGGACAAAAGCCACCGTGTATGCAGGCCGGGTTGGGGGAGCGAGTTTTCGCTTTGAGGCGAAAGAGCCGCGCAACCCGGCGATGCTCTGCGGCCGCGGCGCGGCGGCCCTCGAGCTCGGCCGTAAGGACGAGGCCAAGCGGCCCTCCTCTGACGGGTCTGACGGGCTGGCTGCCTTGCTTCCGTTGGCAGCCGCTACCAGGCAGCGGCGGATTTCAGGAAGGCTTTGGCCGGTCACCCCACATCTAGAGGTTCAGAGCACACCGTAGAGCATCGCCGCGCTCTGAGGCGCTCAACCCGAAGGACTCCTTTGCCAAGTGGGCCTTGAATAGCATCGAAGCAGACTCTGCGGTTGCTGCTTGGCTGCACGTTAGCTTGCTCCTCGGCTGGCAGATGGCAGCATCTCAGGCGGCACAGAGGGCCAGAATCGCGGAGGTCCAGGATGAAAGCGCCTCGCGAAGGCGGCAAGGCTGCGCAGACGGCATCAAGAGTTGAATCCTTTGCTTTCAGGCCGGCGGATGAGTCGCGATCAGCGCGACCACAGACGCAGCCGAGTGCCACAAGAAGCACAGCAAAGCCTGTGACCTACGGAGTTGTTGCTTCTCCAATTTCCCCCGACTGCGTTGACTCCGATTCGGATGGTGGCTCACCGCCTCATCATGTGGATCAGGAGGCCCCTCACCCGACATTGAGGAATACCCCAGAGACGCCTTCCGCAGAGCTAACCCTGGCTCTGAGCGTCTCGAAACCAAAAGCCCCACCACAGCCGCCGCCCAGGGACGCCTCCTCAGCCAAAGAAGCAGAGCTCGTGCCCATGACCCCGCCACCAACAAACCCCATGCCCTCTTTGGATGGCCCAGCCATTGCGGCCACTGTGACTTCCCAGGCAGCTCCTTCAGCTCCGCCGGCTCCGGTGGTGACACCCGAAACTCCATCCACCCCATCCACAACCCCCACATTAATCCAGGACAGACCAGGCGTTCCAGCCAAAACGCCAGGCCAGGCAGTTCTTCCAGAGGTGCGGACCCCCGAACCGCCCTCCACAACCCCTGCATCAACGCATGCGCATGCGGATGCCCCCGAATCCCCGAAATTGTCGCATCAGGAAGTGGCTGCCCGCTTTGTCTCCGCTTTTTCGGAGCCCGCAGAATGGCCAGATTATTTGCCCGACTCGATGAAAGCGCCACAGTCCAAGGCTCCAGCCCTCCCAGAGCCTGCAGTGGAGACGCTGCAGAAAGCCGTGCCCAGAGCAAAGAAGCGACCCGCGGAACCAGAGCCTGCGCCCCCTGTGCCGCCTGTGCCGCCTGTGCCGCCTGTGCCTGCAGCTTAGGGGGTCGAAGGCCGAAGAGGCCCGGAGTGACCAGCTGCAAGCCCTTCGCCTGACCTTCCCATGTGTCTGGCCGAGGCGCCGAAGCAGCCGACTGCAGGCGCCGAACACTCCTGTTGGGTCTGTCAGAATGTTGGGGCTGAGGACGTGGATGTGTGTTAAGCAAGGGGGGGTGTCACTGAGAGGCCAAGGCCGACGAGGCAAAGGCCAAGGTCGTGGCCGAGGCAGAAGGGCCGATGCCACAGTTTGCTGGGTTCTGGCCGACAAACCGCCGCGGAGGCCACAAGCAAGCCGCAAGCCAAAGGCAAGGCCAAAGCCAAGGCGAAGGAAGCGCCGATAGTCAAGGAGGCGGCCAAGGCCAAAGCTAAGGCCAAGGCCAAGGCCAAGGCTGATGCCAAAGCCAAGGGCAAAGCTAAGGCCAAGGCTAAGACCAAAGCCGCCGCGGTCGTACATGAGGACCCCAGCGAACAACTTTCGACCGTTCTCTTACTTGTGTATTTTCTTCTCGGTTAGCATTCTCGATTCTGCTAGTTTCAGACCTCTCGGCATGGGCTTGCAGTCTCTCATGGGGGCTGCGCCTCCAACTTGGTTTTGCAGTCTGCCACACCTTGGCAGGATGAGCAGCCTCTGTCGGACCTGCTGAGGGTCGGTCTGGGAGGGGAGCGCTGAGCGCAGCAGTGGAAAGCACTGTGCTGTACGCACTTTGCTAGGCAGCCCCCAAAGCGAGTCGTCGCTCCAAGCCCAAGGACGGGGGCCCGAGGTTTGTTGGCCCTGAACTGGCCCTGAGCCCTGAGCATCCTGAAAGATCCTCAACTTTCAGGAGGTGAATTGAGCCGGCTGTCGCCTCGGAGCTCTGCCCGTGCGAGAAAACCTGCGACTCCACATCAGGCGCTTTGACCGATGCTAGAAGCGGCTTTGGTTCCTGTCGGCAGTCCAAGGCTTGCATACAAGAACTGTGCAAACTCCAGGGGTTTTCCCGCCAACTTGGCTGTAAATGTGATTCGGGCCGAGGCTTCAATGACTCTCTTTTATCTTTTTTTTTTTTTTTTTTTTCTCTCTCTCTCTCTCGCACACTCGATGATGCATTCTCCTGATGCAGCTGTTCGGCCGAATCATGGGCCTAGTTTCAAGATGGGTCTCCTCCCTTAGTGGCCACCAACCGACCACCACACCAAGCCAAAATCAGCATGCTCGCTCCCCAGCTTCTGGATGACATCTCTGAATAGGCTTTGCTAAACATGAATCCTTTGCAGGCCGGATGTGCAGGTCTCGGAGCAATTTCACAAAATGTCGCAAGCCGTATCGCACGTCGGAAGCGAGACAGGTCTACAAGTTTGAGAGCCTCCCAATCGAACTTCACAGGCGTGCCAGGGCCTCGGGGCTCGGGGTGGGCTGCCTTTGGGGCTCGTCCGAGTATGGCTGCTGAGGTGAACCCTCAGTGGCTCCTCTACTTGGCAGGCGGTTTTTTGGTCACCCTGTGCCCGGGTTGCATCAAGAGCGGAGCTTGTCAGCCTGGCCCATCCGACTTATCATCGCGTTTCCCCCGCAGCTGCTGGATAATGGACACTAGGCAAAAACAGCAGACGCAGTCGGCTTCACGGCCTTTTGAGAGGCATCGAGAGCTCGCATTCCCCAATAACTCACAGATTTACCAAGAGAAACCGCGGTCTTGCTGCTCTTCTCTCCGCTGACGCCATGGCTTTCCTCTTGACCCCGTTCTGCCGCTGCTCCAATTGGGGAGAGGCTGCCCTGGAAGATGGCGATGCGGACTCCATCACGCGAGCCGTTGGTGTTTTGTCAGCATGGCATCTGGGGTCCCAGGGCTACTGTTGCAGTTTCTGTCGCAGTGTGGTGGAGGGTAGGCTGAGCCTTGCTGAAGGAGACGCCAAGTTGAAGCTTTCACAGGCAGAAGAGATGGCGGCATCTTGACTTCATGGCTTCATGTTTCGTTTAATATGAAGTGAGTAAGCAAGATGGCTAGAAGAGCACCGTTCTCAGTCCTGCCAGTTGATTGCTGTTTTCTGTTTTATGCATGTCTATCTTGAAAGTGTTACGAAGACGGATTGTTGTTGATTTCCTCCCTGGGGTGGTGATGGCAGCAGTGAGAGTGGTGATTTCTGTATCGAGAATGGAGCCTGAAGAGCCAGCCTTACTTCCGTTTGCCAGCCGGGCTGGCTGTAGGGTGTCCCAAGGCAAATGCAAGACTAGCTTTGGGTTTCCGGCTTGGTGGCACGCAGGCAAGATCCTTGGCGTAGCCCGTCACAAATGCGAGCCGAATGGCACCGCGGTGGTTCTCTGTCGGAGTTGTCGCAGATCGCAAGGTTTAGAACGCCAAGCGGCAGCAGCTTTCACTTATCCATTCAACGAAGATTTGTTTGAAACAGCGTCGGGTTCAACACCCCTGTTCGTAGGACAGCAGGCACTGCACGATTTTTGCTGTTGCGAGTCAGCGCAAAGAAACACAAATCTGTCATTTCGTAGCGCGTCCATGTCAAGGTGGAGCAAAGCAAAGGCGAACCCATGAATTGACCAAGAAAATATAGTCTAATATAGTCACTGATCGGTGCTCCTCAGGAGTTTCAGGACGACGACAAACCGACTGCCGAGGACAAGGCCTGTTTTGCTACCTGTATCCTTCACCGCTTCATGCCTGACGAGCACCTGCCCAGAGGAGTCAGATCACTCCACGACAGCGACGGCAACTGGCACTCAGGACGCAGCCTCATGGAGCCTCATGGAGCATAAAAGTAGCTGTGCAGTTGAGCTTAAACGTTGCGGTTCGTGGTGTTGCAACATTCAGTGCTTGAAGCAGTGGCGTGCGGTGAAGTTCCGTCGCTTCAAACATTATCCGAGACCCTGGTCGGCCTTAGAAGGTTTTTGAAGCTCCGCCTCCTACAAATCTTTTGCCTCGCCACGCTACTGCTTTGTGTTTGTGCGCCCTGAGTCTCCTTCGAAGTTGTTCGAACTCTCTCTTTCGTGCCACTTGCCGGTCAAGATTGTTCCGTTTCTGATTCGATTCGTTGATCTTGACATAAAACATTTCCGAAACAGGAGCTGCCGGATAGTCACCCTCAGCAGGCCGAAGACCCGAAGGAGGTGTCTAACTGGCAGTTGGTGGTGCTGGCAAGGGGCTGGCATAGAGAGCTTGAATAGCTGACACCTGCAGGTGATGCCCTTGCAAGCGGCGCTTGTCGTGCCATCGATGGCAGACGAGCCTGTGGCCGACGCCGAGAAGGCCAGAGTGATGCGGACGAGCCTGGAGAGGGAGCTCGGACATTGCTGGCAGAAGGCTGAAGCCGGAGAGCAGCCGAAGCCTGGCCCGGAAGAGAAGGAAGAAACGGAAGAAAAGAAGGCGGAACAGGCCTTCCACGACCGGGTATGTCACCCTGAAGAAATTACACTGCTTCCTGCAGGCCAGAAGGCCCCCCGAGCCATTGACCACGTGCCTGCGCGAGCAGAAAGTGCACAAGCAGTTTGTGATCGCTTCCCGGACATGTATGCTTGCCTCAGACCATGAGGCTAGACGAACAGGACTTCAATGACAGGGGCGTTAGTTCCCTTGACGAGTCCAAGAAGTTCAGTTATACAATAGGCAAGTCTGCACTCCCACTGCTTCCCGTTGTTTTGTGTGCCCAGTTTCCTATGAGGGAATGATTACAAATGCACCTTGTCCGGCTGGACACATACAAGGCCGCCTCTCGGAAGCAAGGCGTCCTTGGACTTCCAGTGCCTTCTGGTAGGCTTTCCGGGCACAGTGTAGGATCACCGAAGGTATGCGTGTGGTTTCATTCGCAACAAGCCGGGCATCGCGAAAGCCGTCGTCTCAAGCCTTGACCCGGACGTTTCATACCTTTGGAAGGCGACTGCATGCCGGCGCCGAGTTTGGATTGCGCACAAAAGCGGAAGTCACCTGAAGCTGTCGTGCCAACTTTACGATACAGCTTCTGTTTTGTTTCCTTGGACGATTGGCACCGGTGGGTGTCGATAACTATCATGCCTTCATGACGAGCAGTTGGTCTTTTGTAGACTCGCTTGAGCTATTACTCGGGGTCGACCTAAGTTGTAGTGTCTTGCGGACGTCGTCGCGTGTGCGCGTGGACAAGGGAGAACCGATGAGCACTCTTGTCCGTGCCTGTGCTTCTGCTGCTGCTACAAGTGCTGCAGCAAGTGCTGCTACTGCTCCTGCGCCTGCTCCTGATCCTGTCTTGTGAAATTGAGCGCGTACATGGGGAATGGCTTTTTTGTGTTGTCGTGATGAGACTTGTGTCTCAAGCAGGTGCTTGTGGAATCGAGCGTTTACGCGGGGAACGGCTGGTTTGTGCTGTGATGGTGTTATATCACTTATGGGTGTCTCGAGCGGTTGCTTGTGAGTCGTTTTCGGGGCGCAGCTGGTCCTCTTGTTTATGGTAAGCTCTTGTCATCAGAAAGCGGCTCGGTACTTGGATCTGGTGTGTAGCGCCCCCAAGATCGCAATGCTCCGTTGGTGGATGAGTGTTTCTGCGAACAAAGGTTAACCAGGTGTGCTAATGTGGCTGCCGCGTGTCGTTGCCGGTCAGGTGTACCAGGTCGCGAAGCTCTACGGCAGTGCCAACGGTGCTTGCCTTAGGGGTGCCCTTGTGCGCGGGCGGGGGTATTGACAGCCAACACAATCACTGGCATTGCCGAAGGCCTGACAGTGAATGGCGAGCCTCAAAGCAGCACCGTTGCGAGTAGCTCCACAGAGGCACGGGACGGCCTAGTTGCCCTGAAGTCTCTGAATCCCCTGTGCTTCCGTGCTGAGGCGACTGCCTCAGGCAAGGTACGAGCGGACAAGACCGGGAAGACCCCTGGCTGTGCACTGGGTACGTTCCTTCCTCCTCCCCACCCTCCCTCTCTCCCTCTCTCCCTCCCTCCCTCCCTCCCTCGCTCCCTCCCTCGCTCCCTCTCTCGCTCCCTCCCTCTCTCTCTCTCTCATTCTCTCCTGCTGTATGCATGCGTGTTATTGCCGCCGGCCGTGAGGATCACCTTCACTTTCTCCCGCGATGGTGATGAAGTGCACCTGTCCGGACTTGCCGTTGCTCGAGAGGAATCCAAGGAAGGGAGTCCTGGAAGAATTCGTGAGATGTCGAGAGCGAGACTAAGAGAAAGCTTGCAACCGTTGGTCTGCATTGGGCTCGAGCTTTCCCCGAGCAAAGCACTGAACATGCCAAGGAAAGTCGTGAAGCCCAAAGCGAAGGCGAAGGTGAAGGCAAAAGCAAAGTCCAAAAAGGAAGGTGGGCTATTTCTGGCACAGACAAAATGCAGGCAGTTCATTGTGGTACCCACAACCTACTATCGGTCGACATCGTGGCGCATCAGGGAAGTACGATGAGTTCGGACGGAGGATCGACAAGCTGAAGAAGAAGGAGGTGTCCTCGTCCGACGAGGACAGGTGCCTCGAGTCCGTGTTGCTTCGGTACTGTACTCCGCAAGTTGGGTCACGGCCTCAGGATCTCGACGACTTCTGCCCGTCCTCCAAGAAGAACGCGGACTTTGAACGTGCAGCTTGGTATGAAGAGTTTGAATGCCTGGTCTTGGCCTCGGGCAACCGAGCCGAGGAGCTGAGGAGGATGAAGAAAAAGGTTCGGGAAGGCCTCTGCGCTCGCAGACTCGAAATTTTTCTGTAGTTCCTGGACCCGAGTGGCAAGGTATGACCGAACAGCAGAGAGAGGAAATGGAGAACCCGTGGCTTCACACGCAGATCTCTGACCAGGTCACTCATGGTTCATGCTCCGTGTTACGAACACCTTGAAAGCATGAATCTCAGAGCAGCGACGAGGAGCGGGAGCTCAAGAAACAGATGTTCAGAAGCTTCTACCAAGAACAATATGCTCCCGGGCAAGAACGCAGGGCAAGCTTGAGTAAACTCGAAGAGTGCGGAATTGAGCTGCAACAGCATCTCCAGCTGCCGTCTTTGCATTTGAGGCACGGTTAAAGAACAAGGCCCAGCCCGACTACAAGCAGTACGAGAAGCCTCCAGGCAGCACTGGCTTTGGACTTCGTATCTGTACCTTTGGTGGCATTCCTGGCTACATCGTTCTAGTGAGACTAGTGTTGTGTTGGAGTGCCTGGAGCCGACATGCCTGGACGGAGGAGTGATCCTACAACCTGGCAGCTTCTTGGATCAAGTGGATGTGCATCGTCGAGCGGTGAGGCGAGCACTGCCTTGAGGTCGATTACAGGTGGAAACTTGACGGCGGAGGGTGGGCATCGCCCCCTTCCACGGCCAAAAGGAGTGGCTTGCAGCACTTTGGACTTGCTCTTGTCGGAGCAGCAGCGCCATCACGAGCAGACGGTCACAGGAGTCAAGCTGCCAGCAGACTTCCGGAAGCAAGTCGGACGGATCTCTCAGAAGGAGTTGCTTGAGAAGCACTCCTGCAAAGGCCGCACCTGAACCAGTTGTGCGGCTTTGCTCTTGGCGAATTCTTGGCTGCAGGCCAAAGGATGTTGATATCCGTGTACGGTGACCTCTTCGACGTTTCAGTGCTGCCCTCACGACGCAACCCACAGTCCCCACAGCATGTCTTCATCCTGCGTGAGGATCGACCTGACAAGTATGGACCTGATGGTCCATACTGGCTACTCAGCTTTGTTAGCTGAGGCGATCGAAAATTGCTTTCCTTCGGTGGCGTGACCATTGTAACCCTGCTTGCTCGACGACCAGAGGTACATGACTGGGAAAGACATCACATGGGCACTGATGAGTGGAGAGGCCCGAGCCGTCTTTGATCCTTTCCCAGCTGTCGGTTCTCGTACGTAGCTCAGGACACCGAGGAGACGATGGACAAATTCTACGTCGCTTGGTGGTCTCTAAACGCAGGGAGGCGCGCAAAACACATTTATGGAGCAGTCCTCCCTCAGAGTTTGTGGAAGTGTTCGTTCGCGCCGTGTCCCTTGTGAAGGCCGGTTGACCTATTGTTTTGTTATTGGAGGACCTGGCGGATGTAAAGCCACAAAGGCACTTGCGGCAACCGCCTGTTAGCTGAGAGCCATTGAATTTATCATTTGGTCACAGCATTCCATACTGGCTGGAAGTTAGTTTGGGCATCGCTACTTCAGCATGCTGTCATATGTGGCATGGAAACTGGCTGAAAAGTGCTCATGCCGTGAAATCGGCTGGACTCATCATTGGGGCAGTGCTCATAAGTCGATATCAATTCTATGCGCAGAACTGGCGGCTGCGGACAAGACCTTGACAACCATTCACTCGCTGAAACTTGAGTTTCCAAGGACGTCTTCAAGATTCAGCCGGCTGAAGCCGCAGACAGGCCTCTGGTTTCTCTTGGAGTTGGCATCTTCTGGTGCTTCGCAAAAGCAGAGGCGGCTGCAGGGCTTGATGAGCTGGTGGGCCTTCTATGAGAAGGCAGGGGCACTGCCGCATGTTGCCGCATGTTGCCGCATGTTGCGGTGGGTCAGTGTGCCAGGAGTACGGCAAGCCTGTCGGCCGGAACACTGCCTACGACAAGGAGTGGGGCTTGCCAGCCCCGCCTCACATGGCAGATGGGTGCTCCGTCATGTGACCATGTGACCTGCCTGTTCCCGGCCTCAGCCGCAACCTTCCATGTTTCCCACAGCAGGGCGTGCTCTCAGCCAGCATCGCTTTTCGAGGAAAGTTCGACACTGTTCATGCTAGTATGTTGGATGTGCATGCCCTGCCTCGAAGCAAGACAAGGCCCAGAGCCATCCTAAGCTGTGACCTTTGCGTCGTGGTCTTGACGGGATTCAGTGCCCCAACGCAGCCTTTACGAATCCTTACTTCAGGTTTCGGCAAGGCTGAAGTGTGTTTCTTTTCGCTCTTGAGTTCTCGGGACTCGAGGTGCGTTTTCCTAAGCAGACCGAGGCATTCGAACGAATGCTCTGGCTCTGACTTAGCTCACGGCACGGACCGGACAAAAACATTCTAGACAGTTCCGAAGGAACTTTCCCGTATCAGAAGCAGGGCCGTGTTGTGAGAGTCCAAGCCTGCGTGCTCCTTGTGCTCGTTGTACAGTGCCGGCACCGGGTGATCCCCTTTTCAACGACACCTCGCAAATTGGAACTTGAAGCAGCCTGAAATTCACCTCCTACCACCGGGTCCCAGTGAAACACCTCGACAAAATGTCTTCACCTTCCTCTTCGACCCCTGTGCTTCCTGCCCAGCTGAACGGCTTGGCGGGATGGAGCGGTGTTGAGCGGTGTTGAGGCACCGCATCACAGACCGAAAGGCCAAAAATGGCAAATCTTGCAGCAAGGTGTTAATCTCATTTTGTTGTTCCTGAGTGTAGCTGCTGCTCGCAAGCGCAGCTCAGGCTGACGCCGCTGCTTTGGGGCTCCCTGTTTTACAGCCACACAGTGCTGCGATTGCCGGATCCAACCACGCTGTTAGCAACGGCCTCGGATGAGTTCAGCCCTGTTCCGATCCAAGTGTTAGAGTCGCTGTCGAGGATTTGCAGGTCTCGCTCTCCGGGTGCGACGTGGTGACGGTTCCTGGATCCAGTGCAGAGGCTGCCCCGTCGCCGACCCTGCGACTCTTAAACAGGGGGTGCCACGCCCAATTGCGCAGGCCCATCTCAGCTATTGGCACCTCTTGGGTTCCGGATCTATGGAAATCGTGAACCACACGCTGCGCGTGCATGCCATGTACAACCGCCCCCTGCCCAGAAGACCACTTAGTCATCGTGCCTGGCCGACGTTCTCCGTGGGCATAAGGCAAGTTCGTTATGCTCGGCTGTGTGCCATGATCTCAAAACATCCAAAAACTTCCATGTGATACTGTTCTGTGGTACCTGGTGCAGAGCTGAGGTTCGTTCTTCATTTGCCTGAATTCAGAGCAGGCTCGCTACAGTAGCTTCATGTTGACAGAAATCGCGAGCTGCTGGCTGCGGCCAGGATCTGCCCAATTCAATTTCAACTTCGTCAACATGACTGTCCAGTGCCTCCGGCGCTTTGTTCAAGCCTGTGGCGGAGTTTCGACATCTAAAGCATGCCATCATGAGGCAGGATGGCTTCAGCGAGGCGGCGCAGCTGTAGCACTTGTCGCCGTAAGCCAGTGTTATTGACGGACCTGCTGCCCTGCCCATCTCTTCCAGTATCGGGCAGGGTGAAGACTCCCAAACTTCGAAGCAGATGGCTAGTGTAAGCATCTCTGACATGCATGTTCGCGGGGAGCTTACAGAGGCCCATTCTATCCAGATGTGCATTTCGCAATGACAGTGAGGTGGAGGCTTTCATCTTGATGTCTCAACGACGGCGCGGTGCCGACTTGCTGTGGCATCACCGCGCTCCCGCTCCCTTCTGTTGACGGTTAACAGTAAGGCGCGCACCACTCTGTCCGAGATCAGAGCAGCATCGCTTCAGGCATGGTGAGTGGTAAGTCCAAAATGGTCTTCGGAGGGGCAGACCGGAAAGGGGCATTGTGCGCAAGGTCAATGTCAAGGGTGGCTACATTGGACTTCACCACAGCCGTGCTGAGCATGGCAAGGCTGATCAAAGAGTCACAGCATGGTGCAAGCATACCATGCCCCATGATAGAACAAAGCGCGCTCGTTCCGATGGCCAAGGGATCTGAGATGCGAGTTGAATGGTATGCAATGATGTAGCGATGGTGGACCTCTGGCAGGCTGACATCCACGCACAGGACCTGTGAACGAGAGAGGGTCGGCATGGCTGTGGCAGAGTGTAGTGCCACCTTCGTCCTTGCAAGCCGCAGGATGCGATGGTTTCGATCAGCACAAAGGGTGTTCCTGTTAAGGCCACCGTCACTCGGAACTCGTTGATGCGAAAAGTGTACGAGGGGCTCATGCTAGTCAGCGTTCCCGTCCCGCAGGCCGAAATCCCAGATGAGATATTCAAATATGCCAGTTACTTGGTAGTGCCTGTGAATGCCGATCGTTTGCGCTCGTCGTGCACCAGTGAAAGCCAACACCAGCCAAGCGTCAGGCAGCATTGGCAGCGCCCACTGTCCACCAGGCAATGGCCTAGGGCCCAGGGTGTTTATCCCCAGCCTGCAAGAAAGCATGGGTGTACGCTGCAGCGGTTGGCAGCAGTGCAGTGTCTGACCATGGCATGTGATAAGTTGCAGCATGTTGCAGCCAGCTGCGATCCGGACCGGCCACCGTACTTGGCCATGCCGCTGCCCATGTGTCCGCAGGCGAGCAATGCTACCGGCAGGCTGCGCTTGTATCAGCTGCTCCAAACTCAGCCAGCAGTGGCTACAATGGCTACAGCTCCTGCTTCCCATGGAAGAAATCAGGTCGGGCCTGTCGGCTGATGGTCGGGTTGACGAACCGTTGGAAGTCAGGGTTGATGGAGAAGGCCTCCGCAGTTCTGGAGAGGAAGGCCCGAGCCACAAACAAAAACCCCTGAGCAGGCAGCACGGCCTACATCCAGGCCAGAGCCAGTTAGCTTTGAGTGTGTTGTGTGGACGCTTCGCCGTGCTGAGGCCTCCGATCCTGTGACAAGTGAGATGTTCTGCCCCCATTTCAGACTCCGGTCATCCCCGAGCCGAAAGCCTGCACAGAATGTCCGGCCAGGTGCAAGACGTCGCTGCAGGTCATTAGGCCGATTGCCCATTGCCTGTCTTCAGCAGCCGCTTCTCTGCGGCTCAGGGGCTCTGCAGCAGCCGAAGAGGGCACGGTGCTTCTTCCTGCAACCCGAGAGCCGCGCAGCTGCAAGCGAGACCTTGAAAAGCCTGTCGCTACAAGCTTCACAATGCCTTCACACACATTGACCAGGCTCCTGGGCTGGGCGCCTGAGCTTTTTCCCCGAATCGGTTCGTCCGGCAAGGGATCTGCTTGAGTCTCCGAGGTAAGCTATCGAAATGGCTGCATACAGCCAAGGGAAAACAGGACTCTGATGCTGTGACATGTGATTCACTGATTAACCGCTGGAAGCTGGGAATCATCGCTCATGACTTTCAGGAGCCCAGGTACGTGGTGAATGTGCACCTATTGGCGCCGAATGCCCCGACTGGCATGCTGAAGCTCCTCTCGTGGCGAAGCCGCACCAAGCCATAGACAGCCGCAGTAAAGATCCTCCTGCTTGCTGCGCCAAATGCCAGTATTGTCGAGGTCCACAGTATACCACGCTATGTCGCTGTCACTGGCCTCGATCGTGACAGGTGGAATGTTGTGCGGCCCTCGGAACTTGACGGGCAGGCGCCTCCTTTTCTCTTCCCATGTTGCTCCGAGGCGGCCGCGTGTGCTCCGGATCGTAGCACCGGTCTCCGGCATGCGCTGGCTCTTCCCGCAGGAGCAGCCGTCGAGCGTCTTAAAGTAAAAGTACGATTGAGCAAGGCTGAAATGCCGATCCGGGCGTTGGCTCAGTCGGAAGAAATGGTGAGCTGTCATGTCAGGATGCGTGCGATCCTGCCATCGGGAATCTGGATGCTGCCGGCTCTGGTATTTCTCCTTTTGAAAGTGCCGCTTTGGACTGATTGTCGATGTGAGGATGCACAGCTCCGCTTCGGAGAGCAGCAGCTGCAAGCCATCTCGCCAGAGGTGCGAAGCCTGCTTCGAAATAGTACCCGCACTCAGCAAAGTCGGCCGCGCAGCTTGGGTGTTAGGTGGACATCGTCGGCATGAACCTCACCTCTGCGAGGTGTTGCAGTTCAGCTGCGAGCTTGTTGGCAAACGCCATCGCACCGATCGCAGGTGGATCTGGGATCCCAAGGGTTCCAAGGCTTACGTCTTTGACAAGGTCGATGCTCCTTGGCTTCACGCAGCGGGGCGCAGCTTGTGTGGATGTGGAAATTTGGAAAGTCGAAAACCACGCAGGCGAAGTCTACTTACTTCTGGAGGTCAGGGCCTAAGCAGCAACAAGGTTAGTCGCCGTTGACCTGATGTTGGAAGTGAGGCCTCGGCTTCTGACCGTCAAGGAGTGCGGGGAAAGACTGCTCAGCTAGTAGTAAGGGTGATTCACTCTGGCCCAGGACTTCTGGATCTTCCTCGCTGCGTCGGGCATCACGTTAACCATGGGCCTGGCGGCCGGCGTGGTGGCGGCTGCCTTAGCTATCGTGAGGACGAGGGATCAGAACCGCCTCGACCAGTACCATGCCGTGCAGTTTGCAGACCTGAGCTCGTTCTTTAGAATGAGCACGGTCCGTGCTGGGAGCCACAGAAGCACATCATTCGGCTTTGCCTGCCTCGTTCCCAGACAACGGTGAAGTCATCGCACTTCAGCTCAAGTCGTTCCTGTACGTGTTGTGCACAGCAGCTACTGGGCACGGCGGCGATGGCTCCTATGTAGAGAGGTCTTGCTGATCCTCGGCTTCCTTGCCCTCGGCTCGGTCCAAGCGCGTTTATCGGCACGTTGGGAGTTCACGCAGTGCAGGTTATTCCCAGCCTACGAGAGGAGCTTAGGAAGATCGCGACCTTCAGGACTGCGTCGTACAGGCCAGAGGGGGGATGAGAGGCAGATGAGGGCAGGGCCGATCAGAGTTGAATGACAGGATGCAGTGCTCAAAAGACAGCGAAACCTGGGCTTTGCATCCAAGCATGGTGCACTGGCCGACGAGGGGAGCCGGGGCCTTTGTCCAGAGGATCACAGCATCGCAGCTGGGCGCAGCTCTGCAACTTTCAGGTGCTGCTGCGCTGGGCCAAGCGGCCGAAAGCCAAGCGGCCTGGCACTCAAAGAAGAGCGGCGGCTCATTTCATCGCAGTTCGTTGCAGGTTCTCGACGATCTGCTGCCAGGCAAGGAAAAGCTGCATCTTCAACTTTCCCGACAAACCATTACCTAACAGATGTCTCTGCAAAGCAGGCAAGGCTGTGGCCGGACGCTGCCTCACTGGAGGCTTCTTCCATGTGGGCGTCCTAAGTAGGGCGGGGGGGAATTGCACCGACTGGCAAGGGCTTCAAGGGAATCGTGCGGACGCGACATATCGCTGTGGACAAGTTGCCGTGCCCGGAGGACGCTTTGTTTTTGCAAGCAGAGGTGCTATAACTATAATTCTAATGATTGCGGTGCATATTGTCGGTAACCTGCAGGAGTTTCCGGATATTCGCTGCTTCCTGTTCGTAGTGGATGTTAAGCAGGACGTCGGGGGAAAGCCAAGCACTCAGCACTGTCTGGACTAAGAGTGTTACCAAACTCAAACGATTACGCAATTATTTCGCTTCGATGAAAAGGTCTGCATTGAGGGTGCGTGTGGTCAGAAGCCATTGTCGTGCAGAAACCAAGTCTTCACTATGGGCTTTGCAACAGAGCGTTTCAACAACATGTGCGACATCCAAAGAGTTGGCTCGTCCTTGCCGGTCTGTAGGCAGTACTACCGGAAAGAGTATGACGTGGAGCTGGCGGCAATAGGCCAGGGTGAGAGTCTGGCTAAATTCAGAGAGCTCTAGTTATTGTCCCAAGGAGGTTGATACATTCTCATAAATGCCAGGACAGCTGCAGGCAGAGCAGGACCTTTCCGGTGAGACGCCGAGTCCGAAGGAGGGGTCCCGGAAAGGCAGAGCAGTATCCACAGGAGCAGCCTCCCCTTCATGCTGGTCGGCCATATCAATTTCAGGTAGGTGTCATCCCCTGCGTTCTGCCAGTAGTTCTTGGTGGAGATATGAAGAAGCATGGAGGTCATAGCCTTCGATGAGGCGGGAGCCGTGATCGAGGCCTGGAAAGTGATCCTGACGGTTCTTGGGATTTGCACTTCCTTGCAAATTGCCGGATGTTGAGACGTCGGCGTGGTCGCGGCCCACGATGATCGACGCTCCTAGGCACAGGGTCCCGAGTTTCAATGAAGATGGTTGTTTCAAAAGTTATGTACACAGCTTTGGCAGGAAGTTCGTAGAACTTCCCCTGCTACTGTGGCAAGGCCGCACAGGGGAGACTCGGGGCTGATCGCACGTTCGAGAATCTTTCCGCCTTCACTGTGAGTGGGTATGGGTTCTCGGTATAGGTTGTAATGCAATGCTGTCCTCTCGCAAGGCTGGTGCCGCATCTTGCCGTCCGCATCCCAAGCAACCTGAGCAGACTGCTAGATTGGCTGATAGCTCTTCGAAGAAACATCTTTGCTTTCATTTTCGGCATGCTCATTGGCATGACATCCCAACCGAAAACAAAGCCAGAAGGCGGTTGTGCCCAGGGCCCCATTACGGAACACATTGTGGTGAATGGAGTGCTTTTGGAATGAAAGAGCATGTTCATCCTGTCGCGCAGTTTTTGTGGTTCATGCGGCCTTGGCCGCTTGTTGCCGCTTCTGGGGCCTCGGGAGGTTTGTTCGGGGTGCTTGTGCAGTTCCTGAGGGAGGTTTCGAACGATTCTGGGATCCTGATTCCTCCTGAGCCTCTCCTTTCGGGCGGCTTACCGGGCAGCCTCGATTTGGGCTCTGACTACTGGTGGGGTCAGCTGCATCTCCCCTCCTTGCTTACAGGCCTCCTCGTCGGGGTTTGCATCGGCCCAATCTTGGATTTCATCCTCCTGCTGCGGATAGGCCTGCTGAGGTCTTGGGGTCGAGCGAGTCGACCGATTGCCAGGCTTTACCGGATCCTTGAATGAGCCTGCGCCCCGAGCTTTCTTCCTTGCGTGAAGAAGCTCGTGCTCTTAGGGCGCTGCTGGAGCGCCTCGAGGGTCGGATAGAGGAGTTGGAAGATTTGGTTGGTTTCGAGGTCGTAGCCCACAGCCCTTCTACACCTGCCCCCAGGAGACAGCTTGCCACGCCGCCTCGAGCTGCTGGACCGAGCTTTGGCCGAGGCCTTCCTTCTGAGGTTGTTCCTAGTCCTGCAGGGTCTGGGTACAGTGACGGGTCTAGTGCCGAGCGGCCCGGAGCTCCCACTTCTGAGTTTCGAGTTTGGATTGCCCAGCGTGTGGGCCAGTTTTTGGCAGGCCAACTTGAAGGTATTCGGACGGGTCCGTCAGGTCGTGAAGAGCTTCGCCTCGCGTCTAAGCTTTACATTGTTTGCCGGGACGCCTCAGGGAAGGACTATTCTCCCCCCTTGGTCACCTCCAGCTTCAGCCGAGTGAAGCAGCTGTGCTTTGTGGCAGGGTCTCGAGAGGACGCAGGCGAATCGGTTTTCGTCGGCCTTCCGTCTCAGGCAGAGGTCAGGTTGGCATTGTCAGCAGCGAATCTCCCTTGCCCTTCTTTGAGTGGCAATGGCGGAAGGCAGTGAGCACAGTGAGAGAGAGAGCCGAGCTCCGTTGGGGCTCTCCGACTGCCTCCTTTCTGAAGGGGCAGAATGCCGTATTGGAGCTTTGCAAGTGGAAAGGGAGGACGCTGTAGTGTCGTGCCAGCTGGTAGGTATCGCGCGGGTGGACGACGCCTTCTTGGTTGCAGTGCCCCACGCCGCTTGGCACCGCGTAGGGGCCAGGCGGTATCTGCCGAGCGATGCGCTCAGCCGAGCGGTGCTGGTCGAGGTCCTCGCTGCGTCGGAAGCAGATCGGCGGGCCCTGCATCCCGTTTGGAAGGTCAAGACTTGGATTGGGCTGCTGAGCCCGGGCTACCTGGAATCTATCACCTTTTCTGGTGGCGGAGAAGCCACCACTTTTGGGGCGGCGGACGAGGGAGCCGAGATAGTCTTTGTGGTAGCCGGATCCGGAGGTACGGCTGCCGGGCCTTTGCCAGCCTGCCCTCTGGGAGCCTTGTTGAGTGCCGTGGCGGCCGATCACTTTGCCTTCCACTCAGCGCAAGAGTTTGCCGACGACCCGGAGGATGCGGTGCCAGCCCGGCTGCAAGCTGTGGAAAGCGCCATCAGCGAGCTGCGGGCCGGGATCCAGACTTTGCTCGACCGGAAGTCTGCCGAGGATGGGGGCCAGGGAGTGAGGCCTTCTGGCGGAGTCGCCGAGGGGCCCAAGCCTGGGACCGCGGCCGCTCGGGCCGGAGACGTTCTGTCTGGGCTAGATCCGGCGGTCTTAAGGTCAGCGAGGCTTTCGGGTGTCCCGGAGGCGCAGCTGCAGCGGATGAGTCAACTTGTGGTCGGAGCCCGTCGGATGCCGCCGGAGCCTCGCAAAAGGGCCGTGGATCCTCTCGGCTCTCGTTCTGCAGACGGCCGTGGTGCAAATGAGCAAAATCCTTCAAAAGATGAACCGCGAGCGGAAGCCCACGAACTTGGAGGAGCTCTTGGATCGTGCGGATGGGGGAGCCGAGGCCGGGAGCAGTTCCGGCTCGGGGCGCAGCAAGGCGGCCGCGTATCAGAAACTGAAGGCACTTCTCCGCAACTCCCCCAGCGAAATCTCCCGATCCATAGAGGCTTGCATGCACGAAGATTTCACCCTGGCGCAGAGCGGACCGGGACTCGAGCTCAGACCCTGCACAGCTCGAGCCTGGGTAGAACATCGCTCTCTCCTGCAGTCGTACAACGGACCGATTCGACAAGCGTGGACCCTCGCGGGGGTGATCGATGCTCTGAACAACGGCGATCACGAACTCGCCAAAGCTGTAGCTCTACTGGGACTAGCCAGCCTGGACCAGGCGGCAGTGGATGCAGGATCGTGGCTGCTAGCCTCAGAAATCAGTCTGGAGGCAAGTCCTCCGTTTGGATCCTTCAGTCGTCCCCGGGTTTTGGACACCTTCGAGAGCCGTCAGACGCGTCTGCTGGACCCGCGATGGATTTCAATCTTGATGGGCCGGATCAAGGAGCGCGAGGCTTATCACAATGCCAAGAAGAGTCTGGGCGCAGGCGGCGGCGGAGGCGCTCCCACGCCGGGCACTCCGAGTGGAGGCCGCTCCGATCTTCAGGGCAATCCCGAGGTGCCAGCGGATGGGAAAGGTCGCAAGGGCCCCAAAAACGGAGGCCGCGGCGACAAAGGCAACAAGAAGGAAGACAAGTGACAGTCCTTTGGCTGTGGACTCGCCTTCTGTGCAGGCGGGGTGTGACTGCCCGTTTTTGGCTGCCGAGGATCCTCCGCGACGGGGGACGTTTGAAGCTGGCGTTGACGCGTGCAGCCGTCTGCGCGCGCCGCGCCCGCGTGCTCAGGCGCCTTTTTCAAGTTCTTTTGTTGGTGAGCGGGAGTTGCTCCCAGGGAGTCCTGAGCGTGAAGCCGATAGGCTTGGCGTGAATGCCGTCGTGTTAGTTTTGAATTGGCTGTTCCTGGGCCAGCCTTCTGTCTGCCGTCGCGAATTGTTGCTCGACCTGGGCAGACGACCGAGTGCGCTTCAGATGAAGCGCCTCGAGCACATCGCTGATGCTGTGCAAAGATGGAACTCTGTTCCTACCGTGGGTCCGTCCGACATGGGGCGGGCGGCCTCCAAGTTCGAGAGCCTCGAAGACCTCCTGGCCAGCGTACAGGCTGGCATGCAGAAGGCTCGAGCCCAGTCGGGCCCTCCGGGTGAGACAGTCCGTCTGAAGTTGCCGCAGCCCATGCATGCATTGCCGGTTGATTGTGATAGGGTTAAGTTTGTTGGGGTTCCGACCTTCGACCCTCGACCCTACCTCGACTCCGCCTCTCGACGGATCTATGAAGATCCTCTCGCTTTCAGGCAGGAACCGCCTGAGGGCGTCCCGATCCCTCGCGTGCAGATCCGGACGGTGCCTGGAAAGAGGCTGGGGCTGCTGAAGGCCTTGGACCAATGCGATCGGCTTGAGCTGCTGCCCGCTAGTCAAGTCAAGACACCTTACCGGAATGGCATGTTCTGCGTGCCGAAAGACGAGGCCCGTGACAGGCTTGTGCTGGACGCCAGGGCTGCAAACTTGGCCGAAGGTGGCGAGGACCCGTGGATACAGTCCCTGGGGAGCCTTGAGCAATTGCAGCACATTTTCCTGCCAAAGGGCTTCAATCTTGAACTTTGGTGTGAGGATCTTCGTGAATTTTACCATTCCTTCCTGATCTCCTCCAGCCGGTGCCACCGTAACGCTTTAGCGATGACGCTCACTCGAGGCGAGGCTCAGGTGTTAGGTTGCTGCAGCAGAGGAGCTGCCCGGGAGCTCCTGACTCCCTGTCTTAAAACGCTTGCGATGGGTGATTCCCACGCAGTCGGGTTTGGGCAGACCTCACACTTGGCCGTGGTGCTTCGCTGCTCGGGGCTTCGCTTGCGTGATTTTGTCACATTGCGCGGCCGGCCTCCTCGGGCCCCTCAGCTCACCGCCGGGTTACTCATAGATGACTTGCTGCTGCTGGACTTCGTCTCTAAGGATTCGCCCTCTGGGGCGAGGAGCTAAGGTTGCGGAGGCCATCCGGGTTGGCTACGCGGAGGCCGGACTGCCCCGGCATAGTGGCAAGGCAGTGAGCGGGGAAAGGTTTGCCGAGTTCTGGGGTGGTTGTTTAGATGGCCACACGGGGCTGCTTAAGCCTAACCCGAAGCGAGTTGTTCCTCTCGCCTGTCTGACTGTGAGGATCGTGCAGAGCAAGGTGTGTTGTGGGAGCCTGCTGGAGGCTATAGGTGGAGCTTTGGTATCGGCTCTGCAAATGCGCAGGCGCCTGCTGTGCCTCCTTGATGCGGTCTACACGGAGCAAAGCGGCCGGTCAGCCAATGACGCGTTCCGCGTCTCCGGGTCACTGGCCTCTGAGCTGCTGTGCTGTGCCGCTCTCTTGTGCTTGTCTGAGGTCGACCTGCGTGCTGAAGGATGCCCGCGAGTCGTGTGCTCTGACGCATCTTCTACGGCGGAAGCCGCTGCCTGCAGCCCTGTGTCGCCAGATGTCTCGGTCGAGTTTTGCAGGCATGGTCTTCAGAAAGGGCTGTGGAACCGGTTGTTGGGTGAAGTGCCTGCTTACCTTCGTGAGAGGGGTGATGACAGCCTTGCGGCCGGAGAGCTCCCGGAGGGCAGCTACGACCACCACCCCATGTGGGAAGCTGTGTGCACCTTCCTGCCGTTTGAGCAGCTAGGCAGCGTTGTCCGGACCCATAAACGCCGGCACATCAATGTTGGCGAGATTCGCGCAGCCCTCCGAGCCGAAAACGCCATAGGTTGCCGTTGGCCGAACACGCGCTACCTCCACCTCCTCGACTCTCAGGTCGCGACAGCATGCCTTGTCAAAGGACGCAGCTCATCCGCTGCACTCAACCGGGAGCTACGCAGGTCTCTGGCCTCGCACTTGTCCCTTAAGGTCCAGCCTCGGTACGGGTTTGTTAGATCCAAATTTAACCCCTCCGATGACCCCACTCGTGCGGTTCCTCTACGGGCTCCCAGTGCTTCTCCTCATGCGTGGTGGGCCTCAGCTTGTGCGGGCGACTTCGAGCCCCTCGACGCTTGGCTATCGGGGTTGGGCATGCACCTGGATCAGCTGCGTGAGTTGCCCCCCGAGCAGGAGCTGCTCCCGGATGTGCCTCTCGAACTTCCTGCCGAGGATCGCGGACGCCGTGAGCGCAGAGTGCAGGATCCCGAAGCAGTCGCCACTCGGATTCTCCAGCGAGCAGCCGTTTCGGCCTCTGACCTTAGGGTGTTGTTTTCAAGGCTGCCGGTCGAAGTGAGCACCCGCAGCGCCTTTGAAACCCGGCGAGGCAGCACCTTCTCCGCAGGCGCTTTCGTTCATGGGGGAATCGTCGGGCTTCGGAAGGCATGCTACGAATTCCCTCGGTCCGTCCGAGCTTTTGCACTCTTTGCTCAGCAGATGCATCCAGGGGTCAGGTTTTCGTCCTTCAGCGTACTTTGCAATACTCGCTCGCTCCCGCATCGTGACGTCAATAACTTGGAAGGCGAACCTAACTTGATAATTCCTTTGAGCCGATTCCGGGGTGGAGCTGTGTGGACAGCCACCCAAGGCGGGGGAGTGCCGCTCGAGTACAAGGGGCGGGAAGTTCAGGGCGAGCTCCTTGAGGTTTCCCAAGGCCCTCAGCTGTTGGACCCGAAGCGTCTGCACTGCACAACGCCATGGCGAGGGAATAGATGCGTGCTGGTGACCTATGCTCTTAGAGATCTGCACAAGCTGGACCCCGAGCAGACTGAGCTGCTCTCCACTTTGGGATTTCGTTTGCCTGAGCCAGGTAGGCTAGAGCCCTCTGCTGCTGAACCCGGGTTCACCTCAGAAGCCCCTCCTCAGGTGCCTCCTCCGCTCTCCGAGGATGAACTGGGGAAGCGGTATGCGATCTCGCTTGCTCCTGTGCCAGCATCTTCCGATTCCCTTACATCGCCGAAGAAGCTTTCTCCACGGTTCCTTGAGGACCCGCTGGAGAGACAGCCTCCTGTGCCAGGCTCCCTCCGGGTTGAGCCCCGTGTGCATGTCTCCGGTTCCCTTCGGGTTGAGCCGTCGAGACCTCCCTGCCAACTTGCGTCAAGTCGACGCCCCGATGCGTCCCGGCCTGGAGTTGTGCCGGTTTCCTCTCCTCTCTCGCAGTACGCCCTTGATCTTCTCGCAGCGCTCCCGCCCGGCCGGTTCGTTCTCGCTGGTGTCTTTCCTGACCTGCGTTCGGCTCTCCTCTCGGGTCCCGGCTGGCTGGATTTGTTTTCAGGGTCTAGAGGGCTTGCTAAGGAACTCGCCCGCGCCGCGCCATGCTGGATACTCTGCTATGACCTGGCTCACGCTGTTGACGAGGACCTGCTGAGCTTTGACACCCAGAAGGAGATCCTGCAGCTCCTCGAGGCTGGTGCTTTCCGAGGATTCTCGGCTGGCCCTGTCTGCTCGAGCTTCTCATGCGCTATCACCCCGCCCTGGCGAGACCGTAAGCACCCTGCTGGCAAGCCCGGTCTGAGGAGCTATCAAGCCGACAAAGTCAGAGAAGGAAACGCTATGCTCGAGTTCCTGCTGAACCTTGTTCGGGAAGCTGAGCGGCTACAGCTGATCTACCTGATCGAGAACCCGCTGAACAGCTGGATCTGGGCGCAGCCCGCCTGGGACGGATGCTCGTCTCGTGGTGGACGCTGGGGTTTCCTGGTCGACTACTGCGTCTTTGGTACCAGCTGGAAGAAGCCCACCCGGTGCCGCACGAACGGGCAGCTGGGAGGGCAGCGTTTACGCTGTAGCCGCGATCATCGACATCGGTCACTTCGCGGACGAGATGGTGCCACTGGGAGGTCGATGACCAAGTGCGCAGAAGCCTACCCGAAGCGCTTCTGTGTGTTGTTGGCTCAAGCTCTGGCCCAAGACGCTGGCTGGGTCGACGAGCGGCGACCTCTCGATATCAGCCGGTGCGCGAAGTGCAGCAATGCGCGGATTGGGGAAGCTGGGAATCCTGGGCCCCGCCGACAGCGTGTGCGACCAGCTGTAGTGCTGTCTGAGGTCCCCCTCGTGCAGCCTACTACAGCTGCCTTACAGGTTGCCATCTGGACTAGGTTTCTTTCCTGGGTAGAAGGTGGGGCCGGTGATGGCTCCTCTCAAGCCATGTTGAGCGTGCCCGAGGTTCTGGTCGAGATGCTCTGCGCTTTTGGACAAGTGTTGTATAGCGGTGGCGATTCTTTACAGCAGTACAGGTTGTTGCTTGCAACAGCCCAGCGTCGTTCTCCGTTGTGCAAACCGCTGCTGAAGCCTGGTTGGGAAATGCTCTCGCGATGGGAGCGCATCGAGCCCACCGAGCACCGGCCTCCCCTCCCGGAGGCTATCTTCGAAGCTATGTGCGCACTGGCTATGGCCTTAGGCTGGGAACGCTGGGTATGCGTCACTATGCTTTGCTTTTACGGATGCTGCCGGATAGGAGAGGTTCTCAGAGCACGCAGATCGGACCTCCAGACGCCTCGAGACTTGATGAAGCGAGATGGCAGGTTTTACTTGAAGATCAATGAGCCGAAGTCGAGGAACCGGGGTCCCCGGGTGCAGCACACTACAGTTGTGCCGCCCCCCGGGATTGCTAACTTTATAGCACGTACGGCTGAGCAGCTGCATTCTTCTGCCCCTCTTTACCATGGTTCCGCCTCGGTCTACCGGGCCAGGTGGGATCGACTTTTGGAACGGTTGGGCATTGCGAAGACGCTGCGCCTTACCCCCGGCTCCCTTCGTGGCGGCGGAGCCGTGGCCGCTTACCAGGGCGGCACAGACATCGCCAGCCTTCAGTGGAAGATGCGATTGCAGCATCAAGCCACCCTTTCATTCTATCTTCAAGAAGTGGCGGCTGGGTCGATTCTCCCCTCGCTGCCGAGGCACTCCCGAGAGGCCATAGAAGCGGCTAGAGCCGTTTTTCCGTTTCTCTTTGCACTGCCCAGCGCTCCATTGCACCGCCCTCCGGGCTGAACGCAAGCTGATGCCGGGCGAGGTGGTGGAGCTGACACGTCGTAAGACACGACCTTTGTCAGGATCCACCCTTCGTCTTGAAGCAGGGCAAAAAGACCGGAATGCGCCTAAGGATTGAACATGAAAGAGCATGTTCATCCTGTCGCGCAGTTTTTGTGGCCCTCCCGCCACACCCGGAGCTGACACGTCGTAAGACACGACCTTTGTCAGGATCCACCTTTCGTCTTGAAGCATTGCAAAAAGACCGGAATGCGCCTAAGGATTGAACATGAGTAATTCCACCGGCCGTGGTGAAAAAACGAAAATTGAAATCGTGTGCTTGATTTTCCCATCTTTCGAGTATACTGTCTTGTGTCAAACACAGATTTGCCTTTACTTCACTGACGAGGCCCTGTCAGTGTAACATGCTTTCAGTGTCTTCGTCGGGTCATTTGTTCCACTTCTATTGCTGTGAGGTCCAGCACCTTTAACCACTTCCTGAACAAACACTGCGCGATCCTTCCAGAGGCATCTTGCACGCCTTTCTCGCGGTCAGCATGAGTTGACTCAGAAGCGGAATAAGCGGAGAGGACCCGGCCATGCGGATCACGCCCGGCAGCTCAAAAGGTGCAAAGCAACATGATCATGACTGCTTTGGCCCGCCGAGGCTGAAGCGGCTTCGGCTGTCCGGCCCTCGCAACGACTGGAAAAAGCTCGCCCGCTGTTGTATTCCTTTTCAGGATCCTGGTTGCGCCGGGTCCGCCGAGCTTGGCGGGTGCTCCGCCATCAGTCGCCGGGACAAAGGCCCAGGTTCAAGAGGCCGGATCTGAGTAGTCCATGGTAGTCCTCAAGTTCTGCCGAGAGTCAGGTTCAGGTCTGCTTCTCGGCGGGAGGCAACTTCAAGGCGTCCTGATCTGGTGCCTTCATTGCCGTTGCCTGCCCTTTGACACAACCAGTGCGGGAGGCAACCGACCACGTGAAGCTTCCGTCGCAGGACGAACGCAGTGAGAAGCGGCTTGTGGAACCGCTCTCCAAGGTGCGCTGCACAGCTGCGGTGTGGTGCTCTGCCCGGCTGATGAGCTGCGCGGGTTGCAGGTGTTCCCAGGCTCCAACCGGATTGACCCAAAGCAAGGGCTGATGCCTCGGTTTGAGGTTTCAACCCGGCTTGCACTGCTGCAGATTGGCGATGAGTGGACGGAGCCATCACAACTTCGACTAATTTGCTGCAGTTCACATTCGCAACACAAGTGCAGTCTTTGTTTGGTCAGGCTTCTTCTGTTGCGACAAGGGGGTTAGGCGGTTGTTGGAACGAGTGGGACAGGGATTTGGGGATGCTATTCTACGAACAGCTATCACTGCGGTGGGCAAATCTGAAGTCTTGTCGCCGAGTGGTACTCAAACTTACTTAAGAGTACATGGAGCCGGAGACTCTGAGGTGCATCGTGCTGGATGCATTCAGCAAAGAGCTTGAGCTCGACGTCGGCCGGGTCGCCGAGGCCGCCATGTGTGGTCAGTGTTTTGATCCTCACTGCTCCTGGAGGCCAAGATGTGGGTGATCAGCTCACTATTGAGGTTTCCGTGACATCGGAGGACCGAATAGCCAATGCCAGGGCCACACGCGAGCCATCGTTCTTCCAGCTGCTTCATGCTCAAGCAAGCGCAATTAGAATGCAGGAACGCATGGCTCTTTCGTATCCAGTGCCGAGGATTCAGGATTGTACAAGCATGTATTGCATAGCGGACCTTCCAAGCTACTGGGCTGGAGCCATGGAATGCGCGGCTGAGACTGGAACCAATACATATAATGTTCTGAGACTGCAGCAGCAAGAAAAGTTGTCCGCGAACCTGCGCGAGACGGTCTTGGATGTGTGGTGCATATCCTTTATCTGTCGGTTTTATCAGAGGATGGAACCGAAACCACAGCTGCAAAGTGGCGGCATAATTGGTCGCATTTGCTTGGCGCTTACGATCCATCTCACGTACCATGTGCCAGCAAGACCCCTGGCGTTGTCTGTGATCTGCCCACATCATGACCCCACGTGACATTCAGTCTGCTTTTTCTCAAGGCTAGATGTCTTCAGCCATCGCAGATCGGCCACGCAGGCGCGCTCAGACTCCAACCATCGCTATCTCCTTGTCGTAGCTGTCAGATCATCCATAGCTGGCAATGGCACACAGTCTCAATAGTTTCAGATTGTTTCGAACCTCCCACACCTTGGGTACACACTTACAAGTTCGTCTGTCAGGAACTAGCTGACGAGATTGTGCTGCTGGACGGCCGAACTGCGGTAGTTCCAGCCACAGACTTTCGGGCTTCTTGACTCCCAGCCGGGCAATTGGCAGAGACAGCAGTGATATTGAGGCTTTCCTTTCAGCCCAGTTTGAGATCAGCGACCTCTGCATGAGATTGCTGCGATTCCTCTGTGACCGGCTATCGGCGTCTGACTAAAGAACTCCTGGGGAAAACGGCAGGTAACCCATGTTTGCCTTCGACGGCACGTGTGAACCCGAGCCATGATGCACGGCTCACCGTTCTCTTCACTGAATGCGAACATTGCAGTCTTTGCTGAGGTCCTCCTCCAGCCAGCAACGAAGGATTTCCTCGGATCTTTGATCGGATCCGTGTGCTGCTCAGGGAAGGAACGCATGGGTGGGGTTACCTATATGGAGTGCCCCCCGTCCAGTGACACATTGGGCCATTCGTGCCCGATGTCTCCGACTCCTGATGTGCGGATTCTGCGGGGCGGCACGATGACATCAGCTGGCCAGCAAGTGCTGGAAGAAACTGCCGCTTAGAAAAGGTGTTGGGGCGGCACGAAGAGGTAAATAGGCACACGGGCAAGCCCGCGAGAAGTCTTCTGTTTGTCGAGATGCGTCCTCCATGCCATGTGAATATGTTGCGCAACCCTCGGGCAATTCTGGTGATGAATTGGGCGACCGCTGACCTTCCTCGCAGCGCTGTGCACATTTACTGGGTGTGATGGAAGTCTGTCGCCGCGTAGGGATTTACAGCCTGTGTGCAGGGATTCATGACTGCGACCTGAGCCGATTCCGAGGACCTGGTTGCGTGGTCTACTGGAGCGAGTCTGTGAAATTGGACTGGGATGTGTGGCTCCCAGCCAGAGTCCCAGGCTCCGGTAACTTCTAAGATCTTCGGCGGCGAACAGGTGCCAGCGGCAGTGGACCGGCAGGACATTGAAAGTTTCCACTGGCTTTCTGAGAATATCGAGCCAGCTTAGTGGCACGTAGTGGGCTGCGAGGACATCGAGGTGGAAGTTGTTTTGGTAGGGAACGAAGTGGACATTTCCAAGCCTGGGCCCAAAAGCATAGCTTGCATGGTCGAGTGGCATGGCAAAGCCGAGGCTAGAACAGGGGCACTGCCAGCCAAAGAGAAAAAGCCTCTCCACCAAACTCGGCTCCATGCAGCTGCGATCCGGGCAGCATAGCCTGGTGATGTGTGGTGGCCTGAGTGCAATTCCGGACCACTGACATGAAAAGCCTGACCTAGTTCGTGCCAGGCTCGTCACACCTTGTGAGGGACGGCATAATGTGCTGTCACTTGCAGGTACCTGCATGCCACGTGTTTGCACAGCCTGCCTGTGGACATGGGCCTCACCATGAATGCAAACCTGACCTCTGCCGTTGCAGCTTAGAACACACAGCATTCATGACATACCGAGCCCACATGCGACATGCAGTGACAGTTCGTCTGACCTGGCCCGTCATGATTCGATTTGCACATGCGGGGCTAGGAATCCGACTGTTCGCAAGACTTCTGGGTGTAGCACAACCCAAGACGGTCGATTGACCTCCCCCCGTATCCAGTCATGAGGAGCAACAAGAGGCCAGCGGAATGAACAAAGTCTTGCGACATGCGTGTGCAAGTTCATAGCAAGAGTTGGGGTTGGGTCCTCCTGATGCCTGCTTCTCATTTCTATCACTGGTGCAGGAGTGTCCCCAAAGAGGTAGATGCTGCTCAGCTTTCTGTGACTGCCTGCTTTGTGGGACCTTTGGCAAACTTGCATTTCTGCAAACTTGGTCCCGAGGCCAAGACTCTCATGAACAGAGACACGGTCTGCAGACAGCCGGTCCAGCATCCTGCGACAGACCTGGGGTGCTACCGCCTAGGAAAGCTCCAGCAGCACCTGGAGGAGATAAATGTGCCGGGGGAGGAGGAACAAATCGGCAGCTTGGACGAAGTAGCCATGAGCCATGAGCTGCGGATGCCCACGCTGCATACTTGCATAGTTGCGTCTGCAGACGCTGCGGACTTGCGCTTAGGAGATTTCGAATCTGTCGAGAGCTTGCTTGGCAATCAAATGGAGGAGGTTTACATGCAGTGGCTCGGCTGTGCAAAACCCTGTTCTACACATTCACTGCAGACGGTGCTGACTGCAAGTGACAAGCCTTGTCGCCGTGCGTCAGGCTGCAGCTGCACTACTCCACTGCGATTCGATTGCTTGCGCACCGAGATAGCATGGCTCGTAGGTATCAGGAGGATTGCTTGCAAGAGTTGTGCCAGACTAGAGACGGCGCAGCGCAGATGCCCGAAAGGAGATTGATCGCCTCAGAACGCAGATGGACGCGATGAAGCCTTCCAGTGCCAAAGAGAAAGAGGCAAAACAGATGAAGATTTTGGTGTCGCAGGTCAAGCTGTACAAGGACTCACCTCTGGCTGCACAGCACAAAGCATGCCCCCATGTCTTTCTATGGGGCCCTTGCTGGGCTGCAGCAATCTTTTCTGCTCCAGACTGCCCCACAGCAATGAGTGGAAAGCCCTGCAGAGATGAGCGAGGGAGTGAGTGAGCGCGTGAGAGAGTGAGTGTTGACTTTACCGGTGCCTATGCAGCATGCCGACCAGGACAAGTACTTGGAACGTGATGTTCTCAGCCAAACATACCCAAGATGTCACCGTTTTGTGGCACCAAGTTGACAGTGGCCTGGCTAAGGTGATAAGTCAGCTAGAGCCATCGAAGAGGAGAACTACGAGCTGCGAGAGCAGTTGGCAGCCCTCAAGACCGTCGGAGTGTCTTATGCATATTCGCAGGCCTTGGGAAGGTAGTGCTTCAGCAGTTGAAATATGTGAGGTTGATTGAACCTGCGAGGCCGACACATCGATGCTTATGCGACCGGGCAGCCCACACGGCCACAGCAAGCCTGAGCCACTAGCATACGCTGCTTACGCCCCTCGGATGCAGCAGGTCATGCATCCTCGTTTAATCCTTGAAGACTCCTTTGCTTACCTTTGTGCTCTGGGCCCACATTTGTTGCCGCTGTTCAAGCCGGCCCACGACGGCAGACCTTTGATACAGCAAAGTCTTGACTGCTGCTTGACCTGAGTCTCTTTTAGGCTCGAAAGCCTGGCATGAGCGAAGAGTCGTAGCGATTGTTGAAGCCCACGGACCGCGAGCAGGATGCGCAGGCAGCGGCTGGGAGCGACGGCTGCGGTCAGCTGCGTTTGAAGATCGGCTTGGCATGATTTGCCAGTCGATCTTCAAGTGCAGCGGGGCGTAAGGAATCTAATTCACATGCGGAAACTCGAGCGGTACAGCGCCGACGAGGACGACTATCTGGAGGACGTGTGGTTCTTCTGCAACTTTATAGAGCTGCAGATCTCCCGACCTGGCGCTGCAACTGCCGGCTCTTTACTGCCTTCATCTGCCCTGTGGAGAAGAGTCGAAAGATCAAGGAAGGCCTGGCGAAGTTCCCGAGCAGGAAGGCCTGGCAGCCTCTCCGTACAGAACAGCCGTTTTTGGCCATCCATTTCCCGCTCTGGCGGCTTCTGAAGTCCGGCTGAAAGGGACGAGTAGCGGGAGTAGTGGCAAGGTGCGCTGAAAACTGCACTCCTCGCGTGGGTTGGGCATTGCACAGGGAGGCTCTGCGGTCACGTTCCTTGGTGATGCAAGGCGCCTCCGACGGACTTTGGAGACCCACTGGCGAGGCAGGTAAACCGAAGCGTCTAAGTGCAACAGACTTTCGGGTGCTCACTGCAGGTTGGAGAAGGCACAGATGAGACTGGACACGTGGGCATCGCAACATCGCTCTTCCCTCAAGCGGAACCTCACAGGCCAGCGTGGGCAAAAAAGGTCTGGGATTCAAGCGTCATCGCTACCCGGATCTGCATTTCTTGGAGCACGGCGCTAACCGCTTAACCAAGCTGCAAGTGAGCAGAGTGTGTACAGTGTGGTCTCTCAGGGGCCTCGTGGCTTGCCTGTTGCATCAGGCCTGGTCAATGTGCAGGACTTGCCGAACATGGAGCTTCCTGGTGCGGTGGCCACACGAGGCTCTATCTCCGAAGCCTTCGAAGTCTCCAAGCTGAGATTTCTGGGGCTTCTTGGAGCCTGAGGTGCCTATGGCCCGGGTCCGCCGGTACTCCCAGAGCTAGAGGATGACGAAATCGAGAAGCCGGAAGACGAGCCGCACCTTCCTCGGAAAGCAAGCTCTTTCTTTGTCCTCTGTCTGGCCTTGCTGGGTTCACACAAGCCGAGGGCAGAAGAAGAGGAGCCCCAGGAAACTGCTTACTACATCCGAGCATCCAAAAACCGACGCACGGCTGCAAAGCGCGTTCTGCTTATCTTGCGATGCTTCTGCATATCGGGACCTATCACGCACACGAGCTGCAGCATCAGGAGTGCAAGAAGAGGAAACCGGACTTGGACTCGTAATGCAAAAGCTTCGCGGGTACTGGCAAGCCTTCTTCTTCCAGGGGTGACTTGGTGATAACTCATAACAGCGCAGGAAGTGCACACATCGAGGTGGTTGGGCATGATGAAACAGTGCGGCATGTGCCCCATCTAAGGGAAAGAGATATGCAGGACACGTACTACAAAACCGGACTTTGCCAGTACATTGCACGCAGCCAGATTTTCGAGAATGCGACAATGGCCGTCATCGCAGTGTCTTGGTGGTCCTTTCAGCAGGGAGCGGAATGTCAAGCGCCTCCGAATGTTGTTCGACCGAAGTGGCAAACACTTGCGTTTTTGGCTTCCGGTGTGCGTCTGGCGATGCACCGTTTGCGGGCCTCCGGCCTCAGATGTCTTCTTGGCACTTTGGGTTTCGTGGCTTTTCGGAACCCAATGCCATATTCTGCGAAGGTACTTGTAGCAGCATTGTAGCATAAAGTAGCCCTTTCCGCTCGAGTACTTGTCCACATGCTCGGGAGGCAGCCCCTAAGCTTCACAGTGTTCGTAGTTGAAAGAGCTGGGGGCTGACAGCTTGTTCTTGGCCATCGCCTTCGTGCATCCGTTCTCGGCCGACCATCTTCCCTTAGCTGCTTGAAGTGATGGAACGAACGGCATCCTCGCTTGTCCGGGATGCAAGAGTCTGGGGGTTGTCCGGTTTCCACCAGGCCTCAAAAACGTCAGCACTGAGGCCAATTCGGTGTGGTTGGGCGTGGACGTCACCTACAATGACCAGCTTCTCCTAATAAATTCTCAGCCAATCTTCATCATCATGGAGAACCTCTTTTGTACATACTTCTTCCTGGAGGTGTGCCGGTATCTGATTTGGTATTATGGGCTTACGGAACAGCTGCGCATGCATACATGCGTGTTTGAAGGGAGATGCCAGAATGGTTTCGACATCTATGTATACGATGGCATGACGTAGCATACATATCATCTAGTGCTGACGAAATATTCATTGAGACATCCTGGTACAGGATCATCTTCCAATACAGCATAACATGACAAGCACTAGCATAGTGTATCATCTTCCGATGCAGCAGAACATGAGAAGTCAATGACAGGGCGTACCATACCCGGGTACAGTATGACACAATGAATTTTCTATTATGCGAGACTTTCAGTACCAGAATAAGAGACACTTCGTGCTTTCGGTCTTTCGGATCCATTTGCTGCTGTCTGCTCCACTTCTGTGAGCACCTGCTGGCCAAACTGTCCTGTCAGATCGTCATTCGCTTCGGCGCCTTTCGGAGGAAATGCAACGTCTTCCGAGACTACTGGTTTCCTGGCAGCCCAGGGATCAAAGTGCCTGGGTTTGGGGTTGCAAAGGTGATCTGTGGCAGCCCTGGGCTTGCCACTGTTGTAGAAACATGCTCTGTTTCTGAAAAGCAAAGGTTCGTTTTTGACCTTGCGCTGGTGCTGGCGATGGTTCTGGACACATGGGTTCTTCTTGCCATCATGGCCTCATCAGAACCTCGGTGTACAAAGCTTTGAATCACGCACCCGACTGGTTGCAAAACCTCACAGGAGCTAGTGCCGCACCACACGTCGAATCTGAGGACATGGATGTTTCGGTTGTGAACTCCTCATCTTTGCGGCTCCTGCGCATCATCCGCATCAGCCGACTTGCGCGAGTCGCGCGGATCTTGCGGTCTGTGCCGGAGATGATGACACCAAGCTTCAGAAAAGACTTCAGCCATTCCCGGACAGTCTGCTGTGGAGAGCCGGTCCTCTGCTCTGACATCCGAGGATCCTTTTCCAGGGCATGGGAGTTGCCTCCCGCTCTGTGATTTGCACGGTCTCTCTTCTGGTCATACTGGTTTATGTTTTTGCGCTCGTCTTCATGCAGCTCCTCAGGCCAGGATGTTGCGAAGTTGCGTAGACGCTGGCAAAAAGGGATGACGGTGCGGCATATGCAGGGGCACGGCTGCGGGAGATGAGTACTTCCCATCTATTACCAAGGGAATGCCATGCACTCAGCCTGTCGTCGAAAGCACAGGCACATGTGCACAGACTCGGCCACCTGCGTAAATGGCGCTGTCGGTGTCAGGTTTGCCCTCTTCTTTCACGGATGTCTCGGCGAGTTTCTGCCAAACCTCGCAGAAGCCATCTTCGATGAAGGCGTTGCTGCACTTGCTATGAGTTTCGGCGCAGACATCTACGGCTGCAGGAATCGATGTCGGCTTGTTCCTGATCCTTTTTGTCTTCTTGGGTCCTTTAACGGTGCCCGCACTCCAGATGCTGTAGTGACTGTGGTGTTCTGTGGATAAAGAACGACTTTTGGGCAGGTCATGAACATGGTGGTGGCCGTGCTAGTTCATGTGGTTAGCTCCGTTGCGACGCTGCAGCAAAAGAACCAGCACAATGGCCAGAGCCTCAGCCAGCTGCGGCAGATGCCACTTTCAGCCACGGACTTCCGTTTGCATCTAGGCATTGCCCAACAGATGTGAACCGAGGTGTTATCCGGGAACGGCTTCTTGGTGGATAATTCGATGTGGTGGGTGGTGGCGGGTTTCAAACCTGAAGACGGGTGCGATGTATCCGTTACGCCAGATCAGGATATACAACGTTCTGAAGAGCCTCGACGGCGATGATGATGACGTCATAACCCAAGACGAGTTCAGGACATGTCCTGCCCCTTACAGATGGGGTTTTGCAGCTACTGTGGTTTTCTCCCGCCGTTCGACCTCAAGCTTTGTGTGCATGTAAGACGGCAGAACTACCCTCCTGCCCTGGCAGGATGATCATGGACACGAGCCTCGGCTTTTCCAAGTGGAACGATGACTTAGGCCGGTTGAGTTGATGGCCTAGCCGTGACGTGCTGCAGCAATGCTAAACGCTGCTCAGCCTAGGAAAGAAGCCTGAGTCCCGGAACGACCAGCAGATAACAGCATGCATCATGGCAGTGTCATTCGTTGACCTACACTTCTGTTGCGTGAATGTTGCGCTGAGGCCATGGCAGTTTTCTTGGAAGTTGGGGTGGACGTAATTGCGATCCTGAAGGATCCAGACATTATCTTTGGGGGCTGCTCGGCAGGCAGGTGAAAGATATGAAAGGTGTGCAGATCCGAGCCTCCTCTAAGGTGAGGTGCGCTTGCCCATTGACGAGCTGCTGGACGAGGTGATAACTCTCCGAGGTAGCAACTTCACCACGGTCAAGGAACGATGCTCTGTGAGGGCTCGTGTGTTCTCGCCTTGAAGGGCACCCGGAGTTGATGAGGACCTGGTCCAGCTGAAGAACCAGCTTGTTCGGGAGCTGAGGAAGATCGGCCAGCGTAGGCAACTTCTTGCATGAGGCTGGGCCTAAGCCCTAAGGCTAAAACCTCTGTACTCTATACCTTAAGTCATGTTAGGTTTCTCTAGGTGCTCGCGAAGCGAGCAGTGCCAACAGAAGGGAGACACACTCATAATGGCAATATCTGCACGTTCTGGCTTGTGCGGCTGTGGGCCCAAGGCCCGCAAGCTCGCACGCGAGAAGACCCCGGGGTCTCAGCTCCGGTTGCAAAGGTTCCTGCATACGAAGGTTCCACCCCAAAGCACCCAAGCCGAATCCTGGGTCCTGAAAGCAAGATCTGCTGTGCGAGCGACCACCGGCCTTGCAAGGGCAAGCACAGCGCTGGATGTGCAGTGTCTGTTGAACTTGCAGTGGCTCTCAGTAGCTGTCTTGGTGCATAGCAGACTCTGCCTACTCCGACACCCCAGGTCGACCGGTATCATGCGCATTTCTTGAGATAGGGTGTGAGAAGACTCATATGACTTGGAAGCTCTCGATGGCTTTGGGGAGCCATGCTTCGATACTTTCAATTTCAGCTCTTGCGAGCCTCTTGTTCCAGCCTCAGAGCCTCGGAGAAGAGCTCTCAGGGTCCTAGGGTCAGAGCGAGAGTCCAGCGAGCACTGTGAATTCAAGGCCTGGCACAGCAGGAGATGTTTCATGCGGTGGTCACATGGCGCTTCTGTGCGCACGCTGCGTCGAGTCGCAGCCGGCTGAGGACAAGCCGGTAGACATGACGTCACTTGCCGTAATGTCCGAGAGTGAGTGTCAGCAAACTGTGGATCACCGTGACCGCTGCATTGTCGGCAGGATGCAGCGAGCTTCTGCAACGGGGCGAATGGGCTGAGCTTGTGGACAAGATTCTGAGAGATGCAACAGGAGTTGGGGGCTTCTTGATGTCTTTCCAAGGACTGCAGGTGGACCGGCCAAAAATGTGTCTTGCGCGGAGTCGCTTGGCAAAAGGCTGTCTGAAGGTTTGCGGATGGACCGGTTGGTGTCTGAATTAAGGACAGGCTGATAAATTGCGGTGGTCACCGCGCACAGACCTGTTCGCGATGTCCCGACGGGCATGGTGGTGGCTGGTGCCATGGTGCCGGGCCCCAGCTCAAGATCAGCCAACTGAGTGGCACGATCTAGTGCTTCGGAGGGCAAGCCAGGCACTGTTGGACGGAGTATGACGGAGTTGTGCAGCAATGGCTTGCTTGAGGATTTTCCGACATGCAGTAGTCATTTTGGTTGCCGGTTCCCAGCTGATGCAGGATTTGAGCCTGGGTTCAAGAAGATGGCTTGAGGCTTGAGCTCCGCAGCTGCTTCGACTCAAGGTGGCTCCATCTTGAAAATCTCATCAAGATCCATGGCGCAGGCAGGCTACGCAGCTTCAGCGGGCGGCAGCATGCAGGTGGCATTGGTGACGGGAGCTTCCAGCGGGATAGGGGCGGCCATCGCCGAGAAGCTGGCGGAGACGCACCGGTTAGCGCTTTTGGCTCGTTCGGAGAGCAAGCTCCAGGACCTTGCGAAGAAAATAGAGCAAGCCAGAGGAGAGCGGCCTCTCGTGCTTGTTGCAGATGTGACAGACCGAGCCGCAATGGAAGCTGCCACCAAGGAGATGAACGCCACGCTGGGGCCCGCCGACGTGCTGGTGCATTGTGCCGGCATGTGGTCCTACGTGAGGGCAACTGCCGATGCTCCTGCAGTTCACGATCACCATGCGGATCTTGTCGCTGTGCATTGCAATGGGACGTTGAACGCAGTGGAAGGACCTTGCCAGGGATGCTGGCCAAGAAGGATGGACAGATCATGCTGATCACTTCCGAGAATGCCCGCCAGGTGTGGAAGGGCCTGACCGTGTACTCGGCTTGCAAGTTCTGGAAGCAGGCCTATGCCACGGGTCTGCGCATGGAGCTTGAGGGCAGTGGCATTCGGGTGCTGACCGTGCAGCCTGGGGAGGTGGACACCCCCGGACGCAATCTCGTCGTCGACGAGGAGGGCGACCGTATGTTCAACCCGTTGGTTAACACTGACAGCATCCCAGACTCGATTCCGCCGGCGAGCATCGCCGATGCCGTCGCGTATGCGCTTTCCCAACCGCCGGTCGTCAGGGTCAACGAGATACTCATTCAGTGAGCAAAGCTATCAGGCCGTTTGCGGCCACACGTGTTGGCAAAGTTGTTGATCATCATCTGCATACAGCAGCGAATCTCGTGCCTGCCGTGGCCTCGTCCAGATGTCGAGGGCCGAGAAGACAGTGTGTGAGTCGGGATTCATGTCGTCGGTCTTGCAGGATATGCCGCCGTTCAGCTGCAACGGCTTGGAGTTCGAAGCGGCCGTCGGTGATGATGGGAAATCCAACCATGGCGCGGTCCCACAAGTTGTGAGTAAAAAAGAAGCGTTGCCGAGTTGGACGCCCGGGACAGCCAGGGTCTTCTAGCAGACGTGTTTTCAGCCTTTGGCCAGGCTCCAAGAAACAGGTCATGTCAAATTCAGCACATTAAGGGGAGGCTCGAGCTAGTGACGGCTGGTTGTAAGTATTCAGGAAGGAGATCGAGAGCGCCTAAGGCCCTACAATTGCCAGCATGGTCTCATGGAGATGCTAGGGGAGGGGGAAAATTGGGGGGGGGGGGGTCGAGGGGTGAGGGGGAGCCCGAGTAGGCCCAGCGAGTGCTCAGCAAGTGCCTTGTAAATGCTCCCCAACATCTCCATGATTGTGCTCGGCCCCACGGTTCCATACTTCGTGGTGCCGTCGAACACACGCATGCCATGCAGCAGCGCTCCAGAACGGCTCAGGCGACTGCATGTGGCTGTCGGAGAAGTGTGTTGTGGCCACGCTCAAGAATCAGGCAGCGGCACAGAAGGACCTTCTTGCCTCGTGCCGTACTCTTGGAACCGGTGCTGCATACATAGACGAGTTGAAGCATGTTGAACTTCATGAACTTATTTATGCAGTTTCGTTGAGCACGTGCGTGTTGCCCCAGCAGCGATTCCCTTTCGAGCGCTCTGCCCTTTACAAAATCTCCAGTTCTAGACTGCTCTAGTCCCCTTGGAGTGGTCCGCTGCTCTTTCCCACTTCCTGAATTCTTTTCGAGCAGTTTGCTTCTGTTCCTTGACTTCCCCAGTCCGTCTCGAGGTTTGCTGCTCTTTCTCAAATTCTACAGTTCCGCTGGGACGGTCTGCTCTTGTTTCTACAATTCACGAGTGTTTTTCCTGCGGTTTGCTCTTTCTTTCAAAGTCTCGAATCTTTGTTGGTTTGCTCCTCCTCCAATTCCCTAGTACTGTTCGGGCGGTTTTCTTCTCTCTGTTTCGAGGGGCTTGAGCTTCTTCTCCGACACCCTGGTTCGTCTCAATCGGTTTGCTCCTTTCTATCAGGTTTTCTCTTTCGAACGATTTGCTCCTTTGTCGAAAGTCTTCAGTTCCTTTCGAGCTGGGTTCTCTTCTTTCTAACGGCAGGTGTGCACAGGCAGCACCGAAAAACGGCGTGAAATCTGCAGAAACTTCTCAACCACTTCGCAGTTACAGGTCCTTAGATTATGCAGTCAAGCTAGCCTGCACATGGCCAGACATCGTCGAGCCCTGGAGAATTTACTTTGCCGGAGGAAGACAAGAAGGTCCAGTCCCATCCGAACTTTCGACCAGGAGGTGCCTGGCAGCAAAAGAAGATCCCAGGACTTTGAATCCTCTGCTTAGTCTCTGAGGCTCTTGGCTGAGCTGGCTCTTCGGCGTGCGGAGCGAGCCTGAGCCCTCGCCGGAGACCCTCTACACTGGATTTGCTCCCCCATCTGGTTTATTGGGTTTGAATTCATTATGGCATCCTTCTTACATGGTTCTTGCAAGAGTCTGATATGCTGGCGCACCGCGCTACCTCTTCGCGACTCTTTGCTTGCAACTGCCTGGCGCGCGCGCGTGTATGTCATGTTGGTATCAAAGGCCCTGCATGGGAACCTCCATCACTTTGCTTCCTTCTCTCCCACTCTCCCACTCTTCTGCCTCTCTCAGAGGGGAATCTGACACAAGGTCGACAGCGCAAAACAATGCATAGTCATATCTTCGGATCAGCTGGTGTATATGAGAGAATGCAAAAGGAAAGCCCTACTGAAGAAACCCCTTTGTAACTCTTCCCAAGCTCTCCAGCACGGAGAGTGGGACTGCTTTTTGAAGCGGTGTAGTGGTTTGAGCAGTGGGGGCGGGTAGGGGGGGTTGTGAGCAATTAGGAACTCTTGAAGATTTTGTGGAAAGAGATGAATTTCCGAATTTGTTTTTTGAAATATGGCATGGCCACCAGCGATCAGGTGGGCTTAGGTTTGGGGGGTTTCGGAGGTGGTGAAAGTCAAAATTTTAAAGGTTGGCTTGGCTATCTCGGGGTTTTCGGAAGTGTTGAAAGTGGAGATGGTTTGTTCCCGGCGGCGCATCGCAGACTTGCTTGCAACGGCCAGGTGCGGAACCTGGTTGGGACAACCATCAGCCGCACGGTGCAGGTGGGCAGCTCACCACACTTTGCGCACTTGTTGCGGCTATTTGCAGCAGCTAAGGATGCTGGAAAGGACTTCTGTTGTCAAGGTTTTGAATGCGTAACACAGGATGTGGAGGCATTGCAATTCTACTTAGTCTACAGCCGCAGAGCCTTCTAGAAGGACGTCCTTGTCAACTGCTATGCCCCGTGGTGTGGCCACTGCCAGAACTTCAAGCCGCAGTACAAGGATGCACATGCTATTTGTTGCTTCCTGGTTCATGAGGCATGCCTGCTTTTGGAAGGAGCTGGCGAGACGCCTCTCCCACGTCTCGACCGTGGTCATCGCTCAGATGGACTGTACACGCAACGATCTGGGCCCGCTCTGGGGATGCCCGGTTTGGCATTGTCCGAAGGTCGCCCCTTTGCGTCTTGCGCACATGTGTAGTAGCCGAGGATCGGTGTCCGGCTTTCCAACAATCGCCCTCTTCCCCAGCGGAGATACGAGTGGGATGATCGAGTTTTACGCATCTCGGCCGGAAGCAGGTCGTGCCAGCACATGAGGGCAAGCGTGCTCATGCCCAGCATTGGCAAAGGTTGGAAGCCGCAAGCCGGACGACATGATCAGATGGCTGCATACAAAGGCCGCCGTGTTGACGAGGATGTTCCGTGCAGGGGTGGTTTCGTACGATTCTGCGAGGCCGGCACATCATTCTCCGATACTCCCCCGGAGGGGGAGATTAACGACGATTCGGACGAAGGGCTGTTGCCGAGGGCCGCTGACTTGTAGCGAAGCGGCGAAGCGTCGCGTGTTTTGTTTTCCTTTTTACTGTGCTCGGCCCTGCGGGCATGAGCGACACGTGTGCACGGATTCGCCCACATGTGCAGCCCAAGTCGTGCACACCCTGTACAGTCATATGTGTTTCGAGCTTCAGGCATTTGGGCATGGCTGTATGCTTCACTGATGCTCTGCAGAAGCCACAAGTGCAATTTGTAGCCTACTTCAGCGACACGAGCCTGCTCGGTCTCGTAAGTGTTTCAATGTACATCTCGAAATCGGCTGTCGGCGAGTGGTAGCCTCCATGGCCTGGTCGTGACTCAAATGCCTACTCGGCCTCCGCTGGTCAATCGCTATCCCTCGCTCAGCAAGCTGCAGCCTAGCGTTCCACTTTGCGTCGGTGCATCAGGCCTTCGTGACTCAAGCAGGCACCAGGCAATTGGTGGGAGCCTCCAATGCCACTGGGGCATGCCCATTCCTGGCTTGACAGCATGCTACTGCTACTACAGGTCCTCTGCAGCCATCAATTCGCCTTGGTGAGGCCTGTGCTGATCCAGGTGGCTTGGATTGGGAACCGGCTCAATTCAACAACAGCTTTCATTAAGCCTTTAAGCGGTTTTAGATAGCAGCGCGAAGGACCTGGAGCTTTGCTACGCGGGCTTCTGCTCTCGGAACGGCATCTCAATGGCCGGGGACCCCGTGCCAGCAACAGTTGAAGCCTTGGTCGAGCGGCACCGAGCCCTATTCACCCTCCGCAAAGGAACAGATAGACTATGACAAGCTTGATGATTTTGGGGCTTGGCTCTTTGATTCTATGTAGTGCAGCAGCTAGCGTTCCATGTCGCAACTTCATGCCGAGATCCGAACGACGGAGCGGCTATTGCACCTTGCCCGCGGTTTCCGTGCTCCCCTACCGGTCCCTCACGAGATGCAGGTGTCGTGGGTGTGGAGAGGCGTCATTCTTGCTTTATTTCACGGGCCGGAGTCGGCTCTGTCACAAGGGTGCGAGATCGAATTTCAAGATTGAAGCTGTCTCATGGACAAGCCAATGTCAAGGGTACTGGTAACTACTTGGGTTACAAAATCTGTTTTGTTGAAACCTTGGGTGCTGCGGGCTGCCTGGAACCGCGTCTTCCATTGCTCCTTGTGAAGATCTGAGTGCGGCTCTGCTTGCCCAAGCTTCCGCTCGTGGGCACTCGTGGGCTGGTGGAGGTCGTCAAGCATGTTGCAGAGCGTCGGGCGGCCTTGCAGAACTCGCCCAGCTTCGCACCTTGTCTGAACATCGAGTTTGCAGAAGTTGCTATGCAGGCATGCGGCATTATCAGTGTCGCAGGTTCTCATCGAGAACGGCCCATCGGTCGTCCTCTCTTCGGGGGAAGCCTGCTACTGATGATAACCGGCATCTACTGATGTCAAATCCAGAGGTCCTTACGGGGCTGCAGCGTCGTAAGGATTCGCTCCAGCTACAAGACTGCCGTCTGACACAGGCATCTGCGTGTGCGGCGATTCTTCTTGCACCTGTTGTACCACTCCCCGAAGCTGCAAGGACATGCTCGAAGGAGTCTACGACAGGGGCGATGGTCCAACGGCCAAGGCCCAACGAAAAGGATGGGCTGCCTGAGAAATTCTACCAATTTTGCGGTTGTCAGGCTGGAGGCCAAGCAGTCTCACTCAAGGAGGTTGGCAGCCGTCGCAGAATCTGTGGATAAGCAAGGACTTGTGACTTGTGATTGGAGTGGGGTCCGAAGGCGTTGACGACGCCCTTATTGGCAAGCAGTTACGGGCTCAGAGCCATTGCTTACAAGAAGAAGAAAGCCTGCTGTTGCGGTTTTCGCTGTAAGGCGAGGATGGCGAGAAAACCCAAGCACCAAGCCAGCAGAAGCCTCGCTCGATTGCGCGGCCCTTGGAGGAGGGCTCTTCGCTGCAGAGGTAGGCGAGGACGGGAGCATACCAGGACGGTCACCGACTGCCGGTAAGAATCCCCGTCAACGTCTTCTGGAGGCCGGCGAGGGAGTGAGAGAGTGGGAGGGCGAGAGGGGCAGACGCTCTCTGCCGTAGCCAAATTAACCCATACCTCATCCCAGTCCTGGCGAAAGTCAGAGGGGCAGTCTGTGGGGAACATAGCCCTGACGAACGAAAGTCTGTGGGTGGTGCGACTGCTCCTGTGGTCTGTGTGGAAGGAAGAACATGCATAGACATGCGCCACTGCTGGCCGTGTAGTCTTGGCCTGTTTGGGGTGCTGCCTGCAACTTATCGGCGAGAGCACGAGAGAAGAACGGGTGCACAAGTGCTCGGCTTGGCAGACGGCAGCAAAGCAGTTGAAAGACGCATAAGTGGAGGTCATGAACGCTTTAGGCCTTCTGGCGTTCAAGTAGTCTGGGGCAGCGAACGCGAGGGGCTCAGCAGGGGGTTTCCGGAACCATTGGGCCGGCAACGGCAAAGAGGACCAAGGGTATGCAGCAGATTGTGGTGGCTGCTTGTGCACATGCTTTCATGGCATCGTGCAGCAAGTACGCGAGTAGGCAGGAGAGCATGCTCGCAAGAGCGTCGGCCGCCAGGCTCGATGAACTGTTTCACAGGTGAGGAGTAGCATGCAGACTTGCAAGTGGGCACCCTTTCCCATAGAGCATGCGAGATCGATTGCCACTTTGTACAGCCGGCGGCGACCACCAACTGTCTAAAATAACTGCAGAGGAGGAAGACATTGCCGAAACACATGACCACGCGTTTGCTTGCCTCATGGCTGCGAGCGAAGCCTTCACCGATCGCTGCGAGCCGGAGAAGACCGATGCCGGTCAGGTGGCAAGTTGCCTGGCGGCTTATGAGACCTTGCGAGCCATCCACACTCCACTTCGCTCGAGCCCTGCCGGCCCTAGCCCTTGCCCATCCTTGCCCTGCCCTGCCAGGCTTTGTGCTGGTTCTCGGCCTGGGCTTTCTGGCCTGTCCGAGCGCCGTGCGTCTTGCTCGCGAGGCGCCCAAGTGCGCGCAAGCGCGAGTGCACGCTGTTTTTTTTGGGCGGTCCCGGAGGCGGGCTCCTCGTTGAAGTCGGAGCTCGATCACGAGGAGCTCTGGCGAGCCTGCACTCGGCCTCGGTGCAGTCGGCAGAGCGCACGCTTGCAGTGCCAGCAGTGCAGTCTTCTGAATGTCCGAGGCTTTCTGCAGCGCTATCCTGATCGACCCGTCGTGGCTAGATTTACATAATGTGCATTTAGGTCACCGGCGCGTCCGCGCTTTCGCTCGTTCAGCGGATGCCTGGAGGTGGAGATGGACTTTCGCCCCTCCGCACCGTCTCTTTGCCGACTGGCGCGGCGGCTGCCGCCCGCTGCAGGGCTCCGCCTGGACGTTGGTGCCTGGGCAAAATTCAGTTGATGACATTGGTGAAGATGAAGCAACCTTCACAAGTGCCGCCCTGAGGCGACCCAGAGACGGACACCGGTGCGCACGACTGGCAAGCTGGACTTCTTGTCATAGGAGGCCCTCGCAGCGGGAAAACCTGGCTGGTGCATCGATTCTGCACCGGGAGTGTGCCCGATCGGCTGGACAAGGTGCGAGGCCATGCAATGGCGTTAGCAAGATGATAAGATGTTATGAAATGGTGTTCTTTTGAAGGGTCTGTCGCCAGGTTCCCAGCCTGGGCACGGACATGCGCGTAGTTCGGGTGGGCATGCGGTCCACGCCCCTCCGCACACGGGGTCGTTTGCGCATCTGGGAGCCCTCGGGCTTCAGCCGCCAGCAGGCAACGTGCGTCATTGCCTGCGTCAGCCGCACGCCCCATGTTGCTGCAAGTTCCCAGCCTCAGGCTTTGGGAGGCTATTTGAAGGCCGCCCAGGTGGTGGTCGTTGCGGTGGATGCCACCGAACTTCAAGCTCCAAGTGAAGCACAGCGGCTGCTCTCGGAGGCTTCTGAGGCCCCGAAAATCCCTCGCTCTCATACTGTGTCGTATACTCTTGTAGACATGTGCACAGGTCGTCCGCCCTGGAACCATCCTGGGGCTCTGTGGCCTCCAAGTGGTCTGCGCCTCGTATCAGCAAGTCCATTCCCAGCCATAAAAGGGGCTTCTGCTGGCTTCCGCTTAGGACCGCCTTTCGGCACCGGATTGCCGAAGGGCAGATCGCTTGCTCGGAGAAGTGGCCAAGATGGCCCGAGCTGAGTTTGGGATGTGCAGTGCCATGCCCCGTGGCTGCACCTGAGCGGCCGTTCGGCGCTCGTGCGCGCGCGCATCAGTGCGCCATGTCAAAAGCTCTCCGCAGCTGTCGGCTGGGCCCCGGCTTGGCCCCAGTGAGGACGGGCGCTGGGGTCGACGACTTCTTCTGCGCCGTCTTGGCTTCCTGCCAGGCCCAGGGCCCTGAGAAACAAAACGCTGTCCTTGGACGCGGCTCCCGGCTCCCGGCTCCCGGCTCTCTCTCTCTCTCTCTCTCTCTCTCTCTCTCTCTCTGGAGTTGTGTGTGTGTGTGTGTGCGTGTGCGTGCGCGTGGAGGAGAGCAGCATCGACCTGCCTGCAGCAGAGCCTCGGCAAGAAAGAGCCAATGCAGGCCTCGAGACTCAAAAGCTCTCATTCCGTTGCAGGAGCCAGTGCTGAATCGGGCTGCTGGCACGCTGACGAGCACTGAGCTCTTACGGACCTTGCTTCGGCGGGAGCGAGAGTGAACGTTGCGCAAAATTCCAGCATGAGCGGAGTTGTGTTCATAGACGAATGGCACCCCTTGGCTTGCAGCTTACGTGGTTTAGAGTCGAAGTTTAGAGCCACAGCACCTCTGCAGGCGTTCCTCGGATTGGCTGCCGGACCCACTGCTCCAGTGAATCGGTCGTGCAGTTGTTTCAAGAGGAGCCACTTCGGCTTTGGCAAATTCTGATCGCACAGGTACGGATTGCTACCAACCGTCGTCTCTCAGATGGAGACTGCAGTCGGGCATGGTGCAGAGCTGAGGGGGACATGCCATGTCGTGTCAGCGTCAATCACACCACGCAAGAGACGGCCGTAACCAACCAAGGTCTGAAAGGGTTGCTGTTGACCTTTCTGTTCTGGGCAGCTTGGACGCAAGCGCATGGACCAAAGCGGCGCATGTGCTGTCGCGTTTGCGCGCAGGTGCAATTCGTTCTAGCCTCGGAGTCTGCGAGCATAGCGGTGGGAAACCCGTAGAGAAGCAAAGCTGTGTCCTTGACGGGCACATCTGAAATTCAGACACATGGTGACACCCTCAGCCTGAGGTAGTGCTTCTGCTGCCCGTGATGTGCCTGTACGCCTTTGCAGTCTGGCTGCACGCGGAGTGTCTGTAGCACAAGAGATGGCTTCTCTCGCATCCGTGCTCGCTTCTGCTGTCCTGTTCAACATTCTACAAAACGGTAAATGCGCAGGAGGCGGCCCACCAACAAACAAGGATGCACCCCCACTTGCCTCGCCATCTCTGTCATTCTCGTCGTCCGAGCAGTGATGGTCCTCCCCCTCCTCTTCCTCCTCGTCTTACTTCAGCACTACTGTTCCGAATGGGTGCTTTCGGCAAGAAGTACATAACAGGTCATCTGGCATGATGCGGTACACTCAGCGACTCGAACCGACCTCGTGAGCCGGAACGCGCAGCACTTTTTCCTGCCGCGGGCTTATTGAGCAGTGGGACAATACTGTGCAATGTTACCGTTTGCATTTCGGATTACCAAATTACCGCGTGATATCGGTACATTGATGACGTGCAGCGTTCTATTATGTGGCAGAGAAGGGTGAAGCAAAGTCCAGCATGTATACTGCGCACTGGATCGACCCCAGTGTAGTTTCGGGAACACGTAGCCGCGACGATATCTCTGGAATATGCACCGCACAAATGCAAGCCGGGCTGTGTCGGTTCAGACAGGCTGGACTTCCTCATGGAGCCGATCCTTGGCTGAGATGTTGGGAATTTCTTCACCGCACTCCGGTGGGCTGTCGTTGGCTGCACATCTGATTCCACCGCTGTTCGAAGCTTCGCAGTAGAGGGAAACCCTCAGTCAAGCCGCCAAGCCGAGCCATGGCGATGGCGCTCTTTTCGCTCGGCTTCGCCTCTTTACTTCTCGGATCCTCGGCGACTCGTCTAAACAAGGCTCTGGCTCCTCTGCCACGGGCCTCGAGCCCGAGCGAAGGCATGCTCAAACTTTGCCATGAACAACGACTACGGCATCTCTGTTCGGACGATGGACTTGGGAAGCATCCCGAGCCTAGGCCGGCACGATCTGCCAAGTCCGGAGATGCCAACAGGTCGGTAGTACTCAACGGCTCAAGTCTCCCACAGACTCGCGAAAGTTTCGCTAGGCTTGCCTCTCTTGGCCGTGCCTGCGGGCTTACCTGGGCTTCGATCTTCCAAGTATGGCTACCTTGGTTTCGCAGCTACGATCATGGGAGTTATTGAGGCGCCTGCAAGAGGTGATGATGTTCGTATTCTTCCTGGTTCGCGTGAACTCTGTGCTGCCAGGAAAATTATCTTTTTGGCGGCATGATCCTTGGCCACAGCCATACATGCTGGTAATGCTGCGTCGCAGGTTTTCGGGCAGTGAGGCAGATGTGGGGCCATTGCATTCCCCGTGTCTTTGAAAGGAATGATGCGGGTCTCAGCTGTGATGCGCAGACGTTGCTGGGAAGCAAGTACCCGGACGCTGCTGCCGGGAAGGACAACATGGAGGCTATTCTTCTTTGCCGGTGGGCTTTGGAAGGATTTTCGACCATTGACGAGATACAGGAAGGCCTGAAGTCCGTCCAGCTGCATGGCTTGCAGTCACCTGGCTTGTGTGTAACCGATTCACCAACACCCGAACACTCAACGTGTCACTTTTCATTAATTCACGAGCTAGCTTCCCGATTTCCTCAAGACGTTTTGTAAATGCCGACTGTTGACTCGGGCTGTGCTGCACTCCGCTCCCTGACACTCGCATCGAGGGGGGTGTGATTTGCATGCAGCATCAGGGTCCCGCAAGTTCAGTCCATGCATGTCCTGTGTCACCTGTCTGCACCGCAGCCTATTAAGGCTTTTACAGCTTCAACTTGTGCCCGTGTAGCAGAAGAGTTAGCTATCCCGACTGCACTTGTGTTGTGGTGCCACGGCTTTGGATATCTCACTGCAGCAATCGCCATTGCCAGGAAAACGGACTTGTGCTCTTGAGTTTTGTGACCGAAGGTTAGCTGGTTTGCTCCCGCTTTCATAAACCCTAAACCCTAAACCCGAAACCACACTGTTTGGTGTTTTTTCTGCTTTCTTTCTCGGGACAGCAGGATGATTCATCAAGCCAGGCCTCCAGGCCTCCGCAGCAATGGCAGCAGAGAGGGCTTCCGAGCAGTTCTTCTGTCCAGCTTGCACCTCGTCCTGGCCTTGGACTTTCGCTTGACACGGTTTTGGTAACACGGAGAGCCTGTGCCCCAGGGAGGTGCCGAACTGCGGCTCGATGTTCAGGTGCCTCTTGCTCAGAGAAGGAAGTGGGCGACGCCAAGACGCCTTGCGCACAAAATAAGCGCAGCAGGCCAAATCTTTCTTCCTACAACAGGGGTTTATTTAGCAAAAACTAACCCCACAGGTTCTTTAAAAACAAAACCTTGCTGCTAAGGTCCTACACGCGCTTTTTGGCACAGTTTTGCCAAGCCCGGTCCCGAGATGCGTCGCTGAGGACGGATGCGAAGCTTCGCATGCAATTTCGCACGTGCGAAGCAAATGCGATTCGCATGTGTGTTGAGGTATCCCAGGATTCCTAGAATTCCTACAATTCCCAGACTGTCCACTGTTTTTATAGTTGAGCTGAGATGGCACCGGATTTGAGTCGTGCTTCATAGTTCCTAGCACAAGCGCACGTGGGCAGTCACGTCAGTGGCTCGAGCTTACCGAGGGGGTCCAAAGGCTTTCATAGATTTGGACAGCCTCATCCTCCCTCAAATACATCAAATACGTGGCTTCTTTTCGTGGTGCAAGCTGCTGCAAACATCAGTGGCAGCCGTGCAGCATGCTAAGAAGGTGGATGACAAAAACAGGACTGATGCTCGCTCCATGTCGTGATGTCGCCATTGCCAGCCTCAAGGTACCAAAAGGAGAACGGCACCAAGAATCATGCGACTTTCGTGACGACCTCAACGCCTTTTCTGCTCAAAAAGAGTTTTTTCGGCTCAAGTTATCCTTAGGGGGACCTAAGGGATAATAGCGAAATTAGGATTCCTATTCAAACTAGTTTCCTTAAAGGTGTTTTTTTTTTTTTGCTCGGGTGAAGGGAGTAGTTGTTTTGGCCTGTCACCTGCCATGGACGGCGCCAAAGCATCCGAAGACATCCCAAGGCCGACGAAGGAATGGATCTTCCAGAAGCCGTTGCCTTCAAAGCCCCAGGTCCTCAACGCCACGATAGGGTTTAGGGTTTAGGGTTAAGGGTTTAGGGTTTAGGGTTTAGGGTTTAGGGTTTAGGGTTTAGGATTTAGGGTTTAGGGTTTAGGGTTTAGGGTTTAGGCTAAAGCCCCCAGGTCCTCAACGCCACGATGTCAATACGATGGCCTGCTTCCTTCGAAGTGGTTTTCTTGGTTCGCAATCTCAAGCTCGGCAAGCAGTGGAATCAAATTTTCTGCATCGGGAAGAAGGTTGTTTCGCTGTATACCAATGGTGGCCCGAAAGGAAAGGTGGAGTGGGGCAGCCTTTGTTTTTTGGTCTGCGGCCGGAAGTACGGCGTCGCTGGTGGGGAGATCAAGGACGGCGACAAGGTGCACGCAGTCTTGACGTTTGACGGGAAGGGTGATGGAAAGATGTGGAAAGATGGTCGGCTAATCGCAGACAGCGCCGCCAGTGGCGGTGGTAGCGACCCAAACGCGCCCATCATGCAGATCGAGAACTGTCCTTTGAGCATTTTGCAGGATGAGGGCTGCATGGAAATCCAGAAGTTGTGCATTTACGAGGGCCTTGTGTTGGAAGAAGTACATGTGAAGGAGCTGCACGCCCAAAACGAGAAGACTGTAGGCACAAAGCTCCCGCCAATCACGCAGAAAGGAACTCCGGAACGGCCTGTGCAAGTTCTACCTGCAAAGGAGGCAAAGGAGGACCTTCTGCTCAAGTGGGAGCCATCACTCCTTTTTGGGGAGAATGCTACAGGTATGGAGGACACGTTCTGGACAGCCACAGAGACAATGCACATCGAGCCACACAACGGCGAACTCTTTGCCTCATTTAGCATGTGGATGAGCTCCCGGGCCAAGCTCCCTATAAAGGGGCCCACCAAAGTCTTCGTGGCCAGGCTCTCTTCCCCAGGTGGCTTGTTCTTCCCTGGCGACCTAGCGTAAAGGAATAATTGTTGAAACCTCCTAGTCGCATGGTGCTGGGGATGTCTTTGGGAGTCCCGCATCTTCTTGAGAGCTGATCACTGCGGCGGATGTGTTTCCTGAAGCTCCTAGGTGCTTCTGGGGGGCCGAGGCACGGTCTAATGATTTAGTTTACGGCGATCACACAGCTCCGACCGTCAGGTTGAGACCAAAAGCGCGAATATGAAAGAAGCAAACCTGCATGACGACGATCTGTTTAGGTGGCCAGTGGGTCGTGGACTGGTGTGGCGATGACCAGCATCACAAGGGCATTTCGAAGTTTGCGGTGAGGATCGCATCTTGTTGTTGAACTCGGAGCCTTCATTTCCATGTTTGGGGTGCCCAGAACTGGTTTCCCTTAGCCCTCACCCGTGAGCCTCAAAGCCGAATCTCCAAACCCTGCAGCCGAGAAACCAAACCAAAGTTTGAGCACTAAACCGCTTTAGCCGCTTGAGCTCTGGCCCAGGACTGCTTGAAGAGCATGGAGTTGAATTGGGACTGCCATGGCCAGCAGCTGAAACCACCAGTGCAGCAGCTCGTGATCTGCTACTTAGCTGCCCAGGTCATTTCACCCTCAAGCCCCTCCAAAAGTTGTGAGATGACCTTGGACGTTTGTTTGTCCTTTGAAGGAGAAAGGCGAAAGGTCAAGCCAGCCCCTTAGGTACTAGCCATGGCAACTTCGGGAATTGCATTATGCTCCGAGACGACGGCGATGACACTGCCCCTGGCACCCGGCATCGGTGGCATGAGGTGAGGAAGTCCTGCATAAACCCTAAGCCCTAAACCCTAAACCCTAACCTTTCGGGGAGTTTGGCCCACATTCGCCACAACTAGCTAGTCCTGCACGCTGAATTCTGCCCCTTTCCCCATGGCCTAATTCCCCATGACCCCAGGTGAGGTACACGGGGGAGGAGTACCCCGGAAAAAGCATGGGCGCGCGAAGCCGTGCCTACGACCTAAGGTGTTTAAGCTGTGGGAGTTTATGTGTTAGGGCCGTTTGTGTTTAGGGTTTGGGTTTGGGGTTGGGTTTTAGTTGCAATTGCAGTTTCAGGTCAGTGTTTTGAAGGGCGCCAGAGACCTCAGGACCTTGACAGTCTTAAGGGTCGTGGGGATCCCTTTCACTTATTGTAGCAGTTGGGGTATGATGCCACTTCTAAAGGTAAGTTGGTCCCTCATACAAGCAGATGCTGTACGCACATCAAGCAGGCTGTACGCATGTTAATCATGTCAATCCTCGGAGCTCCGGTAGTGGAGCAAACGTCTATATTTCATGATACCAGATTTGTGCGTAGGTGCTGCTCCACCGAGATGGGGTGACCGGTGTCGACCGCATCATTGCCGTGGATGGAGTCCGTGGAGCGTGTCTTTTTCCTCCAATGTTGACCTTTGAAACTTTATGTCCTTCGCTGAGTCTATGTTTGCCTCTATGGTCTTTCTTAAGGGCATTATTATACTTATGAACCCTAAACCGGCATGCCTTGTTAGGCTTCTTTACCTTAGGCGGTCTGGGGTCTACGACCCGGCGAGCAGAGCCCCCGGCCCCCCGGCAAGATTGTGTGGGATTCAGCACCGGAGAAGATGGAGCTTAACGGAGCGCGCCTAGCCGGATCAGGCGAAGCTCAAGAGCTTTCACCGTCCGAGTGCGTGCAAGTTGAAGGGCTTAGGGCTTAGGGAAGGGCTTTGGGGAAGGGGAAGTGAGGTCCGCTGTCTTCCGAGGAAAGAGTTGGAATGTCGGCCCTTGGCCTTGGTCGAGGCAAACGGAATGGCCTTCATGTCGAGTGCATCCCGGATCCTGAGGAGAACCGACGGGCCTGATCCAGTGCCTTAGTGCCAGGCCATATTGTTTGTTGGGGTTGGGGGGCTCTGAAGAATGGAAGTCTAAGCACTGTTTTTGGCGTTGTCCACTGAACCTGGCTTAGGTTTGGAAGGTCCTCATTGACGTGGCTGAGTTTCGCCGAGACGCCGTCAATCCTGATGTTGGGGGTGTTCGCGGCATGACGCCGATTCCAGGTCCTTCCGGGCCATCAAACGAATCACTATTGTTCGTCTGGGCCCCGAACACTCAAGTAGAGGCTCGGGTGCTCCGCACGGACTTCGACAAGGATGGATCAGTGAAAGCTCCTGCAGAAGAGACGTCACTCACTGCCCTGGCAAGGGAGTACCTGCAAACACCCTGCTTGGGCTACACCCTGGCCGCGTACAACAACATGCCGGCCACAAAATTGGGGAGCGTCCCCTGCAACCTCATTGGTTTCGAGATTTGTGCACATCCAGGTGCCAAAGTTCCAGTTGACCCTGGGCAGCAGGCCACTTATGGGGGTTATTGGTCTGGGGGCGGCATCGTTTGCCGTGTCAGCTCCAGCGACTACTTCGTCACGCAGGTCAGGGGTCCAAAAGTACACCCAAGCATCAGCTGTTGAATAAGGGCTTCTAGATTTTTCTAGTAACTTTATAATGTTAGTAGCTTCTTTCTTTCTTTGCCTGTGCTTGGTTCGGGAGTTTTCCCAGGTCGGGGGGCGTGGCGGAGTGAGCCAACCGCTGACTGCTGTGCGTTGCTTCGCCAACTCCCCTTTCCCCAGTGAGCCGAACGCTGTGTATTGCGGGGGGTATGATTGTAACGGTTTCCCCTCCGAGCATACAGCCTGGATTTACAAAGCCACACCGACTTGAAGCGCCAAAGGCAGCAGCTGAGATTGCCTCAGAAGTATGGAGTTACTTGTTCCCGCACCGAAAAAAATAGCTCCACATTATAAGCCCCAAACCTTCATAAATCTAAAGATCGAGACGATTAGACATTCGATTATTCCCTGGTTTTGAAGCGGATACCTAGATCTTAATACCTGAACCGTAGCGAGAGGAGAGCTATCTGAAACCCAGGCAACCTATACCCTAAACCCCTACATTTTTGGAGTTTTGACTTCCCGCTCTGAGATGGAATCCTAAACCAAGTTTAGAAAGGGCTTAAGCGTTTACAGTACAGCATTCAGATTGAGACCCGTGGAGCGCGACATGTCCCCTTGCCCATAAATCGCTAGACCAGCCAGCTGCCATGCTGTTCTTCTTTGTCTTTCCGCACAGCCCTTCCAGGGTTCATGCGCTGTCAAGTCTGGAGGGCTCGAGTTCTGCTGTTAAGCGTTTAAAGGGCCTTTAAGTGTTTGAGTGCGTCAACAACCCAACTGCGTGGGCAGACAGAACCCGCACAAGGTGCGAAAAGTGTGGAATGAACGTCCTTTGCCACTCGAGTGCGAGGACGTGTCACCATAGCTGACCTTGGATTTCGCGTGCTGACTTTTCACCGCGCCTTCACCGGCTCAACGTACCATGTCAGGGTACGGAGTTCAGCTCATTTGAGCAATTATGTAATAATGCAATCGATGTGTCTGGAGCAGTGTCCGGATGCTTTCATCAAAACATGAGCTGCGAGAAACTGAAGTAGGTTTGAGAAACTCGCCGCACCAACCGACGACGCCGAGGTTTACCGAGCTTGCCATTGTCGGTAGTCTTGTCGGTGGCAACTCGCCAGCATCCGAGTACGAACGAATGGAGATGTGCCAAACACGTTTTGCAACGTGATGTGACCTTGGACCGTCGGAGAGGACCGCGGGAAAGTGCAAGAAGAGTGCAGACTGAGGTTTACATTGGGTTCTCAGAGATGCGACGGGAAAGGGGCTGGTGGTGGAATTCCTGGATGGCCAGCGACCCAATGACCCAACGGCACGTGGGCGAATCGGGATGCCAGACATTGATCCCGTGAGGCGAGACGGTCACCCGAGAGGCCATCTTGACTGTTGGTCTCAGCATCGGAGGTGCGCATGCAAGACTCCGAGCCACAGGATCGGAATGATGGCGACAGTACCTTCGGCATCATGACGAACGAGCCTCCCTTCGACTGGCAGCTAAAGGCATCCTCTGGAGGAATCAAAATCAAGAAAGCGCACTGTGCCGGTGCTTTCAGAGGCAATCCAGCACCTGAAGTGGAAGGAAGGCCTCGCCAGAACAGTCAGGAGCCTGCTTGCCTAAGCTTAAGCCCACGATGCCATGGAAGCTTGCTGAGGCAGTGGCCATGCCAGCCGCATGGTATCCGGAAGACCGCTTCCAGCGAATCTTCCAGGTGAAAAGGGGGATGCCTGTCCCGAAGTCCTACCAGGCAGAACCCACAAAACTGACCCACGAGTTGCCAGCAGATGGGTTCTTGATACCGGCTCCAGGAGGCAGTCATGCAAGCTGTGCATGTGCTGAACACGGTCACGGTGCCCATGGGCCTTCAGCTTGGCACAGACTCCGGTAAACATTCTGGAGAAGGCTCGGGTGCCCGGGGCTCATCTTCTCCTTTGTCCCCATCGGCTGCGTGTGCAACTTGAAAGCTCAAGGACCACACCCAGTGGGGTGTGATCTATGACCATGTCCAGAAGAGCATCTGCTGGAGATCTTCCATGAACCACAACCTTCAGAGGCCCGGGCGGCAGTGTGCATGGGGAGAGGCACGCATGCGTTTGGTACAGCGAAAGCGCTGCCTAAGATTCTGCTAGTCAGGGAGGCTCAGAAGTCTTATCTCGACTTATGTTGCATTTCCTTGCTGTTCGGGCGTTCTGCAGGTTTCAGGGAGGCTCAGATTCTTTTCCCATTCTTAGCTCGGTTTTGCCAGGGGCCACGGGCATTAAGGAGTCTGAAGAACCACTATGCCAAAGCATGCTTCTCTGAGGACTCAGGTTGTTGATTCCGAAGTTTTCGGAGGTCTCCAGCTTTGGAACGAGCCCCATAAAATCTAAGAGTCTGAGGGCTCAAATTCTCGCTCGCAGGTCTCCAGCCCGTCCCCAAGAACCTGCTTAACAAGAGTCTTTTCAAGCCAACAATATAAGGGCTCGGATTCTTCAACAGGGCATTCTTATGGATGCCCGTTCGGTTCGAAACGACTTCGACTTAAGAATGTGCCCCAGTTTTTCGGGGGGGGGGGGGGGGGG